TCTTTCTAAAAAATAAAAATAGATAATAATAAATAATAAGATATCAATATTGGTTCATTAACTGTAACAGTCCTGAAAAGAACTAGAAAGAGAACAGAAATTAAAAGTCAAATAAGAGTGGGGGCGCCTGGGTGGCAAAACCAGTTAAGCACCCAACTCTTTAAGTCAGCTCAGGTCATGATCTCGTGGTTCCTGGGATCAGCACAGAGCCTGACTGGGTTCTCTCCCTCCCTCTCTCTCTCTCTGCTCCTCTCTGGCTCATGCTCTCTCCCTCTCTCTTTCCTCTGTCACATGCATGCTCAAAATGAACAAGTAAGCCTTTTCAAAAAATCAAATAAATAAAAACCAAAAGACTAGAATAAATGGGTGATTTCCAAGTAAAAATGCACATTAACAAAATGGACTTTGAAATAATGAAACATAGAAACAGACCCATGAGCAGAAATTCTTCTTTAGAACTCTCCTGTTAGAAAGCTCCCCAAGAACAGATGGGCTCATAGTAAACACCTGAGTATTAACCAACCTTTAACAAATTCTGGTTTTAATATTAAAGGTATAAATATAATAATGAATAAACTATTGATATATCTACACAGTTCATCTAATGTAGGATGCCAGTGATTTCAAAATAAACATGATTTTATATGCCATCACAAATGTGCTGCCAATTCAACTGTGAGTTTCTCAACTAAAGGAAAAATAAAGTGGCTGAAGAGTTTACTTGCATTAAAACCAGAAATTTTTAATTTTTAAAAGTTAATGATTTTAGGGGCACCTAGATTTTAGAGCCCCGCTTCGGGTTCTGTGCTGATGGCTAGCTCAGAGCCTGGAGCCTGTTTCAGATTCCGTATCTCCTTCTCTCTCTGACCCTCCCCTGCTCATGCTGTCACTCTCTCTCTCTCAGAAATAAATAAAACATTAAAAAAAAATTTTTAGGGGCGCCTGGGTGGCTTAGTCGGTTAAGCGTCCGACTTTCGCTTGGGTCATGATCTCGCGGTTCGTGGGTTAGAGCCCCGCGTAGGGCTCTGTGCTGACTGCCAGCTCAGAGCCTGGAGCCTGTTTCAGAGTCTGTGATTCCCTCTCTCTCTGACCCTCCCCTGCTCACGCTGTCTCTCTCTCTCTCTCTCCTAGAAATAAATAAAAACATTTAAAAAAATTTTTTTTAATTTTTTTAAGTTAATAATTTTAATTCAGGTTTGGTATAAATTACATATTTAAACTTAATTTATTTTGAAAGAGAGACCACACAAGCAGGGGAGGGGCAGAGAGGGAGAGAGAGAGAGAGAGAGAGAGAGAGAATCACAAGCAGGCTCCACACTGTCAGCACAGAGGCTGATGCAGGGCTCAAACTCACGAACCATGAGATCATGACCTCAGCCGAAATCAAAAGTCCAACACTTACCGGATGGAGCCACCCGGGTGCCTCAATATACCTACTTTTCAACGTGCATCCAACTGCGTCAACACCAGAACAGAGAGGACCCCAGACGGGCCCAGGGTGGCCAATCGGCCGGCATCACGCACACCTGCTCCACCCTACACACATCTCTGGCGGCCCCCAGTACACTTGCAACTAGATGCTCTGGGTGCTTCTCCTCTCCGAAAACAGGAACACTCGCTCTGCCTCACCCCTACTCACTCTCTCTCTCTCTCTCTCTCTCTCTCTCTCAAATAAAGAAATAAACATTAAAAAATGGTACCCACATATATTTTCTTTTTTTTTTAAGCAACATGTTTAATTGGATGATTTCCACAAACTATACACGAAGTTTCTAACCATCACAATTCAGTGAAGTACGAAACATTAAGTTACAGGCTGTGGGAGAAGGCAGCACCCATGGTGGCACCTTCCAATCCTGGTTGGTCTGGGGGAGTGGGGCGGGGGAAGGTTTCATTTTAAACTGAGCCCCTCATATCAATGTACAAAAGAATTACTCTGATCGATATTAAATTGTATTGAAAACAAAATGGACTAAAAAGCAACTACTACTCTAAGTTGGGGGTGGAAATGGGAGGAGAGAATGAGTCCTTCGAAGCAGGAAGGGAGACAGTCGGGGGAAGGTTCTGTGGCTGTGACCCCAGGTGGTCCCTCGCGCTGCTCCATTTTTACTTTCAGCGGTCTCAGGGAGGTCCGATTTTTCTTCTCTTTCTCCCCCTTTGTATTTGCTTGGAAGTTCCGCCAGGTCGTGGTTCCACACGACCATCTCGACTTTCCTCAAAGTTTTTCTGCCACTCCCTTTCTCGTCTGGCTTTTTCTTGAGCTTCAATCTCTTCTTCCCTTTGTCGCTTCCTTTCATGCATCTCTTTGGCTTCTCTCTCTTTCCTTTTAATTTCCAGCTCAGCAAAGAGTTTCATGGTCTGTTTATATACTGCTTGTTTGAACAGCTCTGGATCATCCTCCTCCACATTGGTAGGTTTTCCTTCCTTCTTTAATTGCTTTTTTCGCTCTTTCACAGTGTGTTCCACGTATTCTTTTCCTGCCTGAATTACATCCAGGGCCCTCTTCTTTTGTTCCTGATCCAGTAGCAACTTGTAAGCTTTGTCCACAGCTTCAAAAGCCTTTTGTGCTCTGTCAGCATCATCTTGGTTTTTGTCGGGATGCACCAATATGGATAACTGTCAAATCTCTTTTTTATTTCTTCATCTGTCACTTCAGGATCTATCTGAAGAACCTCAAACGGGTTCAAATTAAAGTAGGAGGAACCAGGACGGGTCAGTCTTTCAATCTGATTTTTGGATGTTAGAACTGAATCTCTCTTCTGTATTTGTTTGACCTCACTGTAGAAGGTCATAAATGCTTCCTCCGTGCTCCCTCCACCAGCCGAAGCCCTGCTCTCTCCTGGAGCCGCCATTTCCCCGGCCCAACAACCACGTGACTCTCCTGCGCAGGCGCAGCCTCCTGACCCACATATATTTTCAAATGTAAACCTATGAAAATTATAGCTCTACTTAACCTTGAATTCAGTGATGAGTTTAAAAAAAAAAAAAAAAAAAACACCAAAAGCCAGTCCAGGAAACAAAAAATTGCTAATGTTCACTTTCGTAAAATATAAAACTATCTACTCTGTGAAAGAGCCACTACATAGAACAAAAAGAAAAGCCACAGATGGGGATAAACTGTTCAGAAAACACATGTGAAAAAGGACTTCTATGCAAAATATACAAAGAAACTACAAAATTGAAAAAGGGACCAACAACCCAAATGAATACGAGTAAAGATCTGAACAAACCTAAACAGAAAGATATACAAACGAGAGGCAGCTCAATGGCTCAGTTGGTTGAGCCTCCGACTCTTAATTTCAGTTCATGTCATGATCTCAGAGTTGTGGGATGGAGCGCTGCCCTGGGCTTCACACTGAGCATGGAACCTGCTTAAGATTCCCTCTCTCCCTCTCCCTTTGCCCCTCTCCCCCATCACCCCCTCACCACACACACTCTCTCTCTTTCTCTCTCTCTCAAATAAAAAGAATAAGAAAACTTCTTTTAAAAGATATACAGATGAAAAATAAGCATACAGAATATTGCTCAACATTACTTGTCATGAGAGAAAAGCAAGTTAGAACAGCAAGCTGGCACCGCATATCTATAGAAGTGGCCATAGTCTTGGGGGACCTGGGTGTCTCAGTTAGTTAAGCATTAGCCTTTTGGTTTTGGCTCAGGTCATGGTCTCGAGGTTCATGAGTTTGAGCTACGCACTGGAGCATGCTCTGACAGTGTGGAGCCTGTTTGGTTTCTGTCTCTATGCCCCTCCCCTGCTCATGTTCTCTAACTCCCTCAAAATAAATAAACTTAAGAAAAAAAAAAAAAAGGTGGCTAAGGTCTTCAGGAAAACTAATAGCAACAGCAACAGGAACTTGAATTCGTTGCTGGTGGAATGTATAATGGTACGGCCATTTTGAAAGACACTTGGCAATTATTTCCAAATACTATATTTCTAAATACAGTCTCACCACATGAACCAATAATCACAGTCCTGGGTATCTGGACAAGTGTTCTGAAAACTTATGTTCAAGTAACAACCAGCCTATAGTTACATACAACATCTTTCTTCAAAGTGGCCAAATACTTTAATAAAACCGGATACCTTTCAACAGGTGAGTGAGTAACCAAGTGAGAGGCATGCATGCAAGGGAATACTATTCATCCACAGAAGGGAACGACCTATGGAGCAAGGCCAAGACATGGATGAGACTTACACGCAAGCTCCTCAGTGACAGAAGACAAACTGAATAAACTACTCACTATATGATCCCATTTGTATGACATGTGGGAAAGGCAAACTTACGGCCATGGTAGACAGCAGTGATTGGACGTGGTTTGGGGGGCAACTTGGCCAGGAGAATGGCTGATGAAATGTGCAGATGGGCCTGGTGGGAGGGTTCGCCTCTGCTTGGGGAGATCTGCTAGGAGAGCGTGAGTAAGTCTGGTCTGAAACAGCAGTGTCCATAAGAAAAGTCCTTCTTGCTCTAGGGGACAAAGGTCTTCCTCCAACACAAGTGTTACTATTTCAGCACCAGTTCTTAGGTAGACTTTTTTGAGGGTGTGATAACATATATAACATGAAATTTTCCTTTTATTTTTATTTTTAAACATAAAATATACATAACATACAACTTACCAATTTCACCATTTTTTAAAATTTGTTTGTTTATTTTAGAGAGAGAGAATGAATGAGTGCGGGAGAGAGGCAGAGAGAGAGAGAGAGAGAGAGAGAGAATCTCAAGCAGACTCCACACGAAGCTCGGGGCCCAATGCAGGGCTCGATCTCATGACCTTGAGATCATGAGCTGAGTGGAAATCAATAATCAGATGCTAAACTGACTGAGCATCCAGGAGCCCTTCACCATTTTTTAAATGTTTATTTATTTATTTTGAGAGAGTGTATGTGTGTGAGGGAGGGAGAGGGGCAGAGGGAGAGAGAGAGGGAGAAAGAGAGAATCCCAAACAGGCTCCATGCCCGGTGCCATGACCTGAGCTGAAATCAAGGGTCAGATGCTGAACAGACTGAGCCCCCAGGAGGCCCTCATTTTCACCATTTTTAAGTGAATATTCATAATGTGTAACCATCACTGCTATCATTTTTCATTTCCGTCGAAAAACGCGCGACAGTTCTAATTTCTTCACATCCTCACCAAAACTAGCTTGTAGTTTTTAGAGAACAGCCATTCTAACGGGTGTGAAGTGGCAACTCATTATGCTTTTCATTTTCATTTTCCTGATGTCAAAGGATGTTAAGCATCTTTTCATGTGTTTATTGGGGTTGGATTAGGCAATGATCTATTGTGTATGATACCAAATACCATGCGGAACGGAAGGAAATATTTGCAAATGGAATATCTGATATGAGTTTAGTGTCTGGAATAAAGAAAGAGCTCCTACAACTCGACAGCACAGGGACAAGCAACCCAATGAAAAAATAGGCAAAGGACTTGAACAAAGAAGACAGACAAGGAGCACATGAAAAGATGCTCAACGTTACCAGCCAACTTGCACCAGGGAAATGCAAGTCAAAATCACAGTGAGGCACCACTTAATATACCCATCAGAAGGCCGACTTAAAAAAAAGGACACTAACAATTGTTGGCGAGGACATGTAGAAACTGGATTCCCAGTACGTTACTGACGTAAAATGTTGAAGTCACTGTGGAGAACAGTTCAGTGGTTCCTCAAAAATCCTAACGTAGTTAAAATGACCTAGTGATTCCACTCCAAGGAATACACATAAAAACATGGAAAACGGGTATGGAAACAAAAGCGTGTATGCAAAAGTTCGCTGCAGGACCACTCACAATAGTGAAAGCGTGGAAATAACCCAAATGCCCAGCACAAGGCTGAAGGAACTGCATGTGGTCCACACACCCAATGGGATGATATTCAGCCATGGAAAGGACCGAGGTACCCATTTGGTAATGTGGATAAATCTGAAACACACTACGCTGAGGGAAAAGGGTGTGCAGAAAGTCACATGACTGTGTTTATACGAAGTGTCCAGAATAGGCAAATCCACAGGGACAGGAGCCAGGCAAGGAGCTGCATGGGACGCGTGGGGGGCACAGGGGGAGCTACTGCTTCATGGGAACGGGATTACCTTTGGGCCTGATGACAGTTGGACAATATGATGCATGTACTAGATGTCACTGAATTGAATGCTTTAGAAGAGTTCTGTTTAGAATGTGTGAATTTCACCACACTGGAAATTAAAGAAAGAGGGCCACGGCTGGCTCGGTCGCTGGAGCATGCAGATCCCAATCTCAGGGTTATGGGTTCTATCCCTGTGTTGAGTGCAGAGATTACTTAAAAATAAAAATCTTTAAAAAACAAAGAAAGAAAGAGAAGCCACTGGGCATCCTCCCTCGCCAGGGAGGGTCCCCTTCCCTCACTGTGCCCAGCCTGGCATTCCAGGCCCTCTGCGGCCCAGCCAGCCAAGTTTTGAATACCTCAGCTCCAGCCCATGCCGTGTGGCCAACTGTTCAAGCCACCAGCTGTGTGAGGGTTCCAACTCCCAGCCAGCTGCTCTCTGACTCCATCAGTGCCCAGCGCTCAGCGACTTCCTGACCCCAAGGTCTTCAAACCTTGCTCTGCTGTAAACCGGACCAAAGCACACAGTGTTCAAAGGTCATTTCATCATGAAAAGGGGAAACCAGTGTTTTCTGAGCACTGAGACGTTCAGGCGGCTTGCTCTGGTGAACTCTCAGCAACACTAGGAGGGACTGTTGGTCCGACGGGCCGAAGGGGCAGGGATGGCTCACGGATGGTCGCACAGCTTCTAAGTAGGTGCACACTTGAGCTCTGTCCCAAAGCCAGGTCTCTGGGTGCCACTGAGAGAAGAGATGTGACTCACAGGAATAATGTCTCCAGCCACACAGAAGAGGCAGCCCCGCTGTGGGGGTCACTTGTCACGTGCAGGTGGCCCAGGCTCCCTGTGAAGCCACAGGAGCCACACAGATGCTGCTATAACACCCCAGGCCGGGGCTCCCCATGGGTCAGGTCGGCTCCAGGAAGTGATTCATGCTATTTTTTTTATCCTTGGCTAGAGCTGAAGATACTTACATTTCACTTCCGTCCACACCCCACCCTCTCTCTACATGCTAAAAATACATCCTGGGTCCTGACTCACCCCTGCTGACCATGATCTGGCTCAGCTGAGGCTCCCCACAAAACCCCAGGGGCCTCCGCACGCAGAGGGGAGGGGAGGCCTGTCTGAGGCGGAGGGAGCCTTTGCCTTTGGGAGCCTGGGCACACAAGTGCTTTTCTTCTGTACAGGACACAGGGGACACCAGAGACTCATGGAGAGGTGCCCTCTCTGGCTGGTTACCCGGAGAGGGGAAGGCCTCCATTGGATCCTAACTTCAAAATGTCACCACCCCCAGCCCCAAAAAAACAAAGAATAGGCCCCAACGCCGTGCACTTCCTCCAGGCCCCTCTCGCAGCCAGCAGCAATGTGAAACGACCACTGAGTCCCTTCTCATCTCAGGAGGATGGGTGCCTCGGGAAGGCACAGGAAGAGGATGCTCGGCCCGGTCATGGTGCCTCATATGCGTCTGCTGGGTGCTGGCTGGCCCGTTAAGGGCATGATGGCAGTTCAAGCTGTGGGGCCAACAGCGCCCCTTCTGTGAGGTGCCAGGCCGGAGCCAGAAAGCAGGGAGTGGGGGCTAGGTGATGGGATGCTGCGGGGAGGGGAGAGAGGATGGTCACCTGCCTCCTACCAGACAGGGTATCTGTGCAGGAGTTTCACTCTCAGAGACTTCAGTCTATTTTCCACATGACGGACAGTATGCAGCTGACCAAGTCAGGCTTCTAGAGCAAACCCAGTGTCTGCAAAGGGTAGGAGCGAAGAAAGTGCCCTGAGGGCCTCATGCGACACACTCATTGGGGTCTTGCACCTCTCTGTGACCACATCCTATGCAGGTCCCTCCTTGCCAGGCATCCAGGCTCTGCTGGTCACAGGACAGGCCATAGGCCAAAGCCACGCTGGGTCCAGAGCTCTGCAGGTTTCCCAGGAAGGTCGAGGGGCAGCCCAAGGCACAGTAGTCACCACTGCTACCCTCTGCCTGCGGGGGAGCGGGCCTGCTGGGGCTCACAGGGACCCAGTCCTCCTGTGGCAGGTAGGCAGGTGACTGTGCTCCCTGTGCCACAGGCCCCACTAGCAGCATGGCCTCCAGGAGGCCCTTCTCCTCTTCCTCCACGACCACTGACTGCATGGGGTCACAGGTCAGCCACGCAATGGCCTCCGGGACACTAGACTCCGAGGCTCTTCTTGGGGAACCGACACAGTCCGGGCTCGGCAGCAGACCAGTTCTGTGGGCCCCTATCCAGGTCTAGAACAGAGCATGGTGGAGGGTGCGGGGGGGTCAGGCAGCATGTTCAGGACTCTCCCTGGAAGGAGCCTCCCCTGCTCCTCTGAGAAGCTCTCCTGACATCCGTGCCCAGAGCCCAAGCGACAACTGTGCCCGGAACGTGTTGTCTCACCCTCCGTGTGCTGGCCCAGCCTCGGCACGGGCCCCGGGGTCTCTTCGGACCCTCAGTCATCAGCACTGGTGACAGGTGCCAAGGACAGAGAAAACCCTGGCCACTGCTCCAGGCACTTCCGTCAGCTTGCAGACACTGGGTACCCTCTCTTGAACCCGCATGCGCGCGCGCGCGCGCACACACACACACACACACACACACACACACACACACACACACACTGTGAGAGGCTGTTGGAACCAGCGCCGCCTCCTCCAGGAACATACTGCCCAGCCGGGACCAGGAATCACCACCACATGGACCACACGTACCTCCCTCTGTTGCTGCCCTGCTCCCTGGAGAGCTGACCCAAGGTTCCCTGTCACCACTGGAGGGGTCTAAGTGCCCTGGCTGGCGACGTCGGTCTGCGGAGGAGGGCTGGGTGCCCGTGGCCCAGGAGATAGATTCCAGGCAATGATATATTCCAGACTGATGGGATCTGCCTTTGCGCCCAGTCACCTCAGGGGTCTTGACAGTGACGGCCACTGCCTGGGAGAAGGAGGTGGCCTCCACCGAGGACAGAATGCTCAGCTCTGAGCTTCAAGTTATACTTTTGGACAACAATCTTGAAAACTGGGCTCCCTTTAAAGAATTTTTTTTTAATTTTCTGGGCTCCCTTTTAGACAGAGGGAAGCCCAGCATTGGCAAGTGGGGAGGGGAGGAGTGGGTCCAAGAACACCAGGAAGCATCACCTTGCATCCTCCACCCAGAGTGGGGAACCTGAGACCACTTGCTGGGGCTCCCTGCCCCCCTCCTGCCCAGGGAGGGGCAGGAGCCTCCAGGCCATGGGGGCAGAGAGGCGTCTGCTGCGACCCTCCGGGTAGTGCTCACCATGGCACCACAAAGGGGGACATGTGGGATGTACTCAGTGGCCATGGTGCTGGCATGCGACCCAGGGAAACCGGGAGAGGCCGGGCACCCCACAGTGGTCAGCAAAGCAGTAGCCCATAGACCCCTGAAGGTCCCACTGATAATGTAAGCACCGGATCTTCCCTACAGAAACCTCCAGAGAAGCAGGGACGACACGGGTGGCAGCTGCAGACAGCAACACGGTTAGTACCTCCAACTGACCATATACCTCACAGGGGCTCCTACCCGAAAAATGAAAAGGAACCCACAAGAGAGAATAAAGTTAACTGTTTTCATGCCTTTGAGGCACAGCGTGTGAACGTAAATGACTGCGTATACCAAAAAAAGCTCAGAGCCCTGACAAAGGCTGGCCCCCAAATCTCACCAGAAGTCCACCTCCTTGTCAGGCCGGACTGCGGGCGGCCCAGCCACGTGCCCCACCCCTGCCGCGGGCTGTGCACGCACCTGGAAGTCCCCGTTGTGTACACTGTAGAGGGAGTGGAAGAAGGCCACCGGAGAGGGCACGTTCTGGTAGAAGCTTCTCTTCACCCTGAGGCCAAGAGAGGGCAGCTGGAGGCCTATGCGCGCCCAAGGAGGGGTCCTCGGAGGCCCAGCTCCGGGAGCCAGGATGTCCCTGCAGGAGCTGTGCTCCCTTCCAGCCAGAGGTGGCCCTGCTTCATCGGGGCTGCTGCCACTCTTGCCTCTTGTTGGGTCCAAACCTGCTCTCGGGGTAAGACCCAGCACTTGTCCCTGTGGCCTCCCTGGCTAAGGACCCCATAGAACTGACTTTACAGGGTGGGCTCAGGGCTACAGGGTGACCACTGCGTCCACAGCCCACAGCGGGAGCTGGCACCTCTGGGAACCACACTGGCGCTGCTGGGAGGCAGGGAGCAGCTCCCTGCCCCCACCCGACTCAGCACCAAGCCACAGACCCAGCAGCCCTGCCATGAGGATGTGGCACAAGCTCCAACACAGCAGGTGCATGTCAGCCTCCCCAGCCTCCCGGGGGAGGAAGTGGCCCTCCGGCTCCCCACCTCAGGAGTCCCCACTTGCATCTCATCTGCCCTCTGGGCTTCTCTTCCTAGGACCCAGCAACCTCCTCCGCTTTGCTCCCCCTCCGCTTCTCTCGCCACCCTCCGGACACCAGCACTGGCCTCCCAGTGGGTCCCCCCCCATATCCTCATAGCCCTCAAATCTATTCTCAGAATATAAACCCGATCTTGTCGCACACAGTTTCACAGGCTCCGAGGCTTTTCTTTTCTGAGGCTCCCAGGTCAAGCCTGGCCTCACAGCCCCACCAAGCACCCCCTTCCTCACCTGGCAACTGAGGAACTCCCCCACGGGTCCAGGGCAGAGGCTGAAACCCCCCCACCCCTTTCAGGGCCAGAGGTTTGGCCCGAGATGCCCCACCTATCACACACCTATACAGAGACACACTGACTCACATGCACACACAGTGACACGCACACAGAAACTCACACAGAGACACACGAACACATGCACGCATGCACGCACGCACGCACATACACACCTTGGCTACCGACCTGGGTGAAAACTTGAACAGGAGGTAGGTCAGGCTGGTCAGTAGCAGAAAGACGGGCACGGCAACAAGGGTGCTGTCAGGCTGCCCCCGAGGTGAGAACGGGGGACCTGTGGGTAGGAAGGGCCCAGGGCTGTGAGCCTCTGTGGCACCAGGATGCTCCTCCGTCAACATGGCAGAGCACCCCTGGGAAGGCCACTGTGGACATTTACTCATGGGCCACAGAGGTTTGCATCATGCTTGCTAATGACTCACCTACCCTTGGGCCTCCCCTCCTCCATCTGCAAAGTCATCAGGGTCACCCACCATTCCTAGCAGGTCACAAAAGTCAGCCCAGCCCTCCCTTGGGAGATGAGACCATGTCCAGCCTCCAGAGACAGAAGCATGGGCCTGGTGTGCCACCCCGGGCCACACTCCCTCCCAGTGACAGGCAAGGACTATAGCTTCCAAGAAGGCCAATGCTTGGCAAGTCAAGCATCTCAGATTTCCAGAAGAAACTCAGGGAGGGGCTTCCAGGAGGGCGGGAGGGTGGGATAAGCATGGAAGGGAAGCGCTCTGGGAGGGAGACCCCCACCTCGGGCAGACGTCTGGGGGGAGGGAAAGCACACAGGCTGGCTCCAGTCACTCCACTGGCCTTCATAACGCTGCTCTTCTACCACGTCATCCTCCGGCATGGCCATCTGGACGCGCAGCCTGGCCTCGTGGCTGGAACCGGGGCCTAACTCGACGGCTTCAAGCCTGAGCCAGGTCACCCCAAAAATGCGATCCCTGTGCCGGGCCTGCTGTGGGGTGGAGAACAGTTATCATTTGCTGAGGGTGAGAGGGGGTCCGTCAGCCCTCAAGAGCACACACGCGCGCACACAACCATACGCACACGCGCACACACAGCCCATCAGCACACACTTACACTCATCTGCCCCCATGTGCGCTTGCACACACAAACACGCTCACGACACTCTCATGCTTATATACATAGGCATACCCCGTGCTCACTCACACAAAGACACATATTCCTGTACACACAGGTACACTCACATACCAACACACGTGTACACAGTCACGCTCCTGACTCTGGTCACCTCCCTTCCTTGTTTATTCCAGGCTGACACCTCCCTATGCGTGATGAGGAGTGGCCCTGGGCTGCGCTCCCAGGAGACAGAGGCCCCCAGAGTAGTCGACCCAGCATTACCTCCCAGGCCTCCCCCTGCCTCTTGAAGGCCAGCTCATAGCTGAGCATGGAGGTCAGAGGCTCCAAGGCAGGACTGACGTTCCAGGTCAGGACACAGTAGTCAGAGCTGACATTGCTCTGCAAGTCAGAGGGAGGGTCCAGCTTCACTGAAACAGAATGAGGCCACGTGAGGGAGGGCCGGTGAGCACGCCCAGCACTGGGGGCTGAAAATGTTGGAGGCGGGGCGTGGCCAAGGCCCCCCAGACAAAGGGCCTCACTGGGAGGCAGATGTGTGTCTCCTCTCTGGTGCTGTCTCCCGGGGAAGGACAAGATGACAGTGAGTTCCCACAGCCCCCGCTGCCATAAGTTGCTGCTGGAAGTGCTTCCCAGTGTCTAACTCGAGTTCTTCCTACTATGACTGAAGTGTATTTCAAGTGACTTGAGTCATACCCTTGCCCCACCTCACAGCCCTGAATCTTCCTCCTCCTCCTCCAAACCCCGCCTCTCCGGGAACCAGCGGCCCCTCCCTCCCCCTCCGGGCTCACAGCCCTGGGTGTCTCAGCAGGGACAGAGAGCACTCACTAGGCCATGGAGGTTAAGGGCAATGGGACCCTGCCCCCAAGCCCCACGAAGCCAGGGTGCTCCCCACCAAAGCACCCCACCTCAGGCCTCACCGTGTCTCCGGGGCAGGTACTGTGGGTCCACCAGGCTGACCTGCTCCTTCCCAGAGACGTAGCGGTGGAAAGTGATGGTGAAGTTGTCAGAAGGGACGAGCACCTCCTCGGGCGGCAGCACCACAGTGCACTCGCTGGCCCGGAAGACGCATCTGTGCGTGCTGCCCACAGCGTGGTTGCTGGAAAGGGTACATGTCGCCACCAGGGGCCCGCCGCACCAGCCCAGCCCCTACTGCTGCTATCATGGGGACCGATTCTCACCACGGCCCCCGGCCCCCACCCAGGTGGGCCTGGCCCCCCAGCCTCACCTGGTGAAGAGGAGCCAGGGGCTGGGGCCCTGACCCGGCTGCACAGCAGACCAGCGGCAGTCGATCCTCAGGATGTTGTTGTTGAGGCAGGTGAAGGACCCAGCCACGAGCCCTGGGGACAGTGACAGTCGGGAGGTCATGGTGGCTGCCTCAGCGCAGGATGAGTACCTAGCAGCTGGCCCCCTGACAGGGCAGTCCTCTGAGAATGACCCCGGGGAATGCATCGAGGGCGGGGCTGGGAGGTGACGACGACGGGCTCTGACCCACGGTACACGGGTGGGAATGAAGTCTAGGCTGGTCCCTGGCAGACAGCACCAAGCACAAAGCCTCCCCTGGAGCATGAAACAGATGACAGCCCTGCCCCCCAAGCTCTCCACCCACCCGCCTCACACAGACACCAGGACCCAGCCCTCACCTCCTCCTTCGCCGTGGACGGAGACTCCCAAGCCAACCCACGTGCTGATGCAGGTGCAGATCAGGAGCCAGGTACTCAACTCTCGCATCAGGGCCTCACTCTCCAAGGTCCATCCTGCAAGGGACTCGGCTGAGAGCAAGCCCCTTGGGACCCTCGCCATGAGGGCTGCTCCCTGGGGGGGCGTCTCCCCATGAGGTGCACTCCCTAAGGGGTGTGCTCCTCGTTGACAGCTGAGTGGGTCACTACTGACACCCTCACCATGTCCCATGACAGGGATTGGGCACCACAGCCTAAGCTGCTCCCACAAGAAATTGAAGCTCAGAAAGATCCGTTGGCCCGACCAAAGATTCATGGCCACAGCGTATACCACGGTGCCCTCAGGCCCAGTCTTCTGGTGGGTTCTGGACTCGGAACCAGCTACGTGTCTGAGTCTGCCTGTGAGGTTCCTCTCTGGGACGGGTATTCTCTGCCAGCATAGCCCCGTCGCTGGGCCCAGGTCCTGTAATGCGCGGGTGACTTTGTGCCAACTGTGTAGCGTGCACCACACACACCCTAGAGTTTGCACAGCAGCCCTGTTAGAAAAACGTCCCTACACACAGTCGAGCAAGCTGAGTCCCAACGAGGGGGAATGCCCAGGATCAAACAGCCAATGTCTACACATCCTGTCTCCCTGTCGTCTCCTTAAACAAAGCCCCATCCCAGTGTTGTGACCCGGGATTAGGTAGGAGGACTGCAGTAGCGTGTCCTTGCAACAGACGGCAGTCCCGAAACTCTGTCAGTCACGGCCCTGTTTAGAAGGTTCTGGCCCTGCAAAGGAGAGGACCCCAGGACAGCAAGGCTCTCTGTGCTGGAGTGCCGGCCTGGGCGACAGGATCCCTGCGGGGAGCAGAGGTTAGCTGGAGACCAAGGGGCTGGGTGCCGGGAGGTGCTGACTTCCTATTACCCTATGTGTAGCTCCAGATGGCGCGCTGATAGTTCCTAGGCAGGAAGCAGGGCCAGCCTGGTTATGCAAGCCTGATGGGTGATAAGGAGCCAAGAAAACAGCTAACAGACCACAGCACGTCAGCCGTCGAGGAGCCCGCACACACTCAGGCAGCAGACAGCCCTCCAACGCCCCAGCAGCCGAGCCATGTACCCGCAGGGCTGACCCATGCAAGATCCATGCTCAGGAAGCCTGCACCCTTTCCTAGAAAGCAGCATCGCCCGGCAGCACCAGCCACAGCACGGGAGGCCATAGTGAGTTTACCCCCACAGCGTCTGTCCCCTCCTGCACCGTGACTGCCTGGAGATGGGGGAGCAGCCTGACAATAGCCCATGCTTAGGGTGTGTGATGACAGGATCGGAGTGAGCATCAAGGTCAGGGGGCCTGAGGCACAGCAGCCACTTCCAAGCTGAGCGCTAACCCAAGGCCCCAGGGGGAAGGACTCCTCCGTCTGTGCAGAATTGGGCCAGTTCCGCCACGGACCAACTCACGCCGTTGCAGAGCCCGGGGTGGGGTGGTTCCAAGTTCAGCAGGCCCCAGGGCAGGGACAGCTGAGAGCCACTAGGGCCAGGACCCACCCCAGGGGAGAGCGGAGACTTATGCAGGGGTACCTGGAGGGTCGGTGCCTGCTTCTCCTGAGAACTCTTTCCACAGAAAACGCTTCTGTCTCTACCAAGTGAGCCAGGCAGGGTGGGGGCCGCCCCACACCCGACAGCTGGTGCCCCTGTTCTGGGCACGTGTCCAGCCAGTCGCCACAAAAGCCTGGGAGCTACCCACCTCCCCCAGGGCACCACTGGCCTCTGTCTCCTCAGGGCTACCACATCCCTGACCACGGACACTGGGCCAGGCGGGGTAGAAACCTCCATGCGCATACTGCCTGGTCCTGGCACAGGCACCAGGATGACCCCAGGAGACATCAGAGCTAGGACAACACCAGGCAACCTCACAGGATGGCTCTCGGAGCAGGAGGAGGGAAGCCAGTGTCTCCCCCTCGGGACAGCCCTGCTAGAAGCGTGGCTGACACCAGCACCCAGCGCTGCCCCTCCCCCATCAGGTCTGCGGACACTGCCTTCAGCCCAGAAGCACTCTGGTCCCTTCTTGGGACACATCTCCTCCGTGACTTCAGGGCCAAGCCCATGCGGTCTGACCGCCGGGGCCTCACAGCTTTCCTGCCCTGGTTTCCTGGCCCGCCACAAAGTCAAGGGCTGCCTTACAGCTGGATCCCTGCATGGGAAGCTGGACGCACTGGCAGACGCAGGGAAAGGTCTCCAGGCAGACTCAGCCCTCACCCTCCCTGGCCCTCGCCCTGACCACTCACCTGATGCCGGAGGAACCGCTGCCGGATCAGGGTGTCTTGCTGGCCACCCTGCAAGTTGGCCTCATGCAGATGACTGCATCCACCTAGTGTCCCCTCCTACACAGACTGTATTTTATTTATTTTTGTTTATTTATTTATTTTGAGGGAGAGAGAGCAAGCATGCGAGTGAGCTTGGGAGGGGCTGAGAGAAAGAGAGGGAGAGAGAGAATCCCAAGCAGGCTCCACACCCAGTACAGCAGTACAGAGCCCAATGTGGGGCTCGCTCTCATGACTGTGAGATCAGTACCTGAGATAAAACCAAGAGTCAGAGGTTTAGCCAACTGAGCCATCCAGGCTCCCAGACTTTTATATATATATATATATAATTAGTAATATTAGAGATTAAGAAATCTCTCTGCCCAATGCAGGGCTCCAACTCATTAGCCTGAACTCGAGTCACATGCCCTAGCGGCTGCGCCAGCCTGGCGCTCCAGCACAGACCCTATGTACTTTCAAGGGGGTGATGTTCCTGTCATTCTCCCTGCCCACCCAAAAAGCTGGCAGGCGCAGAGGTGGATGGAATGGAGGCTGCTATTTTAACGGACACTTATCTAGCACTTTCTTCTCTCTGCTGGGGGAGGGGGAAGAAATTCAGACCCTGCCTCGCAAGAACCAGATACATGAGGACATGGGGCTTGTGAAAAAAAAAATGGGGCTGGGAACGGGAGCAGGAGCCCCCCACCCAAGGGCCGTGCAAGCACGCGTGGACGACTCTGGCCCTGGCGGGAATGCCAAAGCTACCAGCGGGAAGGGCCCAAAGACTGAGCTTCCTACAGTGGTGCCGACAGAGCGGGGGGGGGGGGGGGGGGGGCAGGAAGGCCAGCTGGAGTACAGACAAGGGGCAGGGAAGGCTGGGGGAAGGGCGAGGTGGCTGGAGGAGCACCTTCCACATGCTTTCTGAGAGGGGTGGCAGCCTGTGGGAGATGCATGTCCGGGGCCACACGGAAGCACCAGGCTGGAGCTGCGAAGATGGACACGCTGGGCCCAGAAGGGCCTCAGGTGGACAAAGGCACAGACGGGGGAGGAACCCAGGGCAGAAGGAGGAGAAGAGCCGAGGACAGAAGCCTGAGGAGCACAGACACTGGTTGGGGGGCGGGCAACGGAACTCACTCTGGTCTCCTGCGGGTCTCACCCACCTCACATCGTCCCTTCTGCCCAACTTCCTTCCGTATCGCATGCCCCTTCCCTCATGAGGGCCTCCCCAAGCGCCCCGCTGTCTCTCCAGCCAGACCAGACACCCCTGAGTGAGGCCAGCACAGGCGCTCAAGACAGGAGCAGGGGAGCAGGTAGTGCTGCGGGAGAAGCTCAGAATATGGGTGCTGATACAATTCTCTGTGGGGCGCCCGGGGGTTAAATGGAGAGAAATGATGCACCTTCTCTTCCCGCACCAGTCGACTGACCTCCTCTGTCCAGAAACCCCCTCAGAGCACCTTGGCGGCCCTGTCGGTAAAGGTCACTGCTATGCTGCCTCTACACCAGGCTCTTTTGGGGCAAGGAACTGTGTGATGTATGTTGCCCCCTGCACGTAGCTCCAACAGGGTAAGAGATGCATCCTCAATCTCCCTATAGACATTGGCCTTGCCTCTAAATGGCACGGATGCTCTGGGCCCCTGGGGGGAGGACTCTGGGACGTTACCTGAGCACAAACCCTCAGCTTCCCTTCCTTTGCTTGGCAGTTGATCTTCCTCCTGGAAGCCCAGCCTCACCCGCCACCCGCCCACAGCTCCAAAGGGGCAATCCCGAGACTCTGGCCCCTCTTCTGCCCGAAGGTCGCCCAAGGGCGTGGGGGGTTGAAGAGGTTTTGCCAGCCCAACGACTGGTCTTCACCGCCACTCGCGGCCATCAAATCTCAGACCATCTGGCCCCGGAACCACCCCTTGCCCAGTTACTGAGGAAGCAAAGTCTACCATACCTATTACTCAACCTGACAAACTCGGACCCTTCCCTCTGCACAGTGCCACTCAGGCCAGGTAGTGACAGCCTGTCATCCTTCAGCAAATACTGCCAACATGCTGTCTCTTGGAGACACCTGAGACCAGGACACCAGAGCAGGTAAAAGTAGGGTGATGCTCCCAACCGCCTCACCATACACCCACAGGCTCTTCCCAGAGTGACAGCAGGCTATCTGCCCTTCTCTGCCATCATCTCAGGCTGGCTTGAGTGTCGAGAAGTCCAAATCACAGACTCACCTTCCCAGATGCATCTGCTGGGTCCCATGGCAAATCAGAGGGGTCCCCCGACCCTCCAGACCTGGAGGTGACCGCTCCTGCGTTTGCAGCAAAGCCTCAGGCTGGTTCAGGATATAACTGCAGTGAGCAGTGACGTGAGCCTCCCCGGCGGGCTGATACAGGCCGCCCACATCTGAAACCACGACGCAGATCAGAGCAGCTGTCCCAAGTGAGGCTGAGAGACAACTGCCACCACTCATCATAAACCCGGGAACTAGAAGGCGGGATGATCCTTCATTCCCCTATGACACTGAATTCAGGACACCACAGACTTTGGTGATGTGACCCTTGATTAGTGGAGGAGTGTCTGCTGAATTCCTCCCAAGAAACACCACTGCAGAGAGCGGTAAACACAAAATTAACGTACACTCAGTTAAAGAAAAACAAATGATACAGAAGATAATTAAAAATGAGACTCCCCTTTATCTCACCCCAGAGGCAGCCTCTGTGAGAAGTTAAGTGCAAGTCCTTCCGGACAAAGTCAAAGTTCAAATAAATGGACATTTTCTTTTAATTTTTATTTGTAATGTTTATTTTTGAGAGAGAGAGAGATAGTGTGAGCGAGGGAGGGGCAGACAGAGAGGGAGAAACAGAATCTGAAGCAGGCTCCAGGCTCTGAGCTGTCAGGACAGAGCCCAACATGGGGCTCGAACCCACAAACCGCGAGATCATGACCGGAGCCGAAGTCAGATGCTTAACCAACTGAGCCGTCCAGGCCATTTTTAATGGATTCATACTGTGCTGAGCTTTGCAGGCTCTTTGTTCCTCTGGCTGTTTTCAACATCCTTCCAGGTCAGCACATAAAAACCTTTCACATGCCTTTAAGGGTAGCACGTGCCACGGCTCAATAATCCTGTTGGTAGACATTTGGACTGGTGCCTGTGTTTTTTTATTTCTTGAGATATATGTCATTACATTAATTTCCAGTGCATATATGCAACTTTCAACAAAGGTAGTGAACAATTCTGGGCACGGACCTTCACTCATCAGAACGAGTACTTGTATACAAATAACCGCTGGAGGTAAGAGGCGCCTGGGTGGCACAATCGGTTAAGCGTCCGACTTTAGCTCAGGTCATGACTCACGGTTTGTGGGTTCAAACCCAGGGGCAGGTTCTGTGCTGACAGCTCAGAGCCTGGAGCCTGCTTCGGATTCTGTATCTCCTGCTCTCTCTACCCCTCCCCCGTTCATGCTCTCTCTCTCTCTCTCTCACAAATAAATGAACATTAAAAACAAACAAATAATTGCTAGAGGTGGAACTGTGTGGTCTAAGGTTCAGCATTTTAACATACTGATACTGCCAAGGGACATTCCAAAACCATACCAACTTCTATTCACAACAGCACCGTAAGAATGCCTGTCACCGACAGTGAGCATTATCAGCCTTTTTAATCTTTGCCTGTCTGATAGGCAAAGATATTTCAATGTTGCTTTCATTTACACTTCACTGATTATTAGCGAAGATATGTGTCTTCTCATTTACTTATCAGTTCTGTGTTCTTTGGGGTACCAAATAAGGTCACATTTCAGTGTGCATGTGTGTGCACTGTGCATCAAAACATCCTGGACAAGTTTTGAATACCCCAGAACGACAGCTCTGGGGTCTGAGGACACCAGGACCCAAAAACAGATGAAATCAGAGGCCCAAGCTCACACACCACCTTGGGAATGGCCGGAAACATCAATCAGATATCTTTCTAATTTAAAATTTAATCAGCATGGCCCACATCTTCCCTACTACAAGCACGTACATTTACACTGACTGAAGCTTCTCTAGGACCTTATAAAGAGAGCTTCCTTCTCTCTGTCAGGGTCCCTCTCACCTTGTCGAAACTAGAATTTGCTACCTTAAGTCCAGTAGACCACACGGTCCACACCATGACCGCTAAAGTGGAGACCACGAAAGCTGGAAAGGAATCCTGGAAGGAAAAAAGCTGGGGGGAAAGCTCCGAATTCTACATCTCATCTAAACTCACACACGTACACACGCACGTATGCGCACCCGCACACACGTACACACGCACGTATGCGCACCCGCACACACGTACACACGCACGTATGCGCACCCGCACACACGTACACACGCACATGCACATGTGCACCCCATCAGAGTCTCTGCAGGACCCTCTGAACCACAGGTATACAGGCCAGCTCTACGCAGCCCGGCTGAGGTGAAACAACCTCAACAGAAGCTGCAGAGGCCTGCCTACCTCGGAGACACAGAAGTTTACAGTCTGCTTTAAATACAAATAAAAAAACCAACACTCTCCAGAGAAACAGAACAGAATCTACTATCTGTGGTCTATGTCATTCATAATTTACAAGAGAAATCCAAGAGCATTAGACATATGAAGAACCAGCACTACGTGATCCATACTTAAGAGGAAAGGTAATTGATGCATACAGACTCCCAGGACTAAGTTGTTGGAAACAGCATAGGTTTTAAAGCAGCTACTCTAACTATGCTTGAAGATGTAAAGGAAAATACCGTCCCAATGGATAAATAGGAAATATGGGGGGAGAGACACATGCTATAAAAAAGAATGACAAGGAAAGTATATGAGAAAAATACAGTATCTCATTAATTACTTTTTATTTGTTAATTTTTTTAACATTTATTTTTGAGAGAGAGAGACAGAGCACAAGCAGGGGAGGGGCAGAGAGGCAGAGAGAGAGACACACACACACAGAACCTGGAGCAGGCTCCAGGCTCTGAGCGGTCAGCAGAGCCCAACGCGGGGCTCAGACTCACGAACCATGAGATCACGACCTCAGCCAATGTCATTCGCTTAACTGACTCTCATTTTTTCATTATTATTTTTATCTATCTATCTTTCTGTCTATCTATCTATCTTATTTTTGAGAGAGAATACAAGTTTGTGAGCCAGGGAGAGGCACAGAGGGAAAGAGAGAATCTTAAAGCAGACTCCACTCTGGCATGGAGCCTGACTTGGGGCTTGACCCCATGACCCTGGGATCATGACCGGAGCTGAAACCAAGAGTCAGACACTCAACCAAGTCACCCAGGCACCCTAAACACAGTAACTTAAATAAAAAGAATGTATCCTAACAGTGCAAAGAACACAGAAAACAGGTAAGAGAGGACATCAGTGAAAGTAAACACATTGCCCTTCCTGGATGATAGGCGGCAGTCAGTGAGTTCTGGAAAATCACTAGGATTACTCAGAGTCCTAAATATGAAGCAGCCCTATATATTTTTTTTCCCCTTAAGCTATCAGCAGTGCATATCCATCATTAAAAAACCAGAAAACTAGACTTCAAATGTCACTTTTTCAAAGCACAGTGTAGGTTATTTCATCATCAATTGGAAGGCAAAGGACACCTCAGCTGGTCCACATTATCAGCCCAAGCATTAAGTCACAAGCCCTATTCTCCATACACCACAGAATGTCTCCCAAGAAAATTAAATACAAAAATGAAGCAACCATATTAAATCACTGAACGCCTCATCTGTTAGCCAAGCTAGGAAAACCACCTTCTGACAATGACTCGTGTTCAACGGCAGCTACTGAAGAAGTTAGGTTAAGAAAAAAATGAATTTAAGACTATCGGTGTTTTGGAAAACAGTTGTTCTAAAAGCTAAGGATGCTGGAAGCAACATCAACAGTCAACTAACAATGAGGCAAATGAGGGGTACCTGGGCAGCTCAGTCAGTTAAGCATCTGACTCTTGATCTCGGCTTGGGTCATGATCTCACCGTCATAAGATCGAGCCCCATGTCCGGCTTGATGCTGGCCACACAGGGCCTCCTTGGGATTCTCTCCGTCCCTCCCTCTCTGCCCCTCTCCCGGTCACATGCTCTCTCTCAAAACAAATAAACTTAAAAATAATTTTTTTTAATGAGAATGATTTGAAGTAATTTTCCTTGAATTCTGATGAATCCACAGATGTTACTGATACTGCTCAACCGCTTCTTCCAAGAGTCAACGCCTCAGCACTGAGCTGAGAAGTGACTGAAGGATTAGCCTGTATGCATGGTCTGTGTGGAACAATCCGACTGCAGGCACGAATAGTTTCAAAGTTCAGAAAACACTAATTCAGAAAAACATGAATTGGAACCTGCTGAAATGTAATACGGCAAATCCTTTGTGGAAATTATCTGCATCTCTCATTAGTATTGACTCCACTCAATCTACTGGTAACATCAACAGTTACCTTCGTTTGCTCCCGTGCACCTCACCAGCTTTACCAGATACATATTTGCCGTCTACTTTGATGACAAGAAATGATACCTTTGAACCCCAGTCAAGCAAAATGATACCTATTCTTTTCATCAGAAGACGCCCCATTATAAAATGCTGTACTCAATTACTATGGTTCTACTTTGAATTTAGTCTATTAAAAAGTTATGGATGCTTTTTCTAGATTTTGACTCTTGACCCAAGTCTAATATACTTACTATGTGGCCCTTTACAGAAAAAATCTGTAAACCCCTGACACTGACAATCACTATCACCGTCTTGCACATGACAGAATGAAGGCAGAGGATCAGCAATCTGACTGAGGTCTCACAGCTAAGGAGCGCAGGCTAACCTCAGAGCACACGATCTGCACCACTGAGCCAACGGCAAACACAGAAGATCCGAGGGAATAAAACAAACAGCATACACGGAAGATACTAAAGGTACCACCCACGTTATGAAATCACATCAGTACAACCAGAACAAGCTTTTTTGGAATCTAACCAGTCAGAGACAACGGGCTCAGGACCCGGCCTACGTGTTACGGCGAAAAGGAAACCACTGTGTCAAACTTAAAGATTAATCGTTTCTGGGAAAGACACCAAGTCTCAAAAAAAGTACAATCTGTATTACAGGCATAAATTTACAGCCCAGGATTTCACAAGTGAGACTTCATTGTTAAGAGATTTGGAAGGGGTGTCTGGGTGACTCAGCTGAGCATCCAACTCTTGATTTTGGCTCAAGGTCATGATTTCATGGGGTGTAAAATCCCTACTTGGGATGCTTTCTCTGCCCCTCCCCAGTTCATGGGCTCTCTCTCCCTCTCAAGATAAATGAATAAATTTAAAACAAAGAAAGAAAAGAAAGGGATTTGGAAAAATAATTAAGTCTGAGGTCCTGAGAAAGAAAAGAAACTTATCCATCCACAAAATGCCATCCTGTCCCCATCTGGTCTGAGGTGTCCTTTTTTCTTTCTTTTTTTGCAACTGGAAAGATGAAGAAAGAAAACAGAAAAACATTCTATCTCATACATCTATTGCAATCTCAGAAAACAAGAACAGAAAAGATAAGTCAAACTCCATGTTATGAGCAATTCTGTGACCAGCAAAGCCCCAAGTGCGGCAGCACTTGTTTGTTTAGTTTGAGGTCTACTTCTCAAGGCATTTACAACACCGAAAGAGCAGTAGTAGACTTTCCATTTTAATTAAATACTCAAAATTGATTGTGATAAGTTTACAACCAATAGTTAAGTACTTAGGGACGGCTAATATACTAAATTATGAAATTTACTTTCTTAGATGTGCAAACAAGGTACATATCTCAGAGAACTGACGGTCAGAGGATATCAATTAACCAATTCACTTAAGAGGTAAGTGAGGACCAGAGAAGAGCACACTAGGTTAGGGATTCCCTTCCCCACACACAAACTCTCCCTGGAGAGAAATGGGCTCATCTGCGGACATCCCGGGCAGCTACCCGAACAGGGTCAGCTTTCGGCCAAGCCAGTAAAAGCTCAGGACACACAGCGCACAGTCCTGACTGGGCCTCTACCCTGGGCAACGAGGTGAGCAGATCACCGACACAGCTGGGCCAGCCTGGCCCTAGTCCCTCCAGCGGTGTCCACACTGAGCGTTGCAGCATTTGTAGAAAGTGGTCATTGGCTCGTCTGCAGAGCGGGTCTGAAGCTGCATGAAATAGGCACGGGGATGCTCGCATTTAGGGCAGGATTCTGGCAACAAGAAAAACAAGTGACCCACATTGTTTTTAAAAAATGACATTTATGAGCAAAACACATCTGTTCCAAGTAGGTGTTACAGAAAGTCAGCAAAGACCCTCCCCCCCACCTCATTCACCTGGGATCCCTTGCCTGGGCTACCTCGTACCATGATCTGAGGCTACAATTAGTGGCAGCATTCCCCTGTGCTCCCACAATGAGGGAACTGAGGATGCCTAGGTCTTGTAAAACACTCCCACGCCCCTCCGTGGGTCCCATTTTCTTCTCTAATCTGGCTGAAGACTGGTTGGAAATGTAACATGAAAAGTGACTTAGGGCTACCATGTGCACTATGAGGTCCACTCCCAGAAGAATCTTCTAAGTGCATTTCCATCATCTAGGCCTTCTCACCTCCCCAGAGGAGCCCCTAGTGTATGGTGAACCCACTTTCCTTCACATTTAGGGATCGAGGGGCACCTGGGTGGCTTAGTTGGTTGAGTATACGACTCTTGATTTCAGCACAGGTGTCACCTCAGGGTTCATGAGTTAGAAGCCTGTAATGAGCTCTGTGCTGACAACACACAGCCTGCTTGGGATTCTCTCTCTCCTCCTCTCTCTGTCCCTCCCCTACTCATGCACGCGTGCTCTCACTCTCTCTCTCAAAACAAGTATATGAAAAAAAAAAAGAACGAAATTTAGGGATCCATTTTGGCAATAGTTGCTCAGGCTATTCTTATGAACATCCCACACCTTTGCAAAGTGTCTCAAGGCAAAGTTATTTCACTTTGAGAAAGTGACCCTACTCTTCATAACACCTTCAAACACTCTCAAACACCATGTCGACCAATAGGTACATAATTCGTTTTCTTTTGACAAATTCTGCCAATGCTATTTTTACCGTGCCAAATTTGGCTGCTCTTCTATAGGGGAAAAAAAGACGGTACTAAGCAGGGACTCTTACTCCACTAAGTAGAGGTGTGTCCAGGGCGCTCCTCTTTCCTTCCTTGGTCATGTCTATCAGATATGAAACAAGACTTAAACGTTTTACTTTTTTCTTTTAATGTTTATTTTTGAGAGAGCGAGCGAGCACGCGCGAGCAGGGGAGGGGCAGAGAGAGAGGGAGACACAGAATCCAAAACAGGCTCCAGGCTCTGAGCTATTCCTCAGCACAGAGCCCGACGCGGGGCTCGAAATCACGGACCGTGAGATCATGACCTGAGCCAAAGTCAGACGCCCAACCGACTGAGCCACCCAGGCGCCCCAAGACTTACACACTTTAAAGCTCTCTGTCATTAACTTTAAAAAACCTACACCAGATTCTTTCTCCTTAAGCTCCGACTTGTATTACTCCTGTCGTTGTTGCTGTCATCATAGCTACCACGTATGGAGTGTATTGGAGGGATTCACCTCATGCTCTCATCATCAGTGAATATCGAATAGCCTAGAAAGGTCAAGGGAGCCCACCAAGGTCATAAAACAGGAAGAGGTCACTCTGAGACTCGAATCTAGGTCTGTGCCTATATTGTCTGAGTAACAAATTATTAAAGGAAAACATTAACACACTTTCTATTTTTAGAAGCTCGCTTCCTCCTAGTACATCACTGACTCGGACATGTGGAAGTGTCACGGTCAGCAGCCTCATTCCTCTCCACAGCTCAATAACAGAAAAGGTTCCTTCTCACCTGCGGTAGAGTCAACATTCTCCCAGGCAGCCGCTCCACCAAGCACATCATCCACTTCTTTCAGCTTTGGATACTTCCGATTTGTTACCTAACAAACAACAGCAGGTCTTCAGGCTCCGGGTAAGCGAACATTACAAACCTGGGCCCGCAAACCAGACCTGTCCTCAAGGGTCTTCCCAGACCTCCTTCCTTCAGCACCACACTAGGGGGATGGAAACTAAAAGAAAACAAAGTGTCTACTCTCATAGAGCAGGACTTCCTATTGGGATTTAGAGGATCCAGGTTTGGGATACCTCCCAAAAAGAAGAGAAAGATTCACTGGTGAGGGGAAAAAAAAAAATCTCTGCAAGGACTGGAAGCCACACCACAACAGGAAGGAAAATGGCACAGCTGGGACCCCACACTTGTGGGATACTAGGTAACCCAAGATGAGAGAAACACAACTAAAGGCAAAGAGTACCCCTTACTGGCGAGCCCAGCCAGAGAGCTTTCAAAGCAGGTCACATGTGGCTTCCTTCCCAAGTTTTACCACATTTCCTTGAAATTTCAGGGTTACCCAAGAGTTCACTCTTCCCAGTTTCAGATCCTCAACTCCCACAACACAGCTCTGCGGTACAGTAGTATGCAAACATTAAGAGGCAGTGCTCTACTTCTAAAAAGAAAAAGCGTGCTAATAAAGACGGTATTATCAAGGCAAAGTAAGAAGTTATAATAGAGTGCACGATTCCGCTACATTCCAAGTTCAGACTAGAGCATAACAGGGAACAAAATAGAAAACTCACTGCTCTCCTTACACTTTATGTCCCTAGTAGTGATAAACAAAGTCTGTACATTACAAAGTATATTGGAAGGAGTCCGACGGATACAAATTAAACAGGGAAGGTGGACAAAATGGGAGGAGGGGCTGGCTTTAAACGCAGCAATCACGAAACACACGACCAACGAGTGGCGTGGTTATCTAGGGAAAAAGTAAACCGCGCAGACGGCAGGTGCGCAAAGCCCGGGTAGTAGCGCCACGTGCGCGAGTGGGCTCCTCCAAGAGGCTGGTGTTGCTGGGGACAAAGACTACATAAGGACGCGCCTCAGATGTGCAAGGTCGCGGGGAGGTGTTGGTGTCAGAGCCTGCCCGGCTCCGCGAATGTACGCAGGATGCTAAGAGTCTCTGAGCACAGGACGGCCTTGATCTGACTTAGACGCTGACGGGATCACTCGGGCAGCTGCCGAGAATACGGGCAAGGAGCGTGCGCGGGGGCCGGGAGCCCGAGGGCCAGGTTCGGGCTGCAACGCCGGGAGACGACTGGGCGGAGCCCAAGGTGACGGCACTGGGGAGGGACAAACGGCCGGATCGAGGTAGAAAACACAGGATCTGCAACCGACAGGAAGTGGCTGGGAGAGCTCGGGCGCAAGAGGGCGGACTCGGGGCTGGTGGCGGAAAAGCGGGAGGCTCCTTTGGGCCCCACCTTGCGGGTGATGTTGTGCACGTAAGGGCAGGTGTTGCAGGCGAAGCGGTGGCAGCGCTGTCCCTCTTCCACGATTAGTCCGTTCCCGCAACCAGGGCAGAAGAGCAGCATGGCGGCCGACCGGACCCCTCAGGCTCCCGGCAACCCCCGCGGCCGCTGGGCCCCGCCGCTAGGTCCGTCTCGAGCTCACATTGGTTCCGGAAGCCGCCCCGCCGCTCGGCCTACCAATGGAAGCACCGACTTCGCGTTCCCAGCGAGCACTGCGGCAGGCCGCCTCGCGCCCCTCGTTGGTCCTCGTGGAGGCCCCGCCCCTCGCGAGCCCCATGAATGGGCGGCTGTCCCCGCGCGCCCCGCCTCCGTCGCGTACGCTCGCTGGTAGTGCCGGCGGGCCCGGGGGACCCAGGGGCGCCCTGGAGCGGGCGGAGGGGGAGGCGGCCGTGCGGCCCGAGACGCCCGAGACGCCCGAGGATGATGAGGACGAGGAGGAGGCGCTGCCGCACTCCGAGGCCGTGGACGTGTTCCAGGAGGGTCTCGCCATGGTCGTGCAGGACCCGCTGCTCTGCGACCTACCGATCCAGGTGCGCGCGGCCCGGGGGCCGCCAGGGTCGTTCCCCGCCGGGGCGCCCGCAGACGGACGTCTGGAGGCCCTGATGGGGAGCTGGGGGAGGGCGCCTCTGGGCTCAAACGAGGGTCTTAAGCCTGGGGGTGGGGGGGACGAGGCTCTCACCTGACGCGCAGAATGTAAAGGGGCTCAAAACAAAACAGAACAAGAGAAACACTAGCCAGGATGTATGACCTTTTAATATACTGTTTTCAAAGCTCAAAGGTCATGTAAATAAGTCTGTGATGAAACAGTAAATTTTACGTAAAGACAAGATCGGCGTTGCTGGGTTTTCACTTATCATCTTTCAGTGTGGCTCAGCAGGGTCCTGTTAAATCCTTGTTTTGTTCATATTGGAGGGTTAAAGTTAACTTGTATTATTTTCTAGTTGTATTACAGTGTTTTATCATTACCGTGTTTTTGATGTCTTGTTAAATCTTGCACACTTGCCTCATCTCAACATTGTCCTGGGCCCTGGCCTGAATCCTGGTGCTTGGGGGCGCTCAGACTGGACTCACACTGACACGGTCTTCCGTGCCTCCACGCCCCAGAACCCGGCTGTGATCTCCATCCTCCTGGGTCTATACTCCTCTTTCTCCCGAGCTTCTGTCGCTTTGCCCATTAAATACAAATATGTGGGTGGAACTGGGAAACCCCAACATAGAAACAACGAATTTTCAGTTTCTTGTCCTCCATAAAATGTGGTACTGCTTTTTGGACACTCTCAGTTTGTTTTCTTTTGTTGTTGTTTGGGATAGTAAAGAGAGGCAGGGCTCCCACTTCCACCCTTGGTCTTTTTGTAGGTTACTTTAGAAGAGGTCAATTCGCAAATAGCATTAGAATATGGCCAAGCGATGACAGTCCGAGTGTGCAAGATGGATGGAGAAATAATGCGTAAGTGCTCCCTTCTCCCTTCAGACCATGCAGTCTGAGTTTTCGCACAGACACGATGCCAACAGTGGGAAACTCAAGGGCCATGTCCAAGGATATTGGGGCAGCCTTAGGCCCACCCTACCCAGACGTGAATCTCCATCCAAAACCGTCTGGACAGAGCTTCTGGGTTCCTTTCCTGCCGTCTGAGGCTGTAGCTCACCGCTGTGGCTGTTCTCCATTTGCGTTGCAGCTGTGGTGGTGGTACAGAATGCCACAGTCCTGGACCTGAAGAAGGCCATTCAGAGATACGTGCAGCTCAGGCAGGAGCGCGAGGGGGGCATTCAGCACATCAGCTGGTAAGTGGAGTCGCAGGAAGGGCTGGGGCCGCACGAGCACCTGGTGCCTGTGTGCTGCAAAGTGCCAGCGACTTCTGAGCCTCCTGCCCTGAGCGCTGAGACGTGGCGGCTGCCTCCTTGCCTGGGAGTCTTGCCTCAGCTGCTCTTGCACGCCCTTCACCTCACCTAGACAGCATTTCCAGCATCCAGAAGTGGCCTCCCTGGTCACACCTGCTGCAGCTGTCGGTGGCCCCACCCCATATCTACTAGGTCAGATACCGCTGTCTGTGTCTTGCTGTTGCTGCCTGTTTTGTGATAAGGTGTGTTTGGCTCCCAGCCACCCCCACGCAGCCCTTCGAGAGCAGTGTTTCCTTAGAGCTGCCTCACGCCTAGTGCAAACACGGTATGGGAAAAGCCAAGGCCATGCCCTAGGGCCCCCAGGCCTGAGCGCCTTGAGCTCATCTCACACACAGCCCCCGCATCCCAGCTGCCCGCTCACCATGCGTGTGGTTTATGTGAGTCCCCATCCGAATCTTGCAGGTCCTACGTGTGGAGGACATACTACCTGATCTCTGCAGGAGAGAAGCTCACAGAGGACAGGAAGAAACTTCGAGAGTAAGTTTAGACCCCATCTTGAGCTGCATCGGGTGTGTTGCCCTCTTGTTCCCCAAGCGCTGCCAGAGGGCTGGGGCCCCTTCCCAGGATAGGAGGAGTCTTAAGTCGGTTACTGGGGAATAAGCAAGACCAGGACACTCCCTGGCGGGGCTGACTCCTTCCTGCAAGAAGCTTCCTGGGGGCCCTTCCTACCGGAATGGGAGGCACAGGCGCAGCATGAGCCCTGCTCACTAGTGGCAGTGTGGCGCTTCCCACGGCCACAGGAGGGCAGTGAGCGCGTGTGTGCGGGAGGAAGGCTGCTGGCTGGCACTCCCTCACCTTCCTGGACATGGTGCTCTCCCCATTCATCCTTTCTTGGTCCCTTACAAGCCTCAGGTGAGGAGTCACAGACCTCCTGCAGATCACACACTGCAGCTCTCCTTCTTTCTCAGTTACGGCATCCGGAATCGGGATGAGGTGTCCTTCATCAAAAAGCTGAGGCAAAAATGAATCTCCAGACAAGGACAGCTGTGCCAGTGGCCACGCTCCCTGCCCGCCCCCCGCCAAAGGAGGAAGCCTTAGACAACTGTTCCCTTTTCACAGAGGAGGGTTGAGGTTGCCTGCACCCTTCCGGAACGCAACTAAGCCCTAGGCCACAACACCCTAATCATGGGGCAGATGGGCCTGGCCCTGTGTATGGGATTCATCTGCTTGCTTTTTACTTTGAAAACTAAAAAAGCCACAGTACTTGGGGCAGGAGGGACTGGTGCTGCCCAGTCATGGAGGAGAAGCAAGGGCCCAGAACCGTGCAGGTGAGCGCTAAGGTCAAAGATGTTTCACCTGAGCCCTGTGGCCACTCCCCTGGCTGTATGACCCTTTGGCTGTGATCTCTACAGCAAGGGGAAATAAAGGCAGAATGGCTGGCTTTCTGTTTGTGCTTTTGGGGAAGCAAGGGCCTGGCATCAAGAGTATATGGATGGGCCCCCAGCCTCAGCTCACAGGGTTCACCTCTAGCAGCGCCTTCACCCTTTGGCTTCTGGAAAGGGAGGTAGCCTGGGGCTGAACTTTGAGCTGCCGGCCAGGTATGGGGTGCTGGGGTCAGCGGTGCTTCTCAGTGGCGGGTGGAGGGTGACCCGACAGCTACAGGTTCTTCTTTCGTCGTCAGCTGCCAGTTACTGTACGGAAGGGGGACAATGGGCACCCATGCATCTGGTCGGGAGGTGTGTCTGACACTTAGCTCCCTGTCCTGGGGAAGGGGAAGCGAGGTGGTCAGCAGCCTGAAGGATCTCCCTCCACAGCCCCCAGCCAGAAGCCAGAAAGACAAGGCCGCTCCGGTAAGTTAGTGGCAGCTAAAACGCTCCCAGTCCATTTATTGGCCACGTGAGGTGGTCGTCAAGAGACTAGTTAGAAGGTAATCTTGGGAACTAGTGTAATAAATGCCCTGAAGTACAAGAGGTTCACCACTGGCGAGCCAGGCACGAGAGGTCAGCGTTCAGGAAGCAGGCAGGACGGCACGTGGGGCTTGAAAGTCCAGGCCTGCGCCCGTGAGCCTTGGGGCAGGCCCTGTGCCCGGCCCACTCAGTGGAGCTGCGCATCCAGCTCGTACTTCTCACAGAACTTGTCGGTGAAGGGGATGCAGGTGAGGAACTCACACCACTCGCAGCGCACGGGGTAGAAGTAGAAGAGGACCACCAGGCCGGCCAGGAGGCCCAGGAAGACCACCTGAAAGACGATGATCTGGCAGCGCTTGCGGTACAGGTCAAACTTGCCGAAGCTGATGTAGGGCAGGAAGGCAAAGGAGAGGAAGAGGCCGCTGATGAAGCCTGAGATGTGAGCAAAGTTGTCGATCCAGGGCAGCAGCCCGAAGGTGAAGAGGAAGAGAACCACGGCCGAGAGCTTGAAGAAGGCCCGCCAGGGCCTGGCCAGGACCTGCCAGCTCTGGAAGAGCTCCACGAACAGGCAGGCCAGGATGCCAAACTGGGAGCCGGCTGGGCCCACCTGGAGGCAGCGTGGGTGGCAGTGAGCTGGTGGCGCTGAACACACCCACCGCAACCCAGAGCCCCGTGGCCCCAGCCTGCCTCCCGTGGCCCAGAGCATATTGAGATTAAGGAGCCAAAGGGAGATGCTCCCAGTCTGGACCCGGTGTGTGACGGGCAGCAGGTGCACACGGGAGGGTGCCAACCCCAGATGACGGCCTTACCTCTGCCCGGTACGGCAGGAAAATGGCACTGGCCAGGTTACCAGTGACACCGCTCAGCAGGTAGATGATGGCTATTCGGTGCCAGCCTGCCAGCTTCTCTAGGTCCCGCAGGACAGTCATCTGGAAGCAGACTGACACCAGGCAGTGCAGGATCCTGGGTGGGGGGAGGGGGTGCTCAGCCAGGAAACCACCCTTTCGCCATCTCTAGCCACCCCTGGGGTCCCTGGGACCAGCCACCCCGCCCACCCCTTCTCGGCCCAAGTGGTATCACTTGCCCAGCGTGCAAGAAGAGAGACAGCCACAGGCGGTAGAACTGGTCAGGCACCTCAGGGTTGAGAAAGGGCAGGAGCCCGCACACGTCATCCATGCAGTGCACCTGTGCAGAGTGGCCCATCAGCACCCCCTGTGGCTGGGGGGAGAGGGGAGGGACGCTCACCCTGGAGGCCTACCTGGGAGCACAGTGTGGCCTCCTCGTGGAAGTAGCCCCTCATGAAGTCACAGTACTCCCGGGAGGTAATCTCACACCTGAAAGGTCAGGCCAGGATTGGAAGGGCTTGTAGAGGGACCCATGGGCAGAGGCACCCGACTATGCCACCCGGGTGCAGCCTTCAGCCCTGTGTGCCCACTGCCGTTGGCTCTGGCCAAGTCCAGGCAGACCCCTTCTCACCCCAGGTACCTTGGGATCTTGGGTTATTTTGGAACTTGGTGAGAGAAGGGCACAGCCTCCGGGAGTCTGACCCGGGGCTGGCTACACGCACCAGCACAGGCTCACCTACCTGCCCTTCGTGCCGATGCAGCAGGGCCGGCCTGTGATGACACAGTCCATGTGCGGGTGGTTGGTGTGGTTTCCGGCACTGTTTTTGGTGCAGATCTGGGTCCCAAGGTCGGGGGGGGGGGGCGGTGAGTTGGGTGGAGGCCCTCCCCCAACCCTGGGGCCCACAACCATGCTTGGAGATTGGGACCAAGATGGACAGGCCCCTAAGGAAAACAGCCTCCCTGGATGTCAAGCAGGCTACCACACCCCGAGACTCAGACGGGCCATCTGTCAGGCTGGAGTAGTCATATCACCAATGGGGGAGCGTGCACTCCTCCCCCACCAAACAGGGTGACCCACAAACAACCCCTCCACCCTGGCTCACCGGCCACTTGGTGATGTCATCTGGCCACTCGTGGGGGTCCTCGGAGGAGGGCTCATCACACACCCTGCATGAGCCCAGGATGTAGTCAGACGCTGCTTTTTGCCCTTGGGATCCACGCCCTCCCGTCTGACTTGACACATGGTGCAGCTGTACCCTCTCCCCCCACGCCCCGCGGAGCCATAGGCAAAGGAGGGAAGGGAGGGGCTGGCAGTACTGACCTGGGGTCCTGATGGCAGACAGAGCCAAACTGCCTCTTGTGGCCGGCAAGGTCTGGGGCACTGGGGTGGAAGGGCCACTTCACCCACACTGCCAGCGTGGACTATGGGAGGACACGGGGTCAGCCCGTGGTCAGAGCCCACCCTCAGCCAATATAATCTCCAGGAGGCAGGAATCAAAAGCAAAGTCAGTGAGGCCCTCACACTGACCCACAACCCAATTTCAATGAAATTACACTCCACTAACATGCAGGCATGTTGGGAGCTCAACAACCAGTGTCCACATCGGAGCTGGTGTAACCTATAGCACCTCCACATAAGATGACGTCATAAAGGGGACGCCTGGGTGGCTCAGTCGGTTAAGCATCTAATTTCAGCTCCGGTCATGCATAATCTTGAGGTCCGTGAGTTTGAGCCCCACATCAGGCGCTGTGCTGACAGCTCACAGCCTGGAGCCTGCTTCAGATTCTGTGTCTCCCTCCCTCTGTGCCCCTCCCCCAACATGGTCTGTCTGTCTCTCTCAAAAATAAACATTAAAAAAAACGTTTCTTAGGGGCACCTGGGTGGCTCAGTCGGTTAAGCCTCCGACTTCGGCTCAGGTCATGATCTCACGGTTTGCGGGTTCGAGCCCCACGTCGGGCTCTGTGCTGACAGCTCAGAGCCTGGAGCTGCTTCAGATTCTGTGTCTCCCTCTCTCCCTGACCCTCCCCTGCTCACGCTGTCTCTCTGTCTCTCTCTCAGAAATAAATAAGACATTTAAAAAATTTTAAAAAGTTTCTTAAAAAAAGTTGATGTAGCAAACACTTGGATGAATCTTGTTGTTTGGTTTTTTCTTGTTTAGTGGAAAAGAATAAGGCAACACCACGTGTGTAAACTTAAGACACATGCACAAAAACAGGTCCAACCACCCAAATCAAAGACTCCCTACACCTGTCTTCTGACAGGAGGAGCAGGAAATGGAGGAAGCAAGGGATAAAAGGAATAAATGTGAGCGGAGGGCCCTTGCACGGAGCCATAATATGCCCGGAAGTAGGGTAGGGATGACTCGACCGGCTCCATCTGAAGTTCCAAAGTGACCACAAACACGTGGTGGGGGGGCACAAACCGAGCACTCCTCCTCGGACGTCTGCACGCAGCCCGAGCGGTCATTGCGCACGCAGCAGGCCGAGTGCTTCTCACGCTCGCGGGCTGCGCGGATGAAGCTGTGCACCTGCGGGTCCTGGCGCATGCAGGGCGAGAACTTGGCACCCAGGTGAATGAGAGCCTCCTGCGGACGAGCGGATGTGCAGCTGCAGAATCCGGCCCCCTGCCAGCCCAGGGCTCCCACCCTCCGGCACCCACAAGGCCCTGCCCTCACCGAGCTGGGCCCGATCCAGAAGTTCTCCTGCTGCACATACTTGACATTCTCATAGACCCCGCGGTTGCGCAGTACCTGGAAGGTTGGGGAGAGAGATCAGACACAACCCACTCCAGCCACCGCCTTCCAGAGAGAGGCAGGAGGGAGTCCAGAGCCCAGACTCCAAGGGGCTGGGCTGGGCAGGGCGCCTGGGCTCACCGAGTCCACGGTCTCGTGCTGAGAGAAGCCCACAGGCGCGATGCCGTAGATGCACACGGCTAGAATGGTGACGAGTGAGTGCACGAAGGTGAGCCAGTAGGTGAAGAACGGCCTGCAAGGCAGAGCGTCAGCGGAGGCAGCATCCCCAACCCGAGAACCCGCCCCCAACCTGGAGCCTTGCCTGCGGGAAGCTGCATCCCACCCACACTCCCACCCCATGCCTACCTGTGGTCATCCATGTCCTCAATCTGGCGCTTGACATAACTGTCGATTCGCTTGCGGTACGTGCGGTTGGTCAGCCGGCCTACCATGCCCAGCCCGTACGGCCGCTTCTCCCTGGCAAAGAACTTGCGCACGGGCATCGCGATGCGCTGGCCCCGCCGCTGCCCTGCCGTGCTCACTACCTCCTGCCGCAGCCGTACCTTGGGCTGTGGGGCCACGGCGCCGCCCTCCTTCTGCTTCCTCCAGCCTCGTTCTAGGGGCCTGGGGGAAGGGGCGAGGTCACCTCCCGCCCTAGACTCCCAACCCGCTCCAATCCCTCCCAGCAGGACCAGGGTGACCTTTGCTCTGTGTCTGGCGCCCGTCTACCAGTGAAGGCTCCGTGCAGCCCTTCGGCATCAGCCTCCTCCTTACCAGCAAAAGAGCAATCCCGAGCCCCCCTGGGGACGGCAGAGGTGGAACCTGCCCTCTGTGAGGTCCCTGGATGATCTACAAGTATTAATCGCATCCTCCATCTCCCTGCTAGATTCTGTCCAGCCTGTGGACTCTGGGATCACGTTCCTGTCCCACAGGTGGGCAGCCAGACTTGGATGGTGCCCAGCCCTGGGTCCCACAGCCACAGTGACCGGGCTGGGCCCACAGTCCCGGAGATGACTGCTTATCGCGGCCCTCCAGGCCCAGACGCTCCCGACCTCACCCCTCCTAACTGGCCGGCAGCACTCACAACATCAAGTGGCTCCGCTCAAGCTCACTGCGGTCCAGGGCCCCACCCGTTAGGTCCGCCTGCTCTGCAGCTTTCTCCCAGTCCTTGAGTGCTGCCTCCGAAGGGGACTCGAACACCTCGTCTGGGTACGTGGACAGCTCTTCGTGGAGGACTCCTTCCTGAGCAAATACACACGGTGGTCAGGGTGGGACACGTAGGCGGAGGGGCCTCAGGCGATGCCCCCATGCTCTTACCCGGGCAAAGAATGATGTGTCCAACTCGTCAGGGAAGTCAGCTGTATCCTCTTCCAGGAAGCTGGCAGGAGTGAAGCTTCGGCGCTGCACCCGGCGCAGTGTGCCATCCCTAACAGAGCGGCCCTACCAGCGAGGAGGTGAGCACGCGGCGTGGTGGCCGGCCTAGTTCCCGTCCCACCGCAGTCCCTGCACCCACCTTCACCAGGGCTGCTGCTGCCCGGAAGCTCATCTTGGCCACCGATTCACGCTTGCGTCGCCGCGGGAGCCGGTTGAAGCCCGAGCGGGAGCTGGAGAAGGAGCAGAGGGAAGCGGCGCCAGGCGTGACAGGTGTGTGGGGGGCACTCAGGCCGTCGGCCGTGTCATCTGCCACTCGGAAGGCCCGGCCCCGGGCCAGGGGATCTATGATCTGGCAGAGGGACGGAGATGTAAGAGTCAGGGACTGGGTCACTGCTCCGGGGGGCTCCTTTTCCACCCTATACCCCAGTGCGGAGAACACAGCTACCGGTCTTCGCACTCCCCAGTGCGTCCCTGGATGGCTGGGTGGGTGCCCAGAGAGGTCCCCATCCTCAGCTGTTCATCCTGCGATACTCTAGAGACTGGCCCATGGTACAACCCCAGGACGTTGTCCCTTACCCCCGACCCCCCTTCCCAGAGTACCTCGGGGGCCCTTTCTGGGACCATCTGACAACCGTCCCACACCATGAGCTCTGCTCAGGCTGGCTGTGTCCCCAGGCCCAGCCCAGGGAACAGAGTGCGAAGCCTGTAGAAGGCAGAAGGTGGGCATACCCTCTGCATGCCCAGCTGGCACGGCCCCACATACAGCGGCGGGGGCGTCTCAGTGCTGGCCAGAGACACGTTGTCCTGACTAGGCAGGTCTAGCTCCCGGATGGCCTGCGGCTTCAGCCTCCCATAGCGCTGGCTGCAGTGGCGGATGCTCTTCCGCTGCCATTTCTGGGTGCTGTCGCTGTCCTTGCTCACTCCGAACCAGTCCGCTGTGCCCCTGTCACGGGAAGGTCTCAGCAGGGTAAAGCCGGATCTTCCGCCACCCTCAGCAGGGGCCTCAGAGGCCCTCCTCGCATGCAGCACGCCCCCACCCAAGCCTCCAGCCACTCTAGGGTCTGGGGTCCAGGTGGGCTGGGTCTAATCGAGGGGATGAGCGGGTTCCAGCCCTGGCCATCAACCCCTAAACAATGAGCCAACTCCAAATTCCCACTACAGATGGCAGGCCTTGCCCAAGTGAGTATTTTACACAGATCCTCCACCCATCATGGGGAGGGGGGGTGGTTCGTGGGAGACAATGAGTCCACAGATGGCACTCAGAGCTCAGCCCTCAGCCAGAGAGCTTGGCCCCGGGCAGCAGCCGGACCTTGGACACCAGAGAATTCAGGCAATACACACTGCAAGCCCAGGAGAGATGCCCACAGTTCTCGGACATGCAAGGAAAACGCTACCGGCACCTGCTGTTAGGACCCCCAGGGGACAGCAACTGCACCGGCAACAGCCATGCACACGCCAGCTAACGTCAACACACTCATGCCCTGCGCCAGGTACCTGAGCAGGGACCGAGAGAGAGACCGGCGCTGCGGGAGGGCCCTGCGGGCACCGGGGGGCCCCAAGAGGGGCAGAGTGTGGACACGCCCAAAGCGTACCTGCCGGCTGTTCAGGGGCCAGAGCATCGGGAGAGGGGAGACAGAGAAGGAGAGAGTGAGTGCTGGAGGGGAGCAGAGAAGGTAGGAGGTGAGAGCAGTTGGTCCCCAGAGCGGGAGGAGGACAAGGTGACACGAGGAACAGCACTGAGGAGAAGGCCAAGACAGGAAGGCCCCTTGCTCCACTCCCAGGCCTAGTATCCAGAGGGGACCCGGTGTGACTGCCTTGTCCCCCTGTTCCCCAGCCCCCCCCGCGGCGGGACAGCCGAGGCAGCACAGTACCTGCGGATGGTCTGCGTGATGGACGTCTGGCGCTGCAGCACCGGCCGCCGGGCCTCATGATGGGGCGAGGGGACCCGGGCTGCCTCAGCCGGCATGCTCACGCTCCGCAAGAAAGCCTGGCGTCTCAGGGGCTGGACGAGGGGGTCACGGTGAGGAGGCTGGAGGGGGCACGCCCACAGCCCCCACTGGCCAGCACCTACCTGTACGAAGCTCGGCTCCTCTGCCACGGGGGGCGCCACCACTGGTATGTCCAGCTTCAGCCAGGGTGGCTTCTTGCGCTGCAGGCTGCTCGTGCTGTCCCTGCGGGCCTCGCTCATGGTTCCAGGGGGGGACAAGGCAGGCCTGGGGGGCGGGGCGGGCGACACTCGGTAACAGTGCTGACAGAACTCTAAGGGTTCACCAGGCCCAGGGGTGTTCCCGGGCCTTGAGGCTGAAGACCTACTGACCTACTGTGTGCTCAGCACTAATCTGCTGAGTGCCTGCTTCATTCGTCCCTAGAGACGTTGCAGGCACTGAACTGAGTCCTCAGGCAATATAAATTCATTTGTGTCAAAAGACACAAATTCAGATATTTGAGCATCTACTATGAGTCTCTCTTAGGTGCTTGAGGACACATTGGTGGGGAAAGGAAACAAACAGGGACAAAACATCGGACTTCCTGGAGCTTCCAGTCCAGGCAAACAATAAAGCTATATGTAGATACAATGCGTTAAAATATGAGAAGTATGATAGGAAAGACAGCACATTCCAATGGCCGGGGCACCTGTGCCTCCCTGTGAGGTGACATCTAGCAAAGGCATGAAGGTTGTGATGAGGTGAACGTGGCCAGTGGTTGGGAAGCCAGGTTGCTCCTCACACGGGGAACAGCCGGGCTGAGGGTCCTGCCCCAGTCGGTATGCAGTGCACATCTCACGTGTATCTGACCCATACCTCACGTCCTTCCCATCTGCTCCAAAGACAAAGGGCCCACTGCACCCACAATAGGGGTGTGTGATCCCGCCATCTCAAAGAGGTACAGCCACATGGCTTGCAGGCGGCCACACGGAAGCTCCCACCTGCAGGGGACCTACTGAAAACCACCAACATGCGGATGCTGCTGTGATCACCAGGGGGCGCCACGCGCCCAAGAAAACAGATGCACAGCCGTGCCGGGCACCTCCCTCAGCATCTGAGACCCTGGCACAGCGCAAGGGCCCAAGCAGAGCAGAGAGGACCCAGAGCAGAGGCCAGGTTTGATTTGTCACCCGCCGCCTGGCCGGGTGACAGTGAGGCAACGACCATGTGCCATGGCCTCTTGGGCACTCTATTCCCCCCTTACAAAAGGTCACCTTCAGGGCAGATCTGGTTGTGCCTCCCCACAGGACGACAAGGTGTCTGGAGGCAGGAAATCCAAGGTTGGAACGGTTGCCCAAGCACACTGGGCGGCGTGGATGGCAGGCGAGTGGCTAAGCAATACTCAGAGGGGCAGAGACTCCAAAATCCCTTGGGGACATCAAAGGGCTTCGGACCCAAACAGACTCTGAAATTTGGGTTTGGGAAGCCACCCATGAACGCCTCTCAAAATAGCCTCCCTTGCAATCCCCTGAAGGAGACAGAGAGAAAGCCCCGCCCATGCTTTACAAACAGGAAGACTGAGGCAAAGGGAACGGGGCTTGCCTTGCCCGAGGTCACATATTCAGTCCTGAGGTCACATATTCAGAGAGCGTAACTACAGGCAGCCCCAGGACGGTACCCACAGCTCCCACTGGACTCCCACAGAGCAGGGAAGGCAGGAACTCTGTTCAGAGTAACTCCCAGCTGTATGCTGACCTGGGAAAGCCGAAGGGTGGTGTTCACATCCCTACCCAGACCAGGAAGGGCATGGGTCGCTGAGCACTGCCCCTCCTGCCCCTCCACAAAACAGGGGTAACCCTGGTACTGCTCACAGACCCTTCTGGCCCTGGATCAACCCCTGGGAATCCACAGGCGTCTCGAGGAGCCTCCCTATGCACACTGCCAGCGCCTCCGGGTGCTATCAGCTGGTTCTCCGCTTAGGAGCAGAAGGAACCTCGACGAGCTGGCGGGCTTACCCCACCACACACATCCGTGACCCTCCCAGCTCCCACTGGCCCTGTGGCCTCTCCTCACACGCAGCGGGCTCCCATCTCAGGACTATCGTCACGCCCCACCCTTGCACACGCATTCTGCCCAAACCCCCTCATGTTCAAGGACCCACCGCCTTAGACAGGCTAGGCCCACCCCCGAAAGGTGCTCCCAGCCCTGGATTCCCCTGGCACGGCTTGGGAGTTCACCCATGTGTACGCTGCCGTCACCACTGTGTCCACAGTGCCAAGACAGGCCTGCTCCAGAGCCACGGCTCAGTAAACACTGGTCCCTCTGAGCATGGACTGGCAGGGACCCATCCTTGTGATCTGGAAGGATGAGGGGCTCCTGAAAAAGACCCTTCAATTGCGTTCTGGGAGGAGGAGCTGACCACAAGACCGGGTCAGGGCAGGGATAGCACAGGCAAAGAAGTGGGAAAAGGGTAGTAAGGTACACGGGCAATCTGACATTCCCCAGACCCTGCTGGCCTGGCCACCCGGCCCCAGGAACACAGCAGCCGTTAAGCTCACGAAGGAGGTACCAGATCCCTGACTGTATGCCCAGATCTCCCAGTGTCCCTCACCTCCGCACAAATCCCTCCTGTGTTTTCGGCAGAACCTGGAGGGTGCTCTGTAACCCACAGGGTTCCAGGACCCCAGCCTGCCCCCAGTGCTGTGGGTTCCTGGCCTGCCCCACCCCTCTGTGCATAGTTCCCCATCTGGGCCTCAAGTGGGTGGGATTCACAAGGCGGGGGTGCTCCACAGTGGGCCCCAGGGGTGTGGAGGAGGGGCAGGCCCAGAGGACAAAGAGTCTGGGCTGGGGAGGGGCACAGTGCCCACTCAAAGGACACAGTGGTTCTGTGTCCAGGCCTCCCCCAGGCACACAGTGGGCTCTTGTTCCCAGACAGTCCCTCGGGGGGGAATCCCAACAGCATCTCTGCTCTGCCGACCCCTTCAGTGCAGGAAGAAACCGCAGCCCAGGGAGGGCCTGATTGCTCGGGGTCACACATCATCTGAGTCACTCTGGCGACAATCAAGACTGCTCACCCCTGGCCCAGCCCCATCAGGACACCCCCAAATGGGCATCTAGAAGTGGAGTAGAAAGTGCTGACAACAGCTTATCAAATGCTAAGTATGGGGACCCAGCCCAGCAAGGGGACACGAATCAGCAGGCCACATCAGGTGCTAAGGCCCAGCACTCTGGGCAGCACAGGACACACGCAGGGCCCGAGATGGCGCTGAGGCACGAGAGCCCCGCAGGGTCCCAGGGCCACCGGGGCTGCTGCTTTAGGTACTTATTTAGTTATTTATTTAAGAGACAGTAGGAGAGAGACTTTTTTTTTTTGAAGTTACCTCTAGGGCTGCTGTACGTGGAGGGGGAGGGGTGAGAGTAGGTGCGGCCTCACGGCAGAGGGCTGGGCAGGGAGCCGGGGCCAGGTCCTCCTGAAGCAGGTTTCTGCTCTGGGGGTGAGTGGGGACCCTTCAGGCTGGCACGGTGCACAGGTACAGGAGGGGCCAGGAAGCCCATGGAGGGAGGCCTGCGGGGAGAGCCTGGCCTGAGACGCTGGGCAGACCCCTCTCACCTTCACCGCCTGCAACCCTCTGCAAGTGTCAATTTTTGCATCTGAAAGTCAGGGGCCACAGCAGTGCCGGGCACACAGGTGCTTGAGATGCTGAACAAAACACCCAGGCTGAAAAAGACCCTGCAAATGCATGTGGGAGGAGGAGCTGCCTGCCCGCTCTGGGGAGCTCCGAGGGCAGCCAGAGGCGGAGCGGGGAAGGGGAGCAGGAGGGCCCCAGAGCATGTGCCACCAGAACAGAAGCCGTGGCGGGGTGGGGAGGACACCCGGGGATAAGACCCTTCAGAGGTGGCTGGCTTGGTAAGGTGTAACCAAGAGGCAGGAGGAGACTGGGGGGCAGTTCTGGCCTGCCCTGGCCTGGACAGTGGCCGCAGCCACTGTGAGGCTGGATCCTCAGGGCTGAGCGACCGCCACCAATCCGCTCAGGCCCGCTCTGCCAGGTGGCAGGACGACGCCAGGAGGGGCGGCTGGAGGCCAAGGGGATGGCCCAGATGGCCCAGCCCCGGGACGAGACCCGCCAAGCCCTGGCCCCACCCTGCCCAGGGGGCCGCCCACTGCCAAGGTCAGTTGGAGCAATGGGCCCCACCCCAGGACACCTGCCCAGACGTGTCCCCAGCTCACCTGAGCATGATCCCAGGAGGGGCCAGATCCTCCAGCCTCCACACTGGTGCCCTGATCCCTGATCCCAGGTCTTCTGCATACCCCTAATCTCATGCTCATCCCCAGAGATCCCTTGGGAACAGGGATCCCCAGCTCTCCAGCATCCATCCCAGAATCCAGTCCTTTACACAGGCTACTTACTGTGTGGCAAAGCAGAAGTCACCTGGCCTCTCTGTGCCTCTCTGTCTCATGTATATATGGCACAATGCTAAGAACGGTAAAGGCCAGGCCTGCACCCCTCCTCAACCCTCCCAGATCTCACTTTTCTGTGGAGGAAACAAGGCCGGAGAGTCACCAGGCAGGCTGGAGACCTAGCTAATGGCCTGCACGGTGCCCTCTGCCCATTCCCAGGAGGATACATCAATCCCTACTTCCCCTCGTCACCCATCGCCAGATAGATGTCACCCCAGACATGTACGTGGAGGGCCAATAACGGAACAGGAAGCCCCGAGGGGACCGGAATCCCCAGCAGTAATTACACTCCAGGACCTAGCCAGGGAGGGTGGTGCGCAGGGAGCACCAGCGCTGGGGAGGAGTGCTGCCCAAGGGTTCAACAGGCACATATGGAAACCAGAGTCAAAGCCCCTGACCCCACCGGCTCTGACAAGGGCATGACAGGGTGGATACAGCCCGGGCTGGGGAGCCCCAAGGCTCAAAGAGGTTGAAGGTCTGTGCCACACAGTCAGCCAGCAAGGCAACAAGGGAACAGATGGAGCTGTAGAGGATTCTAGCGGAGCCTTAGGTGAAAGCGCCCCTCAAAGTGCAGAGAGGAAAGGCCCACATCCTACCAACACGCCTGGCTCTAGGGCAGATGAGTGGCCTGGCCACGGATGAGAGCCCCCAGAAATTCCCCCAGACACACAGGTGTTTCCTGGTGCCCTGACACCCTCTGCTGAGTGACCTCCTCCCAGGATGGGCCAACTGCTGGCTGGTACTAGAGAAGCCTCAGGAGGGGAAACCAAGTCCCAAAGTCTGTTAAAAGAGCAGAAATGGCTTGTCGCCAGAAGCCTGGCACACCTGCCTGAAACCTAGCTCTGACTCACCCTGCTGACCTATCACAACCTGTGGGAAGGGTCCTCTGCATTCATCCTACAGATAAGAAGACTGAGGCTCAAAGAGTCAGTCACCACCTGAGATCACTGAGCCTCCAAGGGAGTTCAAAGCCCTGAGCAATGGCTGCCCAGGTGCTGGGGTGCAAGAGACCTGTGTGCCTGCCTAGCTGGCCCTGGCCAAAGCCCCCCAGGGGTAGGAACAGACCATCTGGGTCCCTCAGGCTGTGGAGGGCTGCCAAGCCCATTTGGGCCCCCAACTTCACCCGGAGCATCTCCATTCCAACACATCCAACCCAGAAACCAGGCAGAAGCCAAGGAATATGATCCTTAGGCAGAAAGTGGATCCTGTCACAGACACCAGGGTGGGGGGACTGGGGATGGCGAGGGGAGCGTCTCATCCAGACAGAGGAGCAGCAGGGTGTGCCCTGAGCAGTAGCTGGGAGCTGAGAAGACCCTGAGGGAAGGCCCTAAAAGGCAGGGGAGAACTAGGTGATCCCCTCTGAACAAAGGATGTGCCCCCCAAGGGTAGGGACTTGGCCACTAAATGCTGGATGAGGAACGTTGGTCACAGTGATGCTCCAGCTCTGCTGCCCTCAGTCGGCCTGTCTGCACCGTGGGAGGCTGGTTGGCTGCTTGGAAGAGGTGGAAAGGGGCCTGGGGCCTGGAACCTTCCATTTGGGGCCAATCAACTCCTGTGCCCACCTACTAGCCTCTGCCCGATTCTCAGGGAAAAGGACCCAGCTTGCCCAGAATGACCCCTGGTGGCAGGGGGTGCAGCCTTAGGGGCCTCTTGGACCCCAGTCTGGAGCTGGGTTCCTCGCCTTCCTCCTGATCTCCCGGGCTCTCTAGGGGGCTCGGACTGGCTCTGGGAGGGGGAGGGGGGAGAATCCAGCATCTAGCTGGGCCAAACCTGAAAAGCTAGTTTCATCCTTGAATCTTCTCAGCCAGGAAGTCCCAAGGTTGGGGAGGGGGTTCCCGGCACAAGGCTAGGGCCTCCAGACCCAGGCTCCCAGAGACAGGCAACCGGCGGCACAGAAGGAACTCTGCTCAGGAACCAGCTGGGCCTCGGGCAGGCATGACTGTGGGATCCCCCAGCCGTTCCCCACGCAGCCCCCACACTAGCCCCCAGCAGAGCAGCCGGCCAGGCCCTTCCCCGGTGCCCTGAGCGCCGGGGGTCCAGCCATCTTCCCCGCCAATGGCAGGCCAGCCCCTAGGCACGCCCCCGCCCCCTCCCCCTCCCCCTCCCCTGCTCCACTTGGTCCCGAAGCGCAAGATAGGGGGTGTCTTTGGGTGTAGATCCCAGGACCCTGCAGTTCCAGTGTTTACGATTAGGAAGGCAAAGGTTGTGAAACGGGAAGCGGGGTCAGTCCCCCGCCCCCACCTCCCCAGCTACTGCTATTATTGGTGATATTATTCCCATCCACGGTGACGACGGCTGGGACAGGGATGATTCCGAGGAGTCCCACCCTCGGAGCTGGAGTTTCGACTCGGAGCACCACCCACCGGTGGCGGCCGGGAAGGAAAATGTCAGGGGGGGAGGGTACAGCTCGGAGGAGCCTGGGGACACCCCCAGACTCCGAGCCCTCCCCAGGACCCTCAGCTGTCGGGCGGGGGCTGGAGCCGAGCTGTCCGGCCCGGTCGGGCCGCGCTAATCCGGCCATGGGCTATTTTTGCGACGCGCCGGGTTAGGAATCCCGGGCTGGGCCGCCTGCGCGGGTGAGTCGGGAAACTCCGGGAAGGAAAGTCCGGCCGACCCGGGCGGGGACTCGCCCGACCCCGGACCCGGACCGAGAGCTGGAGGCCTCGGCCAGCCCGACTCCGGCCGCTCCCGGCGGCTCCGGCCACGGCTGGCGGAGGACCGGCCCCGGGGGGCAGCGGACGCGGTCCCCGGACCCCGCCCGGCCAGCGGAGCCCTGCGCCCCGCTCCCGGCGCGCTCACTCACCGCAGCCGCCGCCGGCGCCGGGGGTCCTCGGGGGTCCTGAGGGCTCCGGGGAGGGGCTGCCGCCGCCGGCCGGGAGGGCGCCCGCGCCGAGTCCCCGCCCGCGCGCCTGTCCGGCCCGCCCGCCCGGGAATGCCATGGAGCGAGGGGCGTGCGCGCCGGGGGCGGGCCCGGCCGGAGGGGGCGGCCGCGCTGACTCAGGGCTCAGGAATGCGCGCGGCCCGCCCGGCCCGAGCCTCCTCCTCCGGGAAGGCCCCTGGGCTCCCCTCTCCCCCTGTGTCCGGGCTCTGGGACACGTGTGGCCGGGGGTCTTGGACGCCTTGGCCCGGGAGACAGGGTCTAGTGGTGCACCGGGGCAGAGCCTCAGCGTCAAGGGCAGTCCTGGGCTCCTCAGCCTCTCCCAGACTCCAGAGCGAGTCCTGACCTTATTCTGCCTTGACTCGTGCTTCAGAAAGGGGGGAAGGGGCCTCTTGGGACAGAGTCCCTGGGTCTCCTGTAAACCCAGCCACCAACCTCCTCCGAAGGAATCCTCCGAATCCCCACACTAAATCCCCCTATGCTCACCCAGACCCACGTGAGCACTCACACTTATACACGTTCACACTCATACATGCTTGTGCATTCAAGCGCGTACACACCTACATGCTCAAAGCACTCACACTGACTCACATATTCACACACACCTGTTTACAGACTCACACACACATACCTATTCACACACACAACTGTACACCCCATATCAGCTTCCATATAGTATACACATGCACACAACTACAACCGTACACTCCCATCCCAGTTTACACACTGCTGCACGCACTCACAGCAAAATATTACGGCAGTGACTGCTCCCCCCCTCCCCCCCCCCCCCCCCCCCCCCCCCCCCCCCCCCCCCCCCCGCAGGCTGCGACCCCTGTGCTCTCCGGCAGGCACTCCCAGGCCAGGCTGGGCCCACCCCCCGGAAACATTCGGAGTAGAGACAGCACTGTCTGTGGCATCCACTCTGCTCTTCCCTCTTTCAGAGCTTGCCCACGGCCCCATAGGCTCATCCCTGCGTTGTCAGAGTTGGATACTCTGCTTGAGGCTGAGGAGGATGGGAATTTCCCAGCATCCCTCTCTCTTGACATCGCAGGAGCATGTGGGGCTGAACCACCCAGAGAAAGACCTGGAAATGGGAGAGGAGAGTTGCAATAGCAGGGCATAGACAGGGCTGGCCAGGTGCTGTGAGTGGTGGAGGGGCCTAGGCTTCTTTGGGATGGTCTCTCTTACTGCCGCAGGGAAAACAGAACTGGGAAACCGCAGGCCTCCTAAGGGTGCTTTCACTAGATGCCAGAACCCCTGGCGCACACGCCGCCCAGCACATCAAGCCTTGCAGTGTCTACAAATATGGCCTCAGGCCCGTCGCTGGTCTGGGACAGGTGGCACTGGCCTGTTCTGAACAGAGTTGCTGCCTCCATCGGCCAACCATGCCGGGCCTCACTGCAGACGGGACTCAGCTCCTGACCCCACAGGAAACAGAGCTGACAGCCAGGCTACAGGCTGGCTCCGGAAACCGGGCAAGGGACAGAACCCTTTGATCCCAGCCTCACCTGTACCAGGGAACACACACCGGGACTTGATGAGCACAGGCAGATAAACCTCTCGGGTGGAGGGAGGCAATGGAAGCTCCGGGGGGGGGGGGGGCTGCAGGAGGGCTGATCCATGGGGGGGGGGGGGGGCTGTGACTGCAGGTGCACTGGGGACACAGGCAGGAGGGAGGCTGCCCGGCGCTGATGCTCATGGCTCCTGCAGCCTACACGTGCCACTCCTGCCATGCCACGCTCCCAGCCAAACAGGACAGTCTCTCCATACCAGGCATTCTCGACCCCTGCCAGGGATAAGCAGGCCCCACCCACCTGGATGCTCAGACTGGGCTGGCAGGGCCCCCGGTGGTGTCGAGTCCAGGGCCCGGGCTGACATCCAAAGCCTGCCACGGCTGGGCATCCGGTGTCGGCATGTCTCCCTCCCGCAGTGGGTGCTGCAGGGTGCCACGCAGACCCTGCTCCATGCCCCAGACACTCATTCCCAGCAGCCAGGAACACTGGCCATGGCTGGCCCACAGCTGAAGTCCCCCTCCGCGGAGTCACCTTCAGTGGACAAGAGCGGCCTTCACAAAACTCATGCTCCTTCCCCAGGGAGGGGGGAGCTGCGTGTTCAGTGATAGGTAAATGGCCTCCCACTGTGTTCATTCAAGTCATCTCCAAAGGGCCCTGTCTGTTACCGGGCTTCAGGGGGATCCCCGGCAGGTTGTGTTACAAACCCTTGGCCCTCACAGGTGTCGATCCCAGGGCATGCTTCAGTATACCCTGGCAGGCAAGCCCAGGAACCCCCATGTTCTCCAACCAGCTCAGCATCCTCAACAAGGACCTTGGAATCAAAGGATGGCATGAGCAGAGGCCTGGAGACATAGGTGCTTGGGCCTGGACCTAGTCCACAGGGACATGCGTATTCACATACGTATGCTCTGCCTCATGTCTGCCCCACTGTCCTGTGCTCTGGTGAAGGGGCCCCTACATGGAAACCCAGCTCCCAGTCCTTCTCTTTCCTCTTGCTCCGAGCCCTAGAGAAATGGAAATTACCCGCAACCAGCGTGGACAGGTGACCTGGGGCGGGGCGCATGGATACCTGGACCACCCCCACGGCTGGGGACCTCACTCTAGGACTTGAGGAGGTGGGATCCCGACCAGCAGGAGGAGTCCCCATCAGCTACCCTGGAATCCTCAACTCAGCAGACCAGTTCCCGGGCTTTGGGAAGCCTGGATGGGCCTGGCACCAGCCCCTGGCTATTTGGGGAGGAGACGGAAGTGGGCTGAGCCAGCTGGGGGCCTGAAGTCACTAGCTATTTCCGAGGCAGCTGCCCGTCCCTGTGTCTCAGTGCATGGCGAGGGGGTCCCATGAGTGCCTGGGCCGAGTGCTGTCAGCAGCATGGGCGGCACAGCCCCAGAAAGGGAGGGTGCAGCCCCTGCACTTCTCCTCTGGCTGCCTTCTCTCCCCAAGGAGGCTCTGGCTGCCCCCCGCCCCCACTGGCTGCTGCCCAGAACCCATCAGATTCAGAGCGCTTCAAAGGCCATTTGAGATGCCAGAACCGCCAAGAAGCTGCCAGACGGCCAGCCCCCTGCTATCTGACAGGGAGTCCGCTGGGCCCTGACCCAACTCTCCCTTCGACGGTGTCGGATCCCTACATTAGAGAAAAGGACACTGAACCAGTGTGCTAGATGCTCTACAACAGTGCTGGTGCTGGAACTGCGGCCCCTCCACAGGCTGCGGGCTGGCCCAGGAGACCCAGGACAGCCAGCCCCGGCGCCGACCCCTTTCAAAGCACGGAGGGTGTCCTCAACTCCATCTTTCGCTGACATCCTCCAACGCTTCTACCGGCCCCACAGCAAGGATCCTCCTCCTGCCCGGATCCTCCTCCGGCCCTAGGATCCTCCTCCTGCCCGGACCACCTTCTCTGACCCCCAGCCAGCCTGCCCAGCAGGCCACCGTGGGAATGCTCAGCCCACCACTTCCAGCCTGCGGTGGGGCCTCAGACCACTAACCAGGAAATGGGGGCGGGCCAGTGGAGGGCCCACCCTGGAGAGGTTTCGCAAGCCCCTGCACTCAGGCTGAAACATCTGGAGAAGTACACTGCCGGCGCCGGCCCTGCCTCCTCCTCCTGGGGGCAGGGGCTGTGTGCTCTGAGCCTCTCTCTCCTCATTCTCGAGGTGGGGATAAAACACCTCCTCAAGAACAAGTAGGCTCCCCCTAATTTTTATAAGGACCATGAACCATTTGTAAAATCAGAATAAAAACTGATACAAATGGCACCCACCCCGCCTCAGCCCTCACCAGGAGGAGGGGGCCCAACTGAGGCCTCACTTCCCCTCCTGGAGAGAGGGAGACTGGAAAGGGAGGAGAGAAGGGGGACTGGTCCCGAAGGAAGGCAGGAAGGGGGACTCAGTGTTTGGGCAGAATGGCTGCAGGGGGTAAGGAGGAAAGAAAGGGGTGGGAGTCGCATCTAAGCCTGCCTTACAAGCGGGGATTTATGACACACTGCCCACCCCCGGAAGCGGCACACAGTGCCACAAACAGCTGGGTGGCTTCCAGCAGGCAGCTGGAAGGCTGCACCCTTCCCTCCCCAGGAAGTGCTGAGGGGAGCCCTGAGGGGAGGGGGCCGGCAGGACTGCTGGCCCAGGGCCCAGGCTGAAGGTCAGCTTCTGGGCTGTTCCGAGGAGCACAGCGGGAGATCGGCATCCTCCCGGCTGGACCTGCCCTGTGCTCCTGAGGCCTAGTCACATTCACATGGCCCATCCGGGCACTTCCTACCTGACACTTGCTATGTGACCTCATCTTATGCAAAGCTGCTCTCTGAGGTCCCACGGACACCCCATTCCAGAGCCAGAGTCACAGAAATCAAAGAGTAGGCTGTGTTCCTCAGGGTTTTTCCAGGACAGGGGTGGGTGGTACAGGAGGGTGGGACTGTGCCGGCCACAGCAAAGGGGACCTGCGGGGGAGGGGACCCTAGAGGTACAGAGTAGGGGAAGGGGGGGCGGGGACTCTGCTGGTGTTGAAGCCCTCTCTCCTGGTCCACTGAGCCACAGTAGCAGGCAGTGTGCCCCTCCCCAGCCAACAGATCTGTGCTTGAACACTTCCCACTCACGGCCCTTCCTTCCTCTGGACCAGGCACTGCCTCCCCAGACTCCCTTCCCCTCCCCTTCTGGACTCCAATCTGACTTGAAAGGTTACAGGCAGGGTGGGCAACATCAGAGGTGGAGGGCAGGGCGGGATGTTCCCCATACCTTCCCCTCCCCCCCCCCCCCCCCCCCCCCCCGCAAGCGCAAGCCAGCCCTTCCCCACTGCAAGCAGCTTGCCCTTGCAGGCGGGTGTTCACGGGTCCCCAAAGTCCTATCCCAGCCTCAGCCTCTAGAGGAGGCTGGCCACGATCCAGCAAGCCGGCCCCAGGACGCGGGCAGGCTCCTCTGGGAATCTTTGGGCGGCAAAAGGGGTGGGGGCTACATTGCAGAGACAATATTCTTAGACCCGCCCGTGATGACGACCCCGGCAGGGGCGTCCGGATACGCCTGGCATCCGCTTCCTGGACAGTCTTCCTGACCCACTCCCCATGTCCTCTCCCCACAAATGTCCCCCCACCCCCGGCAGGCAGTCGGGAGCAAGTAATACCCCCACCCCACCCCCAGAGTCCAGGAAGGAGTATTCTGAGGACCGGGACTCCGCCACCACCTCCCTAACGCGGCCTCCACATCACCCCACCCCCCCAACCGAGCCCCCTCGAGGGCCAGGCCAGGCACGTGACCGACCAGTCCTCTTGGGGGTTTGACTACTGGCTGGCAGCCGCGCACCGACCGCGGTGCAAATGGGGGCGGGAGGCCGGTCACTGCGGGAGGCGCCAGGCTGCGGGGGCGGTCGTCCCAACCCCGGACGCCTTCTCCCGGGTTTCACGCCACAACGGCCCCAGCCGCCCCGGGCCTTTGTCCCGGACGGGAGGAGGCCCCGTGGCTCCTCCTCCGCGGGCGGATCCGCGCCCCGCTCGCCGCCACCCAGCCAGGCTTCCGTCCGCCTCCGCGCAGGCGCCGGCGGCACTTCCGGGGTCGCCTCGGTGGGGAGGGTGGGCCGCGCCGCCGGGGGTCCGTACGCCCGGAGCCGCGCGATGCCCGCGCGCGGGGCGGCGCAGGTGAGTATGCGCGCCGGGGAGCGCGCTTCTGGCTCCGCGCGCGGCCGCCCCGCTACGGCCGAGCACCGGGCTCCGGGGCGAGAGTCTCCCCGGAGACGGACAGCCAGTGGCCGCTGAGCGAGAACCGGGGAAGCCAGTAACGTGCGCGCCGACCCCCGACGGGCGCTGCGGTCCCCACGCGAGCGCCCACCGGCGTGTTGGCCCCGGCGCGGCTGCTCCATCTGCCCTTAGGAAGGTCGAGACCCGGCCGAGGTCGCCAGTGAGGGCTGGGAGGAGACCCCGACGCCGGTTAAATGTTGTGCACTCAGACCCAGCTCGGACATCCCCTCCCCAGGGGCCAGCCTGCTCCAGAAGTGACCCTGCGTTGGCCCAGGGGGCCACTTTCTCACGCTCCTCGCTCCAGTGTCCGTCACAGTAGCATAAATGCTCTCTGTCCTTACTAACCTCTTGTTTGCCCAGGTTTTGATGGAGGGCGGGTGGGTCTGTTGGACCCCCACATCCAGGCCAGGCTGTTTCCTGTCCTGTGCTGGGTGGACCTACTCTGACAAGAGACCCTTGTCCCCAGGTTTTGCCTGGAGACATTCCAGGTGGAGGGTGGTTTTTTGTTTTTTTTTTTTTTTTAGGTGGATTTATTTATTTTGAGAGAGAGAGCATGGGAGGGGCGGAGAGAAGGAGCGAGAGGATCCCAAGCAGGCTCCAGGGTGTCTGCGCAGAGCCTGCTGGGGTGGGGGTGGGGGCTCAATCTCATGGAACCGTGAAATCATGACCTGAGCCACCCAGGCAACCCGAGGGTGTTTCTTCCTAACATTCATTGAATGCTTGCTGTATGCCAGCCAAGTGCATACCTGACTTCTCTCATTTTATCCTCATAACTTTGTGTGACAGACATTGGTTACTTTTCTACAGGTGAGAAAACAGAGGCACAGACATTTAGGTCATTTTCTGGGGCCCCTTGTTCAGGGAACTGTCGTCTGTAACCAGTGCCAGGGACGCACGTGAGGGTCCCGGGTACAGAGTTTGAGGCAGTCCTCACTCTTGGGTGCAACAGCAGGGGGACCCCCCTACTCAGCCCTGGGGCCAAACCATCACCACAGAGGCCTGTGAGGCAGATGCAGGTTCTAGGTCTGTGATGGGGAAACTGAGGCCTCTCGCTGAGCCTCACTCAGTCCCTGTGCAGCTGACAGTGCTGACCCAGAATGACCCAAGTGCCATGAGGCAGGCAGGGGGCCAACCTCTCAAGTGGCAGCGTCCCAGCGCCCGAGCCCACGGCGGGTACTGGCAGATAGGCTGGGCTGCAAAGACGGTCACGTCAGTGTCCACTCTCAGTAGCCTGGCGGTCCCCTTTCACAATGCAGTGTCAGCACTTAGTTTAAAAATAATGGGTCCGTCACATGCCACCGAGATGCGGGCGCTATTGACGACCAGCCCTTGAGCAGGGCGTGTCCAGGCCCCGGTGCTCACCGCCTCCTCCACCTTAGCCCACTTGTCCTAGAGCAGCTGGCCTCCGAGCAGCTGAGCTTGTGTGGTCAGGTTTCTCAGGCTGTGTGGCAGCAGGTGGGAGGCTGTGTCTAGTCCCTTGAGAGACCTCACCTTCGCCCTGCTTGTGCCTTATCGTTAGATGACATCCTGGGTCATGAGAGAGGACAGCTGGGGACTCACCAGGGGTCGTTGCTGAGCACTTGGGGTGGCACAAAGAAGACAGTCGGCAGGTGCTCACCCACCCGTTGTGTCAGGCCTTCCGAGCCATTCTGGAGAGGGGATGGTACCGTGTCAGCAGGCTGGGAGGGAGTGTGGAAGACACAACCCCACGCAATCCGTTCCTTGGCCAGGCCCCATCAAGGTCGTGGCTGTGCTTTTAAATTCCTGGTTAGGGTCCTTGCAAAGGGCAGGTTCAAGGAACAAGATCAGAAGCTTGTTTGGGGCCCACGTGATGAGCGGGAACAAGGGAACCAACCGGCCCGCCTGTCCGAGGCTCAGGTGCCCACTCTGCCCTCCCCAGGCTTGGCAGCCCTTTGCCACCAGGCTGCGCATCTTGTGCGCGTGGATTAGAATGGCTACCCTGACACTGCCGCCGACAGCCTGTCCTCATTCCGCAGGGCTGTCTGGGGCCCAGCACGGGCCCGAGTACGTCAGGCATGGCCTTCTGTTTGCACCTTGCCACAACCCACGAGGTGGCTGCCCGCCCCTGTTTTGCAGCTGAGGCAGGCAGTCAGACATGGTCCTTGAACTCAAGTCTGACTGCACCACAGAACCTGTTCAGAGTATTTATTTTGTCTCTTCCCACTACAGCTTTCTCGAAGACTGGGGCAAAAAAAGCAGCGACTGTTGGAGGCAGCACGGCAGCAGAGCACAACAGACGGAGCCCAGACGCCTTCCGCCGTGGAGCCCTGCTTGGGGCCGCCGGCAACCCGGGGCCCCCAGTGCAGCATCTATTTTTCAAGCCCCAAAAGCCACTCTGCACAACTGGGATCTGAGTTTTTCGACCAACCTGCAGTCCCCCTGGCACGGGCATTCCTGGGACAGGTGATGTCATGTGGCCAGGGAATAAGTGGAAAGTCTTCAGGCTGACGACTCAGGTCCCTGGCACGCTCGGCACTCCACCGACCCCGGTTCCGCTGCAGCCTGGGCTGCTCTCCTAGGCGCCCCGTCGACCCGAGAGCACCTGCCCTCTGGTGATAGCCCCTGGCAACTGCCCCCTGCTCCCCTTGTCCCCCACCCCTGCCCAGGGTGCCGGCTGCGGTTGGCTCGTCCTCTGGGCGTACTGCCTCCACTGACCCACTCCTCGTGGAGCTGACTGTGCCCAGGGCTGTGGTCCAGGCCAGGGGCCCCACGGGCCACTCAGAAATGCCCATCAGAGCTAGGTGGGTGGGAGCTAAGTAGGACAGTCCTTTGTGGTTCAGCCCAGGGGCAGGGGGCTACACAGGCTCTGGGCATCTAGGCAGCTGTGTGGCGAGAGCATGGGGGCCCTGTGCCCTCCACACCACCCTGCACTGGGCTAAGCATTGAAGTCTAAGGGGTTCGTGGGGAGGAGGAGGCAAGGAGATGGAGGGCCCTACTGAGGAGACTTGAAGTGCACGAAGTCACTGGTGCCGGCTTTCCAACCCAGCCCTGGCCAGAGCTCGAGATAGCTGCTACCTGGGGACAGGACACTTAGTGGGCAGGGCCTGTGGTCCAGGGGGTTGAGCAGGACCGAGGGGACAGTAGGGAGCCTGGTTTGGACCTGGGTGCCCTGGTGCCTCTTGAACAGGGAGATGAGGCCTGAGCTGTGAGCTGCCACAGTTGAGCCCCTGACCCTTGCTGCTCTGAGCACACTGATTGCCCATAGGTTTTGGTCCGGCGACTTGATGATGGCACAGAGCTCCGCGGCCGCATTGTGGAGACGGAGGCGTACTTAGGGCCAGAGGATGAGGCTGCCCATTCGAGGGGCGGCCGGCAGACCCCCCGCAACCGTGGCATGTTCATGAAGCCCGGAACCCTGTACGTGTATATCATCTATGGCATGTACTTCTGCATGAACGTCTCCAGCCGAGGTGAGCAGAGTCCGTGGGCAGAGTCCCCTCAGCTGCCAACCGGGAGCCCCCTGGGAAGACCAGGCTGGACCAGGCATCTGATCAAGGAGGAGGTCGTTGCTAAGCTAGGTTGGTTTTAGGAATTCTGGCTACAATGACAGGGTGCTTACAGGTGCCTCTGTCCCCCATGGGATAGAGGTCACGGGTTGACCTGAACACAGAGCAGACAGGTCCCACAAGGCCACCTGTGGTCACAGAGCTCAAAGGCTGTGTCACCCATGGCCCAGAGTAGACCTGTGGGGGGCCTGGCTGTGGGGAAACAAGGGTGAAATCAGTTTGGGTTGAGTGGGGCTCAGGCCAGAGTCTTGCCAGGTGGTCAGTTACAGGGTCTGAACCGGTTGGTCTCAACTAGGGCAGGTTCTGCCACCTGGGGGGGGGGGAGGGGAACCATGAGGCAGTGTCCAGAGACATGTCATCCCAGCTGGGTACACGCTACTGGCATCTAGCAGGTGAGGCCAGCATGATGCTGGATAGCTCACAGGCACAGGCTGGCCTCCATCATGCGAAATCACCTGGTCCCAAACACTGTAGTGCCCAGTGGAGCGATGCTGGTCCAGGGCTCCCAGGAGAACCCACGTACCCTGTGGGACCTCCTCTGGGCGGCTTTTGTTCCTTATGAGCAGCTGGCTGCTTTCTGGAAGGCCTGTGCTTAAAAGGACCAACAGCGTTGTCCTGCCGGAGGCACTACGAGCAGGGGCGGGGCCGCCGGGCCCACTCTTGACTAGCCCGTCGCAACATCTGTGTATTTGCGGAGCCGCCTCCTGCCCGCCGCAAAGAGAGCAGATGCCCTGGGAGACCACGAAGAGGCTTGGCATCTGCTATGCTCTGTGTTACGTGCATTTGCTGGGTGACTCCAGTGGCCTGGAAGCTGTGATTGCACAGAGTGGACAGCTGGGCCCATCCAGCATCAGAGCCACAGGGGCCCCGGGATTGGTCCCATGCCCAGCATAAAGCAGGTGCCGAGTAAAGCCGGGTGACTGGAGGTCAGAGGATGGGGGGGACGGCCCCAGAGGGTCGGGCCTCGTCACTCTGGAGAGCTCATTGGGGTTGTCTGGCTTTTCTTTGGCCATAGAACCAACCCCCTCTTGTGACGTGGGACTGAACTCAAAACAAGAAGAGAGAATGAATCTAGTGATGCCTGGGGTCATGGTCAACAAGGAAGGGGAGAAGCCTGGACTTCTAGGGTGGGGGTGGGGTAAGTGCAGTGGACAGGGCAGACGCGGGAGGCAGCACATCACTTTTTGGACACATGACCGAGACGGCTCAGAAACTTCCAGGTCAGGGGGACAGGAAACCACTCAGGTGCAGACACTGGGGCCAAAGGTCATGCAGGGAGAGGGAGGGAGAGGGGAGGCCGAGCACGTGGTCGCTGCCTGCCTGCCCTCAGTGTGGAGGTGGCACAGAAGTGACCAGGAAGGCAGGTGGCAGAGACCGAGGACTAGCAGGGGAGGGTGGGGGGGGACTTGGTGGGAACAGATTAGTGTGTCATGTGTTTGTCAGGATGTGGGACCCAGATGCATCCCAGGAAAGGGCATGGGGACAGAGGGACAGGCTGCTCCATCGCCCCACGTGCAGGGGCTCAGTGAGACACTGAGGGACACGCGTGGCACCCACAGGGCACCGTGAGGACGGTGGGCTGAGAGAGGCCAGGAAACTCAGAGGCACGGGAACTTGAGGTTTTGCTTGCTCCGAGTATATACGGAGATCCTTGGAAAACTGGTTGGTTAAGGGACATCTGGTCACAAAACCCCCAACACTTGCCAGCTGCTGGCCACGAGAGAGAGCGTGGCTGCTCTAACCACTCGGGGCTCCCAGGTGCTGCTGGGGAGGACCTGGTGGCCAAAGGCCAAGAGTGGAAACCGGCCTGGCCGCCTGAGCCTCTCAGACCCCCTGGTGGTGGGGGCGGGCCAAGTCAGGAGAGCACCCTGGCCGGAGGGTCAGGGCTCCTCCAGCTAGGGTCCAGGTAATCGCTGCCCCCAGCCATGCAGGACTGAGGGGATTTGGGGAGAGGCATTGTCTCGAGCGAGCCCCTGGGCCCAGGGTAGCCATTTGCGGTCTCTGGTCTCTAAAGTAGCTTGGAGTGAGCACCTGGCTGGCTCAGTCAGTGGAGCATCTGACTCTTGATCCATGGGCTGTGAGTTCGAGACCTGCACTGGATGTAGAGATTACCTAAAAATTAAAAAAACAAAAAAACTCCCAACACCTTAAAGTAGCATGGACTGATGCACAGAGATCCCGGGCTGGAAGGAGGTGAGGGGCTATGTTGGCATCTCTTCCTGCCCAGGCTCTTCACAGTCACAGGGTGGGGGCTCTGCCAGCACCATGAGCACGCTGGTGGCTGCTCTGAGCTGACCTTCCAGCTTGCCCAACAGATTCCAAGGACATGAGGTGAATGGGACACCCTGGGGCCGAGTCAGCATCGGGGCCAGGTCTCAGCTCCGAGCTTCCTGGTGGGATGCCCGTGCTCACAGACAGCTGGCTCGCTGGGGTTCCCTCTGCCAGCCTTGCAGTTGGTGCCAGTCACCAGACCAGAGGAAGCCAGAGAGGAGGCTGACTCCAAGCACGCCTTGTGCTGTTTGTGAAATAGGTTCTCCCTAAGTGGTGCTCAGGCACTCAGGCCTCATGGCGGGGGGGGGGGGGGGGGGGGGGGGGGGGGGGGGGGGGGGGGGGGGGGGGGGGGGGGGGGGGGGTGTCCTGCAGGCAGAAGGTGGAGGTACAGAATCGGGACAGTGAGCGCAGGGGTGCCTGGGAAGGCAGCCGCATCACACCTGTAGCACTGCACAAACCCCGGGGACGGAGGGTGACAACCTGGGGAGACGTGGCGTTCTAGGCTGCCTGTCTGTCCCACAGGGGACGGTGCGTGCGTCCTGCTGCGAGCGCTGGAGCCCCTGGGGGGCCTGGAGACCATGCGGCGGCTTCGTAGCACCGTCCGCAAGGGCGCTGCGGGCCGACCCCTCAAAGACCGTGAGCTGTGCAGCGGCCCTTCCAAGCTATGCCAGGCCCTGGCCATCGACAAGAGCTTCGATCAGCGGGACCTGGCCACGGACGAGGCTGTGTGGCTGGAGCGCAGCCCCCCAGAGTCCAGGGAGCCAGCCGTGGTAGCAGCAGCCCGAGTGGGCATTGGCCACGCAGGAGAGTGGGCCCAGAAGCCCCTGCGCTTCTACATCCGGGGCAGCCCCTGGGTCAGTGTGGTGGACAGAGCGGCTGAACAGAATGCACAGGCCTGAGCAAGGGCCTGCTCGGACAAGGCTTTTTAATTGTTTAAAAACCAAATAAATGCTTTACGTCTAGAAAACAGTATTGCTTGCACCTCTGCCAGAGCTCCCTGCAGCAGCCGGCACACGCCTGCCGCCACTCTTCCTCCAGGACAGGGCGCTGGGGGCTGTTTGTGCGCAGGAGGCTGGGGCGCATTGCTCCTCGGGCCTGTGCGAGGGGGGTAGCATGTACCAGTGCAGATTCCCCCCAGGGATGGGCATCAGCCCAGTCCCTGGTGTATCAGGCGTCAAAGAGGGAGTGACAGCCTGGTCATGAGCCTCCTGGCAGCTAACAAAGGGCTGTGGTGAGGGCGTGGCACTCAGGTGCTCCTGGCCCTCGGGGGGGGGGGCGGGTCATATTTCCGTGTATCCCCCAGCGTGGCCGTGGGGAGGCAGCGATGGATGGGGTCAGAGAATGAGGACAGGGTCGGGAGGAGGGTCTGAGAGAAACGCTTGGCCCAAGTCTGGGTGCGGGGAAACTGCAGGCCTGCCTCTGAGGCGCGATCCTGCGTCCCCGACACCCTCCGGCTGCAGGCCTCGCCGTCTCGGCTCAGACATCCAGGCTGCCTCGAGGACCAGACGAGAGAGAACCCGGTGGACAGGGGGCCCAAGGCTGCTGCTGGACTGAAGTCAGGCCTCAGGGACGAGAGGGCTCAGCCCGGTGTTGGGGTGGGAAGCCCAGGGCCAGGGGGAGCCCAGCACCCCCGCCGCTGGCGGCAGCCTCTCGCTGCCTCCTTTCTCTGGCCTCCTCACGGGAGCAGTGCCTGGAACACGGCGATGACTGGGTCCTCATGGGTGGTCACCACCAGCACGCTGCGGAACTTGTCAAAGAGCATGAGCAGCTGGGAGCGCCGCGTGTTCTCGTTGTACATGATCTCCTCCAGGTGGTGGCGGCCCCGGAAGTAGTGCAGGAGCCTGGGGGGTGGGGGAAGGGCAGCATGAACCCAGGTGACCTCTGTCCTAACAGCCACTGGTGGGGATCTCGGGGCCTCTGGGAGGCAGCCATCTGTACTTCCGTCCCCAGCAGAGGCAGGTAAGGTCCCCTGAAGTGGGTCCGTGAGGACACATGGCTAGTCTCCCGCCTGGAGCCACCGGGGCCGGAGCGTCCTGCCCACCCCCAGCACCCTGACGCGGGCGAGGAGGTGCAGGGGACAGGTCTGTGCAGCTTCTCTTTTGCACGCTGCTCTGGCAGCGAGTCCCACACGGCTAGGGACCCTGTGGGGTCACTGCTCTAGGGGCGATCTGTCGTGGGGTTGGCTGCAACGAGTCGCCCGGCCTGCGGTTCTTAACTGACGGCCTGCTCGCCTCACCCAGCAAACCACACACCTGCAGAGCCCCCCAGTCAAAGCTGAGTCTGGCGAAATCTGCCACCAATGATGTGGGGGAGCCGGGACACCACCCCTCCCTGGGCCAAGAGCTTTCCCACAGCGGGCGGGGAAACCGCTGCCAACCCCCATGAGGATGAGAACCTGCTGCTGCTTCCGCAGAAGAGACAAGAAACACCCAGGAAGCCCTGGAGGGACCCCCAGAGTCCAAGGCACCAGTGTCTCAGCGACAGCATTCCTGCCAGGCGGGGACACGCAGTGCTTGAGACGCCACCGTCTGTCATCAACGGATTTCAGTTGGGGTTGTGCTGGGCAAGTACCCGTCCACTTCCTGTTCCACCCGCCCCTAGAACCGGGCCCGCCCCACTGGTCACCGTGCCCCCACCTGGCAAACATGCGCAGGTCCTCGGGGTTCTGGGCTGCAGGCACGCTGAGGATGGCCGCCCGCTCGTGCTCCGACAGGCTGGCCAGCAGGTTCTCTGTCATCCTCTTGTTCAGCGGGGAGTCCCCACTGGGGAGGAGCTCCGCACTGGAGTTGTCCATGCTGGGGCTGGTGAGGGTCATGTCGTCACTGCTGGCTGTGGGTGGCCACGGGTCAGGGAGCGGCCGACCCCCCAAACACACCCCCGCTGTGCCATCTGTGCCCACCGGGGGTCCGCTGGCAAGGCCCACCCCCACAGCACAAGGCAGGCCTGCCCATGCCAGCCCTGCCACCCGACGTGGACAGGACCCTTGCACTGGGCCTGGGCACCTGGCGCATGCTGTGGCCACAACGGCTCTTTAAACAAGGGACTATGACAGTCACTTTCTCCTCATAGGCCCGGGCACAGTGGTCTCAACTGTGACCTTCCAGTGACGGTGGGAAATCTGCTCTGATCCCCGGCTGCTCCTGACTCGAGCACGTTCCTGCTCAGGAGCCCAGAGGTGCAGGGAGGTCAGGGAGAGGGCTCTCCTGTCCTCCTTCAAGGGAGGCTCTCTGTGGGAGCACCCAGCTGTCCACACGAGGGGTGGGTGCGTGTGCACGTATGGCCATGTGAAGGTGCCTCAGGCACTCCCAGCAGCGCCTGTGCTGGGATCCTGGCTGCCACTCCCCAGTACCCTCCCAGATGCTACCGCCACCCACCAGACACATGCCCGGGGCGGGGGGCTCCTACTTGGGGAACCAAAGCTGAGGGCGTTGGGTGTGCTGAGGCTGCGGCCGCTGACCCTGGCGGTGAAGGGGACATCGTCCTCGCGGGGGTGGGGCTCGTCCTCACTGGGCGAGGCCATCAGGCACACGTACGTGTGCAGCTGCACCAGGAGCCTGTGCTGTAGCATCCACACCACCATCTGAATGAGCTGGGTCTGCATGAGATACAGTGTGAGGCCCGGCGTGGCAGGCGGGGTCAGGGGAAGGCTGGGCCCCCGCCACTGCCCTGTTCCCCTCCAGGGAGGACGGGAAGCTATGACCCAAGACATGACCCCCACAAGTCATCCCAGATGTAAGGACTACACGAGCTTCAGGGACCCCACCCCAGAATACAAGGTTCCGCATTTCTGAAAAGGAGCTCTCGGCTGCTGGCAGCCTGCAAGTAGCCCCCCCGCCTCCCGCCCCAAACCTGGGCCACCCTGGCGCCGGGCCTTGAGTGCCCAGAGCTGAGGACCGGGACTGACTGCACAGGGGCCCTTGCTCTGCCTGGTCTCGCCCAGGCCACTCAGCCCTGTTGCTCACGGCCCCACCACACAGAGCCAGGCCTAGGGGAGCTCCCTGCAGTGGCCTGGACACTGCTCTGAAAAGTCCTCTCCTTGGGTCAACCTGGGGGCCAGCCCAAGGACAGGGAGCTGTGATGAGTGTGTGGTCCTGAGACGGCCACCTTTCCAGGGGCGGCCACCTGACCAGGGGCAGTGAGGAGCCCTATGCAGACATGGCTGAAGCATGGGTAAGCAGCGAGGTCCATGCTCTCAGACACACGTATCTGCCTGACCAGAGGTGGGGGGAGGGGGGTCCCCTCCTGGGAGAGGATGGCTGACCGGGAATGGAAATAGGGATGTACCCTGGGCAACTTATGACCTGGTCAAACCAAATAAAATTGAAGAGGACTGTGAAATAACAACTTAAAATCAAGAAATAAACCAAAGAGGCTTCACAAGCACTCAAGAGCACGTTCCAGGCCCCAAAACAGGAGGTGTGACAAGAAGGTGGCCTCAGGGGCACCTGGGTGGCTCAGTCGGTTAAGCATCCAACTTTGGCTCAGGTCATGATCTCACGGTTCATTTGTTCGAGCCCCATATGGGGCTGTATGCTAACCTCTCGGAACCTGGAGCCTGCTTCAGATTCTGTGTTTCCCTCTCTCTCTGCCCCTCCCCTGCTTTTTCTCTCTCTGCCTTTCAGATGTAAACATTAAAAAAGAAGACGACGGGGTGCCTGGGTGGCTCAGTCGGTTGAGTGTCCGAATTTTCGCTCAGGTCATGATCTCACGGTTCGTGGGTTTGAGCCCCGTGTCAGGCTCTGTGCTGACAGCTCAGAGCCTAGAGCTGCCTCAGATTCTGTGTCTCCCTCTCTCTCTGCCCCTCCCCTGCTCACACTGTCTCTATCGCTCTCAAAAAAAAATTTTTAATTTAAAAAAAAGAAGATGAAGAAGTAAATTAAAAGGGGGAGGGGGAGGAGGAGAAGGAGAAGAAGAAGAAGAAAAAGGCCTCCGCCTGGGACTGTGCAGGACCAAGCCTAGCTCCGTCTGGGTCTCTTGACAAGGGACAGGGCGGCCCCCCAGGCACGGCCTGGAAAATCCATCCACCGTCCAGACCATTAGGAAGCTTCTGCTGGGCCACAGATGCAAAGTGTGTCTTTTACTCAGCGGGCACAGCCTGGCAGTTCCCGGAAACCAAAGGGCCCGGGAAGGCCGGCCTTTGGAACTGTCACACTCAACATCCAAATGAACTCAAGAACCTGGGTCTCCATCTCATTCACAACTTGAGAAAGGAAAGGGTCTGCCTGGAAGAACTGGTTTCACTGAAGAGATCGGTCACTTATGAAAACAAATACTTTACTCTGGAAGCCGAAGCCTTGAGAACACGTAGCCCCATCCCCAACACCTTCCCCATCCTGGCTCTGTGCTCGGCCCCTGCCCAGGGTTCTAGAGCGCCAGGCATTCAGCAGAGGGGAGGCAGGCAGAGCCTTGTCGTCGGGTCCAGGCTGCCCCCAGACCACAAGCCCCACACCTCCTTGGACGAGCCCTTGCCACACTCAGCAACCCCACCTGGCCCTCACCTTGGCCCTCACCTTGCCCCAGGCCCACTGGGTCCTGTTCCAGGCCTGTCGTCTCCAGATCCCTCTTGGACAAGGCGATTCTAGGGACCAGTGAGCCCAGAACTTAGACCCACATACCCTGTGGTCACCTGGACCACGGAGGGGAGAGAGAAGGACGGCAGGGCCCAAGTTCAGTGAAAACAAAGCTGAGTCTCCACCCCACCCCTGCCCCCAGGAAAGGTCACCACTCTCCTGCCATCTGGGCCTACTGACTGTGTTGTAACCCCGAGAACCACTCACACAGCCAGGGTGGGCTCCACCAGAGTGGGGGTGGGGGGCGTGGGACTGCCCAAGTGTCTGCAGGTGGCCCGGCTGGGGAGCCAGCTTTTTGGTCGCCTCGGCACGGCACGTGGCGCCTACAGAGGCAGCCCCCCCTCCCCCAAACCAAGGCTGAGGGTGCAGCAGCACTGGGGGCTCTGGGGTGAGGGACGGACACCAGGACTCCTGTGACTTACCTCCTGCACCGGGGGGGCGAGGGGGTTCCTGAATTCTGACAGGGAGACGGGCAAGGAGAACTTAGCAAGGACAGACGGCAGGTCGTGAGCTGGAAACTGTCGGGTGAACTGCTCGGCCAGCGGAGAGAACCTGGGGACGGGGGAGGCGGGCGTGCCCGTGAGCTCAGCAGGCCTCGCCATCATCTCATGGCGTCTGAGCCCTCGCTGTGAGCTCAGGGCGGGCAGCAGGAAGGCTCAGCACAGCAGGTGGCCTAGGACGGGTGCAGTGAGGGCAGAGCCCAGACGCTTTCCCTTGAGGGGCACCAGGAGCCATGGGCACAGGCCACAGCCCCTCTGAGCTCCCCCAGGTCAAGACCGAGGCTCCGACCCCCACCCAGGCACCCTGTCCAGACCCCACCGGCCAGCGGATGTGGAGGAGCACAGGCCCTGCGTGGAAGCTCGGAATGCCAGAAGAGCACACGCCCAGGGCGGGCCACTCAGTACTGGGTCAGGCCAGAATTGGGGCCTGGACACAGCAGAGGCCAAGCAAGGGCCCAGCTGAGCAGAGCAGCACAGTCCGGGGCTCCGGCGGCCAGAGGTACTCACAGACACACGCTGGCGTTGGGAGAAAGCATGTAGACGTTGTTCTCACACAGCGGGTAGATGATGATGGCCTTGCCCCAGTACACCAGGTGAGCCGCGAGCTGGAAAACCTGCAGGCAGTGGGGGCTGGGACAACCCTGCCTCGGGCCAGCCCCCCCCAAGGAGCTTGGCACAGCACGCACACAAGCCTGATCATCACTGGCTGGTGTGCGGTTTAGGACCCGGTGCTGTCCAGGCTGACACTGAGGAGAGGTCCCATGAGCATGGGTACGTGTGAGGTGATCACACTGAACAAGGGCCTTGGCTGGACAACCTGGCAGAGGCCAGCACCCTGCTCCCACCAGGACCCCAGCATGGGGACGGGTCTCCACATGGCAATGGGCGTGGGTCACATGAACCTGTCCTACACCTCCTGCACCCGTCCCTGTGTGTCCTGGCATCCCCGGACCACATTCCACTGCCCGGCTCTCCTGGCTGCTCAGACCAGATGGGCCACAGACAGACGAAGATGCCAGGAATTCCTTCCAACTTCAAGAGGGGAGCCCAGGTCTGAGCGTGCGGCACTGCAGCCTTTCAGGGCAAGGCACTGTGCAGTTTTTAAAAACTTTTAAAAATGTTTATTTATGAGAAAGACACACATAAAATACGAGCAGGGGAGGGGCAGAGAAAAGGGGAGACACAGAATCCGAAGCAGGCTCTAGGCTCTGAAGCCGTCAGCACAGAGCCTGACACGGGGCTTGAACTCACAAACTGTGAGACCATGACCTGAGCCAAAGTCGGACACTTAACTGACAGAGCCCCCCAGGTGCCCCCACACTGAGCATTTCTAATTCTGCATCACCCAGGTGAGCCTGTTGCCCCTCTGTGCCGTCACAGAGTGTCCCCAAGTGGGCGAGTCACCTCAACCCACACACAAGACCAGGGATACTGCTAAGTCCACCTCCATCTCATCTTGGCAAACAGGCACCACCACTGCCAACACGGCAGAAATTTCAGTTCCTTCACTTACCGCTCCTGTCTCTCATCCCAAGTCCCACTGAAGCTCACTCCGAAGCAAGGACACGCCCATCTTCTTCTACCTGCCATCACCCTCCCCCATAATGTGCACCCCCCCCCCCAACTGCTCCATGCAGCCCGAGTGCCGTTCTAGAGACCAGAGGTCTAACTCAGATCACAGGGTGTGGTGTGGCTGTTAGCAGGACCACTCTCCCCGGAGACTGCCTCCTGCAGCGGCAGCCTTCCTTGGCATGTGCATGTGGCCACATCCCTCCAGTCTCTGCTTCCAGGGTCACATCCTCTGCCCACTTCTTATAAGGACAACTCAGGTTACCGTCCATATCAAGATCCTTTATCACCTCTGCAAAGTCTCATGTGAGGGTGCATCCATAAGACCTGAGGATCAGGATGCGAAGACCTGGGGGGCCATTACTAAGCCCATCATGAGAAATGGACACTGTGTTAATTTATACACATAAAAAATCTGGAGGAATCTACTGTGGTTACTCGGAGATACAGGATCGCAGTGCTTACAATTTGTGAGTTATACAAATCTTTAAACATCATGTTAATTTATCAAGATTAAAAAAAGCCCAAAATAGGGGAGGTAGGTGGGATGAAATAGGTGAAGGGGATTGAAAGTGCACTTATCTCGATGAGCAGAGTAAAATACGGACGGCACACCTGAAACCAAACTAATACTGTATGTACGGAACAAAGGGAGCCTGGGGGGGCTCAGTTAACCATCTGACTCGATTTCCGTTCTGGTCATGATCTCACGGTTGTGACACCCAGCGCCATGTCAGGCTCTGTGCTGACAGAGTGGAGCCTGCTTGGGATTCTCTGTCTCTCTCTCTTTGACCCTCCCCCACTTGCCCTCTCTCAAAATAAATAAATAAAATAAAAACAGATTAGATTAAAACAACAACAACAAAAAAGCCCCAAAATATTTACTTTGCCTGGGATTAAACAAGAGTTATTTAAGACTTTATTTCTTCTTCAGTAACCTCTATACACCACATGGGGCTCAAACTCATGACCTCGAGATCAAGATTCACATGCTCTCCTGACTGAGCTGGCCAGATGCCTTGGAAACATGACTTAAGCGGACATCCCTCCAGGGGGCCATTCATGCTTGAGGCTCCCACTAGGCTCGGCCAGCCTCTGCTCTTCATGGGGCCTCCACTGGGCCACACCAGCAGGAAACCCTGATCTGAAGCGGGCTCAGTGTGGAGGGTTATGGAAGGAAACAACAGCCTCTCCGTGGCAAGGCAGGGCTGGCAGGGCGGGCGGCGAAGGGGTATCACTAAGCTTTGTCTTTGTCCAAAGAGACCGAGAAACTTGAAAGCTTTGAAAGCTCAGCCTGTACTGGTCAGAACACAAGCTCTGCGGTGTGTACAAAACGGCCCAAACACTGAAGGTTCCGTCTCGTGGATGCTATGAAGGTGAGCGGGACGTGATCCTGAGTCCCACCTTGTCTATGAGCCCAGATGCACAACAACACAACCAAATAAACTCTCTCAAGGGGCAGACAAAGACCATGGGGTAGAAACTGGGAAGGACTTATTCGGGATGGCAGAATCCAAAAAGGCTGCTTTGAGAAGCCAAGGCCTGAGAGTCAAGCTCCTACACACTGCCAAGGGCCAAAACCACAGACAGCACTCCGCCCCCCAGAGGGCCCAGGCAGGCCGGCCTCACATCTTCCTCCCCCACCTGAGAGAGCTGCTGCTCCGGCCAGGTCCTGCTGCCCCCTGGTGGCCACATGGTGCGCACTATCACCAGACCCGGGTCTCGCCCTGGGGCTATCACTTGGAAGGCACCCTGTCCCAGGGCCTCCAACTTCTCTCTGTGCTTCTCTTCACTCCCTGGCCCCAACCCAGGCTCCAACCAGATGGCAGCCAGGACGGAGGGGCCCTCTACCCCATCAGAAACGGCAGCCCGCAAGCACATGGCTTGGCAGGAGGGAGCACCTCACACAGAACATAGGCCTGCATGCACACGAGGTTAGGTCCCTGTTCTGCACACGGGCTCTCGACCGAATTTCCTGCACTCACCTCCCACACCAGCCAAGGGGAGATGTGGTCCTGGCTGCTCACACGACGACACCCTGCATGCCCCTAGCCCTGGCAGCCTGTCCTCCAGGGCCCAGTCACCCGGCATCCGGAGGGCCTCACGCCTCACAACCCTTGGACACGGGGACCACGTCAGTCCCACAGCCAGTTCACAGAGCCTGCCCTGAAGCCAGGCCTGCCTCAGATTCTAGAACTTGGAGCCAACCTGGGAACAATCCATCCTGCCACGGCAGGCCACACGGTGGAGCCAGGGACACGGGGACGCAGCACACAGGCAGCCTGCTTTCCTAACACCCGGACCCCCTACCTTCAGCCGGGGGCCGCGTGTTTTGACATGTCCCCCTCTCCCCCCAGCCATTCCCCTGCACTCGGGGCTCTTCCCAGGCCCCCAGGGGGTTACCTGAAGCAAGGCCAGGTCTGCATCCTGGGCCAGCTGCTGCAGATTCTTCACGGCGGACGTGGTCTTGATCACACGCACCAGGGCCGGGGAGCAGTCGAGCGGGAGCTCGGCCAGCAGCGACTTCTCATCACTGAGCAGCAGCAGGGCATGGTAGGGACTGCGGCGCAGAGTCACAGGTCAGCAGGACACGTGAGCAGCCGGGCCTCCGCCCTGGCATGCACCCCTGAGCACGCAGACACTGAACCAGGGAGAAGGGGCCGCCAGAAGGAGAGAAGGACAGTGTGTCTAGGGCCTTTAGGGAGCCACAAGGATTACAGTCACCTTCAGAAAAAACGAATGAGAACAAAACAGGAGGCCCTTGGACCAAACTCCATCTCCCACCTCTGGGATTGACCTGCAAACGTTTGTTGATTGAAAAAATCCATGACTCTTTTCTAAGGAAAGAGTCCCAAATGCGGGAAAAGCAAAATCCTCACCACAGACTATGAATAGAACTACATAAAAATGTACTCAGCAAGGAAGCCCAGGAGGAAAGATGTGGACTTGGAGCACAGATTAGGCGAGGGAGGGAGGCCGGCCTAGGTGGTGCCTTGCTTTCTCTCACTGCCAAGTTTGCTGTCATGTGCCCACATTTCTTTTTTACTTATAAAAATCTCTAAGGGAAGAAACTTGGTGGACATACGGGGGTGGGGGGGTGGGGGGGCGGTGTGTGTGTGTGTGTGTGTGTGTGTGTGTGTGTGTGTGTGTACACCAAGCTTAGCTCTTTCCTTGCAGGAAATCAGTTACATTAAGTGACTGAGTTCCCAAAAGTTCTGATTCAAATTCAAGAGGTCCAGTGAACACTGCTGTGATGACAAAACCCCTTCTAGAGTCTGGCTTCCCGCCAGGGTGTCTGGTCCCTATAGCCCTGCCCAGGCCTGAGGCGAAGACCCTTGGCACGGGACCCCAGGCCATGCCCAGGAAGGCTCAGGGGAATCCTGGGGTTGGTCATCTCTGGACCAAACCAGATCCCAAAATATGTGTTTTTATTTCTATACAACAGTAGAACCTTGCTGGCCAGTTCCTGTGGCAGAAAGAGGAAAAGAGAATTCTCAGACAGAACCAGCAAAGCCTCAGGCAGAAGGCAGAAGCTAAGACGAGGCCCGAAGGGCACGAGGGGTGGGGCAGGCGCTCACCGGATGGCCTTCAGGCTCCGCTCGATGGCCTCGGGTGGGAGGAGGCTGGCGGCAGCGCAGTGGATCTTATGTGGCAGGCAGAAGCCCACCTCCAGCCAGCTGTTGATGTGGAGCCGCACCACGCCCGATGTGCACAGGCTGCGGAGAGCAGGCCGTTACCGCTGGGTGCCACGGGGAAACTTCCGACCAGACACACAGCCCCCACAGAAACCCAAGTGTGCTTCCTGCCGGCACGCTGCCGGTCACAGGAAACTGCTGGGGCCGGTGATCGTCCTTCCAGACCCCAGGATACTCGAGAGGAGAAAATGTATTAGGAACGCAAAACGTATCTCCAGGAGCCCTGGGATCTGCAGCAGCGAGTGCCACGTTTGGAGGGCAGCGTCTTCTCTGTCCCCAAGGCTCCCTGTGCCAGGGCTCTGGGACAGCCTCGTCCACACAGTGGGAGCCAGCCCCTTGCACGCTGATGAGGGCCCGAGCACAGCGGGGCAGCTGAGCAGGGCAGGAAGGGTGGGGGTGCCAAGGCCCTGCCTTGCTGCAGATGCCAGCGCTGCCCAGGTCCACTTCCTCCTCTTCTTCCAGGACCAAACACGGCAATCCTGTCCCTGACTCCTCGTTTCTCCTAAACCCCACCTCAACCATCCCACCCGCAGGGAGGTACGAGGTCCAGACCTGCTCTGTACCAGCCCCCGTCTGCCCTCCCCACTCAGACCATCGTGGTTCCCACCTGGGCAGTCCCGGTCTGAAGCCCCATACGGCCTTACTCTTTTCTGACCCTGTCTCCGACCCCGGGCCATTTGAGCCACCCCCTGTCCCGGCCGCTCCACAGTTCTCAGCCTCAAGGACTCCCTCCAGGTGCCCTGGCTCCTACCCTGTGTCAGGTCTCAGCTCCCGCACCACCTTCTCCGGGAGGTGAGCTCTGACCCAGCCGCAGGCGATCTGACTGCCGTGTGATCCTGTGTGTCTGGACGCAGTTTCCCCGACCAGAGTTCAGGCACCAGATGTGCTCCTGTGTTTCACTAACTGCTCCCCACACGTCTGGAGAAGTGTGGGGTGCTGGGGGGCACTGAGAACCACTGCATGAATGGAGGACGGGAAGGGGCCCCGGGAACCCGCTGCTGACTCTGGGTGAACCATCTCTCAGTAAGGCCCTGCCTGGAGAACAGGCTTCTGGTGGCTGCACAGGGGGGACGGTGGCCTCATACACCCTGCACCAGAGAACCACACGCAAAAGAGCTGTTTCCAGCAGGTCTTCTGAAACCCTCCAGTGAGAAGCCAGCCTGACTGCATCCACAGCCCCGGTGCTGAGTGCCAACACCACTCGGTGTCTGACACAGATACAAAGGCCCTGTGCCTGCTCCTCGCCACACCCCCGGCAGGTGGACAAGAGAGGGGATGCGTGCTCACTGTCAAGGCCTGTCCTGTCCTGACCCAGCTCTTCCCATCACAGTCCAACTCCACTCTGCTATTCCTAACTGGCTGGAGGCCAAGACGCCCACATCCAGCCCAGTGCCGGCAGGGGGTGCTGTGGTCCTCACTGCTGGCACCCACAGGCTGTTCTCATCTCTTCCCTGAAACCTCAAGCAGCAGACCGACTACCACGAGCTTCCCCATGGGTCCACCCAGAGAGCTGGGAGCATTTGTGGTCAGCAGTTTTCTCAAGCAAGGAAGGTGCAATGAGAAAAACCAGTGGGAAGAACGCAGAGCACATCCGTGACCTCCACGGCCCGAGGGCTCCTGCCAACACCACTGTCTGCTCGCTGCCAACGCCCCGCAGCTCCCACACACTCTGCCTGCCCTGCCCGCAGGCGTCAGGAAGGACCCCCCCGCCCCCCGCCACGCTCCCAGGACATCTGCGCCACCGAGCAGTCCACGGAGGGAGGGGCAGAGCACCCCTGGGTGCAGGGGGGAGGGCCACAGGCCATGGCTGAGTCTAGAAAGCGAAGGTTTGGTCCCTGGTGAGGCCACAGTCCTTCAGGGTGAGCACTATGAGTGGGTCTAGTGAGTGTCATAATCTAGGGAAGAGACCCGGGTCCTCCCCCGAGGCCCCAGAGGAGGACACTGCTCTTGGCTTCTTCCAGAATGGGGTGCTACTAAGTAAATATGAGCAGATGGAAACCCCCAGAGCCTCACCAAGCTTTGGGCAAGGGTCTTTGCAGGGGGACAGCTCCCATCAAACTCTGAGAAATAGCCTCTTACAGAATCCAGTTCACACCAGGAGAGAGTGCTCCAGCGGACGAGATTCTCAGCATCCGCGCACAAGAGGGAAAAGGGTGAGGAAGAGCAGGGCTTGAGGGAGACGGAACTGGAAAAGCTAACAGGTGCTGGCCCCGCCTCCATTTCACCATGAACCTGGACAAAAAGGCTGCTGGAGTGAAAACAAAGTCTTTCTATTCTTGAGCTGCCCTCTTTAGGGTAGATCTCAAAGTAGCAGCTGGAACACTGCAGAATCCAAATTCAACACTGAGATTCCTGTCATTTCAAACGTAGCTGTTACTGCCCCCCCCCCCCCCCGGGGCTCCGCGATGCCAGCGAGCACACTGGCACGAGGTCCTCTCCTCCGGGAGGGAGAGGCGCTCCCAGGGTGGTTCCCGGGTCTTCGTGGGGATTTTACTCCACTTTTCCAGGCATCTGCTCACCCACCAGCCACTTCCACCCATGGAGGACTGCGCACCGGGACGAACCGTGGAGAGCCCCTGGAACGAGTTGGTAGGAGGAATATGCTCACCCGCCACCCAGAGCCCCCGGGGAAGCGCTGCCAGTCCCCCTGCAGCAGGAGCGGCACTGAGGTCTCCCAGGAGGAGGGAAGAAAAGGTTGGTCTCTGTTTCTAAAGTACCATTTGGTTTTTTGTTCTAAAGCCTCCAGGGTAGAGGGAGCCCATCCTCTGAAAATCTCTGAGGCTACAGTTCATTTATTGATTTCTTATTATTGAAGTAGACTTGACATACTGCATTGTATCAGGTTCAGGTATTTGACAGTTCTCTATGTCACTCAGTGCTCACCACCATAAGCGTAGTCACCACCTCTCACGTTACTAATGAGCATCCTCCTTATTATGCTGTATAAAGTACAGTTTTTAGACAAGACTCTTCAGCAGAGCAGGGGTTTGGGGCCTAAAAGTCTCCTGCTATGTGTGTACTTCTATTTCCAGGGCAGTCATGTTTGGCCTGGAAACACGGTACAAAAAGCACTCCCCCCCAACGTGAGGCTTATCCAACCCATCACACAGTTCTGGGCCAGATAGGGTCGCCCAGCCCCACCTGCCATGCGAGATAGACGCTCTTACCAGGCCCGAGTCCTAAAGCAATGACTGTGCATAGCATACCCTCTAAGGCATGCTCTTATCTTTCCTATCCCAGATGGAAATGTACGGTGTACAAGCTTACTCCATCCCCCTCACATCTCACTGCCTGAGGACGAACTTTGGCTCCTAACCTTTAGCTAACAGCTGAAACGCCCTGTCTGGTCTCCCAGGCAACCTTCTTCCTGCCAGTCCAGCACCTTCTGGTCACTCTGGTCGCACACACAGCCAGGCTTCCTAGTCCAGGGAGTGGACGGTGCTCACAATCCCGGTGCAAGTAGAGGTGCAAGTAGACGCCAAGAGGCCCGCCTTGACATTTCAAACAGAAGCTTATATACATGTGTTTATGGGAAAAGGGGGTCTGGGGGCCCATCTTTGCTCTGAACGGGCAGCAGTGCGAGGCGGCAAGAGACTAGCAGAGTCCCCGGCACCACCTGCCTGGCCACGCCCCCACCACAGGCCCCATTAACTCTGAGAACTGCAACAAACACTTGGTCAAACCACAGAACCCACAGTCACAGGACTGCTTTGCTCACCCTCTGACCACCAGTGGACAAGCTGCTGTGCCTCCCCCCACGCCAAGCACAAAGTCTGTGTTGAAGGAAGTGCAGGGGCGTCCCTAACCTCATGTCATGGGAGACACCACCTGACAGTCACACAAATGAGTGGGACACTGTCACTGAGATCGCCAAGCTCCATGGGGAGACACAGAAGCTAGAACAGTGAGGGTGGACTCCTGAGGGATTCATGCTGCCAGCCTATATGCACGGACACTTACGTCCCGGGGCACAGGGCCACCAGGCTAGTCAACCACACCACAACCCTGGATTTTAATTAAAAGAGCAAATCCAGAACAACTCCTTTGAGAAGTCTCACCCCAGTCCCTAGCCTCCACATCTCACATCTTCCGGTCTCTCACTTCTGCTCGGATAAAACCCTCCCCGGGGTTTTCTGAACCTGTTGGGAAGCCGACAATGAGAGAAGAAAGCGCTGTGTTCGATGCTACCAGATCAGTCATGTAAACTCAAGTCTCTCTTTCTCAGCTCCAAGGTAAGTCTACCCTTCAGCAACAGGCCAGGCCAGACCTCAAGGCAAAGGGAATGCCACAGGCTGGGGGAGCTCCTGGGCAGTCACAGAGCCAGTGCTGTCGCCAGGCTGGGACAGCGGGGAGGGGCAGGGTGCCACTGTCCCTGGGACTCCCTCCAGAGAGGCACTGTTGCCAGCTTACCCGAGGTGGGCCCCAGGCCCCACGACCTGAGCAGGGTGGGGTCTGGGAACAGGAAGGGTAGGTGGGGGGTTACCCGGAGAAAAGAGGATCCTGAACACTCACGCACCAGGATGCCTGGGCGAGAGGAAGGCGGGCAATTGCTCCACGGTGGACTCTGGGAGCCTTTTCTTACCCAAAAAGGATTCCTGCCCTTCTTTAAACTAATGCCCACTAGGGGGCGCTGTGCTGCCTCCAGCTCTGAGCTGCCTCTGGCGGGTCAACTACCCAGGACTTCATTCCCTCCAATTTGCGGTTCAAACATAAGAAATTGCAGTCCGTTCTTTCTCTAGACATAGTCAGTATGGTTCTGGTTTGATGTTTACTCTCTCGCCAGGCTGGGCTGAACTGTGCTGTGGTCTAACCCTAGCTCACGAGTACAGGGTCCCGCTCGGAACCCGGCAACATTTCTCACAGACGGGATCTCTGGCAGCTGCCAGCCCAAGGCCAGAGCAGCACTTATGCTCCAGAGACAGCTTCAGTGTGGTCACAGGCGAGGTCATGAGAGGGAGACTGGCGGACTACAGCCCTAGAGACCCTGTTCCCTACCACCCAGCGGCCCACACCCAGTGGTCCCCGAGATCAGGACAAAGGCACTGACTCCATCACAGGGGACAGCTCTGCCTCCTACATGACGGCGCCTTTCCTCCCAACAGAGCCGAGCTGGGTCTGGGGAGAGCTGAGGAAGGAAAGGGAGACGCGCAAACTCAAGACGATGCACAGAGCTGCACCCAGACACAGCTATGCCGGACCCCACACCCTGCCCTCAACGTGGGAACGATCCCAAAGCTCACTGAGACCCTATGCTGGCAGAGCTGGAGACAAGACAGCTCCTGTGTCGCTAGTGGGGGGAAGGGTACAGCCTGAGGCACAAGCCCCAATGGGAAATGCACTGAAATTACTAGTGCATTCTACCTATTTGGCCTGGCCCTTCTACTCTCAGGAATTTACCATATAAACAAACAGGCACACATGCACTGAGCAGTGGGTCTTACTGCACCAGAGGCTGGTGCGAACTCAATGCCCAAGGAAGGGGCCTGGCTAACCATGCAGCAAAAAAAAACCAGGGTCCCTGGGTGACTCAGTCAGTCAAGCATCTTTTGATTTTGGCTCATGTCATGATCTGAGTCATGGGATCGAGCCCCACACTGGCTCCACGCTGAGCAGGGAGCCTGCTTGGGATTCTCTCTTCCTCTCCCTCTGCCCCTCCCCCACGCGTGCTTTTGCTCTCTCTAAATAAAAAAAATTAAAGTAAAAAAAAATGAAAAAAGATAAAGTCCTTCTTTACCAATACAGACGGGAGGCCAAGCTACGCTGTTAAACAAAGCAGGCAGAGGCAGGCAGGCGCAGAGTGAAGGGAGAAAGGCGGTCTGCGCTAGCCCCGGGAGACCGCACGCAGCACATGGCTGCCTGCTTCCCTGCGTCCTGCCACCAGGACAGGGACCTGGTGGTGGCACGGCAAGAAAGAAACTCAACAGTGATTTTCAAACTTGATGGATATGTGACCTTGTCAAAAGCTTCAATTAAAACAACAGAAAGAATAAAAATCTCCAAAATGCTCCTAACAACGATCACTGGATGTGGGACTACAGATGGGCCTTGTTTTCTCTTTATTTTCTTAGATTTCCTAAGCATCTACAACGAACACGTATTATTAGTAAGATCAGGAAAATTATTAACATCAAAAAAAAAAAAAAAAAGGAGAGGATGCTAGAGGAGCCACTTTTCTGGGTGTGGGTGATGTGTGGGGCAGCAGCCACAGCTCTCGGACCCAGCGCACCTCCAGGGGGCAGCGTGGAGCCTGCTGGGACGGAACGGAGACCCGAGGAGGCCAGGAGAGGGTCCTGGGCTGCGCACAGGGACAAGGCCTGGGGACAAGGCCCGGGGAAGCCCGCACCTCCACGAGGTCTGTGCGGCAACATGCCGGGTGCTGGGCGGTCCCTTCAGCCGTGCGTGACGGCCCCTTGTGAACCAACAGTCCTGGAGCAGAGCGGGAAGGCAAAGCTTGCAGGGGGCCTGTCACCTGGGCGCCTACCCAACCCCCTGCTCGCCATCTCCCACCTGCACTGCAGATCAGGGTCAGGGAATGGTGGATACCCTTTAAAAGAGGTTCTTTGCTTGTCCAAAAAGAGAGACATGGGAACACCAATATAATCGGAACTGTTAAGACCTGCGCATCTGCTGACGTCTGCTGCCTTCCTACACTCAGGCCCCAAGCCCCGAGTCCCTTAGAGCCGGGAGGAGCACCTCTGACCTTCAGTTTCCTCATGAGTAAGGTAGACAGGCCCAGAACTTGGCACTGTGTCGTGCTGACATTGCATCTTTTGACGCAAAAGACTTTCAGGCTCTCACGCGTGACTTCAGGTTTCGTTCTGGGTTTCAGGCTCTCACGCGTGACTTCAGGTTCCGTTCTGGGAGGGACTGCCCCAGCAGATGGCCTCTCTCGCCCCCATCCCGGTAGCACCGCAGGAGAAGAGCTCAGGCAACAAGGCCCACAGGGAGAAGCACCACGCAGGTCCCCCGGCTGTCTTACCTGTCATAGGCTTCCTTGAGGTCCCTGGCCAGCTTGCACTTGGGCAGAATGTGGTGGAACGGAGACTGAGGACTATCATTTGCTGCAGAAATCACAACACAGAGAATTTAGAGCCTCCAATGCAAGGAAACTTGAAAAGTCTGGAATGGAAAATACCTTTAAAACTGAAAATAAATTTAAAGCCATTTTAAACCAAATATGAGGCCATTCCCTACTGCTTTTCATAAAATCTGTGCATCCAGGTGAAATAACATGAGACTTAGGCTGCTCTGTTTGACAGTCTTTATCTGGAACATCTGTGTTTAAACTTCACCACTGCTGCCCCTGAGCCTGCAGCACTGGACAGTCCAGTCCACTGGCAGCCGCCGAAGCCCCCCTCAGGCCACCAGAGCCACCTTCCACTTGGTGGGCAGGTGCTTTCACACCTCGTCGTCCTCGTTCACACCAATGCAATTTTTTAAAGTTTATTTATTTGGGGTGGGGGGCAGACAAAGAGGGAGAGAAAGAGAATCCCATGTTGGCTTCAGGCTCAGCACAGAGCCCGACACGGGGCTCAATCTCCCAAATCATGAGACCAAGACCTGAGCCAAAATCAAGAGTCAGACACTTAACTGACTGAGCCACCCATGCGCCCCTAATGCAATTTATTTTTAGGATCAAAAACCTTTCATTAATCCTTTCTCATAAATGCCTTAAAAAAATGTTTAAGTTAAATTACATTTTTAAAAAATTTCCGGTGATGGGGCGCCTGGGGGGCTCAGTCAGTTAAGCGTCCGACTTTGGCTCAGGTCACCATCTCACGGTTCATTGGTTTGAACTCTGCATTGGGCTCTGTGCTCAACTCAGAGCCTGGAGCTGCTTCAGATTCTGTGTCTCCCTCTCTCTTTGCTCCTCCCCCACTTACGCCCCATCTCTCAAAAATGATTAAAGATTAAAATTTGCTATGATAAAGTTACAGACTCTAAAGAGAATATTTTTTTTAAAAAAATAGAACTTCTAGGAGCACCTGGGTGGCTCAGTCAGTTAAGTATCCAACTCCTGGTGCTGATGCACAGGGGCACATGTACCCCAATGTTCAGAGCAGCACTCTCAACAGTAGCCAAAACATGGAAAGAGCCTAAGTGTCCATCCACTGACGAATGGATCAAGAAGAAGTGGTTCATCTATACGACGGAATACTACATGGCAATGAGAAAGAATGAAATCTGGCCATGTGTCGCAACATGGATGGACTCTGAGGGTGTTATGCTGAGCGAAATAAGTCAGGCAGAGAAGGACAAATACCATATGTTTGCATGTATAGGAGGATTAGGAGGAACTTAACGAAGGACCGTGGGGGAGAAGAAGGGGGGAAATGGTGGGGGAGAGGGAGGGAGGCAAACCATGAGAGACTCTTGAATGCTGAGAACAAACTGAGGGCAGACGGGGTGGGGGGAACAGAAGGCGGGTGATGGGCATGGAGGAGGGCACTTGTGGGGATGAGCACTGGGTGTTATGTGGAAACCAACTTGACAATAAACTATTTAAAATAAAAAATAAAAAAAGTACCTGACTCCTGATTTCAGAGTAGCTCATGACCTCTTGGTTTTACAGTTTGAGCCCTGAATCAGGTTCCACACTGTCAGTGCAGAGCCTGCTTAGGATTCTTTCTCCCTCTCTCTGCCCCTTCCCCACTCAGGCGCGCACACACACACTCTCTCTCTCTCAAAATACATAAACTAAAAAAAAAGAAAAGAAAAAAACTTCTGGATTGTTATTAACTAGTACGTAACTGGCCAAAACATGATGATACATTTTGATAGCTGTCAAATATAAAAAGCAAATTTTCACTGGAAATGCACGTGAGTCAGACACTTCATGTATGGTGATCATTACTTTTACTTATTGCTAAAATTTGACTGGGTTCACCTTCAAATCTGTTTCTACTTCTCTCTTTTGTTACGTAGGCGCTGACTGGAGACGGATGTGGAATGTGTAAAAGGTAGGCCTTCTCTGTGCTTTGAGGTATTTACAGAATGCCAAAGTCTACAACATGATCTACTGCCTATTTTCCTGATCTATGTTTTTTGGAATATTTTTTTAAGATTTTATTTTTAAGTAATCTCCATACCCAGTGTGAGGCTCAAACTCACAACCCGAGATCAAGAGTCACATGCTCGACCGACTGAGCCCAACAGGAACCCCCCCCCTTCCCCGGCAATAATTATTTTGATAACTCAATCAGGTTCTTCAATTTAGACGAAAGCAAAGAACTGGAAACGTCCCTCTTTGCTAGCTCGAAGTTCCCGCTGGCCCCTCTACATGTCCTCCTGCTACAGGAAGACATGGCCAGCGGGAGCAGGGCTGGGTGGGCAGTGCCCCACCAGCCTGAGAAGCCATCCTGCCGCAGCTGGGGGAGGGAGGAAGTACAGGCGGGACATCCCTTTTAGCGCATCAGGTCAGGAGAGCTGCTTTCCGACTGTGCTCCTTGGGGCACCCTCCTGCGCACCCAGGGAAGGTCGCGTGAAGGTCACGTAACCTCCTGGTGCCTCAGTTTCCACATCTGCCAACCCAGATTGGGGTCCCTGCCTCAAAAGGCTGCCTCCTCTGTGGCGGGGTGGAGGCGGAGCACCTCTTGCCACACTCACCATCGGCCACGGCGGGCACCTCATCCTGCAGCGCCAGGATGAGCTTGGCCTCCCGGGTCAGGTACTGGCAGCGGCGCTCCTCGTGCTGCAGCACGGTGGCGATGCGTCGGGAAAGGCTGTGCAGACAGTTTATCACCGATGGGTCCGCGTTGGCCTGCGAGAGGGTAGGACACGTGACTCAAACGTAGCGTACGTACTCAGGTAGCACACGTGCACAGGAGACTCACACCGTCTAAGAATTCTCTCCCAGTCCACTGCTGCCCCGTTTCCTGTTCCCCTTTAGGGTCCGGCCACAGACATCACTGCACTCAGCATCCTATCCTGGGAATCGATGCCTGGATGGTGACACAGAGATGGTTCTGTGGGGTCCCCCAGCTGGCGGGGGGACACGGGCATTTCCAATGAGCAGACAAAGGCTCCCCTGCTGCGGGGCCCCACATCAGGGCCGTCCAGGACAGCATGCTACACATCAGGCATCCACTCGAGGCCCAACAGAGGCAGCCCACTGGGGCAGCTGAAGGCACAGATCCCACCTCCCACCTGCTGTGTGACCCACCTGAGAACGCTCAACAGTGGCACCTCCCTCTCCCATTGGTTTGATAGAACCCACCCAGAGCACGGGCCCTGGCAGTGTTGTGGCCACCAGCGTGCCGCTCACTGCTGGTGGACAGGCCCAGGCCATGTGATCACACGGGTGACAGGGAGGGTAATAAGCAGAAGCACTACACCGACTGTTCACTACACGCTGTGTGCAGAAGAGGCCCTTTCTAGCACGAATAAGCATGGCTAACAGAAGCCGTCAGCAGGACCCAGGCCGCCCCCTCCCCACAAGCGCCCCTGGCACCCAGGTGCTACCCCTGGAACCTATCAGACAGGGGAGTGAGGCCAGGCAGGCACACCCACCCAGGCCAGGGTGGAGGCGACAGTGGCAGGGTCTCGGAAGAGGCCCCACAGAGCAGATAACGGGCAACTCATGACTAGGTGTTTCAGGAGACCCCCAGGGTGCTGAGTCATCCTAGCTGTGGGGTGGGAGGAGGGAAAGGGACACATGGGACCACTGATTAAAACCTCTGCTACTGCCTCCCCTCCTGTTTATCTGGCAGGCAGGGCCCCGCCCTCTGGGTGTCCCCCCACACCCCCACCTTCGGGACCAAAGCCCGCCCTAGACTCAGTAAACACCATCACCGCCTGGACCTGGAGAGGTTTTCTAAACTCCAGGCAGGTTTCACGTTCGCAAAGAGAGCGTGCACCTGGCAGCACGCCTGCCGCGCCGGGGAGAGGCCTGGACACCACTGTCCCGCTGTGCCCACTCCCCCTCCCTGAGGCCCCGGGCAGGGCAAGGACAGCCCCTCAACCGTGTTCTCCCGCAAGACTGTGGAACTGTAGGGCCCAGGTTATAAAGTACGGACAACTGCTTTAAAGCAACATACACTTTTAGAAAAATCGGTGTGAAAATACTCTTCGCAGCGGGGCGCCTGGGTGGCTCAGTCGGTTAAGCGTCCAACTTTGGCTCAGGTCATGATCTCACGGTTCATGAGTTTGAGCCCCACGTCAGGCTCTGTGCTGACAGCTCAGAGCCTGGAGCTGCTTCAGATTCTGTGTCTCCCTCTCTGACGCTCCCTTGCTCACGCTGTCTCTCTCTCTCTCTCTCTCAGAAAAAAAAAAAAAAAAAACTCTTCGCAGCAAAACAGAAGGGGAATGATCTCTTGTGCATGGTTATTCCCGTGAAGATGTAAAAAGTCACACCCAAGCGCCTGACCCTATGCTCAAGGTCCCACTGGCTGGGACAGGGCCGTGTTTTAAGCCACCTGTGCTACGTTCCCAGGCATTGGAGGGGGTGTGCTCACCCAGGCGAGGCCCGGTGACCTTCTCCGGGAGGGCGTGCTGGGATGTCCTGTTGGCTTCACAGGCCTGATACCACTCCAGGTGCCTGCAGCGCCCAAGGCTGTGGCCACAATGAGAAAGCCACCACCTAGGCTGTGCCAGTTCTGAGGGGGAGCTCCGAGAAACACCACACTTGCCCCACGAGTGGTGGGAAACAGCAGGAAATGTAGGGGGTCGCCTGGGAGACTTTCCTGCTCCCAAAAACGTGTCCCCAAATGACATGAAGCCTCGGAGCAAATGTCCAATTTGCAGGCAACACAAGAATGAAGAGGAGGCACGATGAGCTGAATTCCCACATGGGACAGTCAGGGAGACAAAGCAAGACGGGGTCCTAGGCTGGCAGAGACCAGGTTTTCATGCTGGTCCAGGCCAACTGGAAAAAAACAGCAACTGAGGACAGTGTCCACGGACTAGGCACGAGGTGACAACAAACTATGGCAAATTTTGTCAGGTGTGGAAGGCATTACGGGGTAAAATAAATGTCCATATTTTAGAGAGATGCTGTCTCAAGTACACAGAAGTGACCAGACATGAGGTCTGGGACTTGCCTTGAGCGCGTGAGCAACGAGGTGGGATGGAGAGACCAGGGTGGTCTGTGGTGGCTGTGCGCAATCAGAGACGGTTGTATGAGGGTTATCCAACTACTGTCACTAATCTGGGGGTGAAAACTTTTCAAAGTGAAAAAAAGGTATACACTTTTATAGGACTACTAAAAAGTAGAAAGAAACCTTGTCTACCCTAAAATATCAACCCTTTGCTACTATGTAAACTCCTCCCGCTCTTCAACATTACGGCCTGTGCGACCTGAAGGCCTCTGCTGCCTTGTTTCCCGCTGCCGCTAACAACCGCGGTCCGTGCGTCCTCCCCAGGCTGTGGCTCCCTCCTCCTCACCTCTAACCGCCCAGCGCTGCCAGGATAACAAGCACTGCCCTGTCTAATCATTCCCCAACCACGGATTCCACAACTACCCCCTGCCAAATTTTTGTCACAAAAGTTGGCATACAACTTTAAAACCCGCTTGTTTTCTTGACCGCTACATCCAAGGGTGTCACGCCTTCTGCTGTCACAGGCTGTTCCCCAGAGAGAGGGCCTGTCTGCCTACATCCGGGCTGGGGCCGTGGCTGCTTCTCCCTGCCCATCCCACAGGGCTATCGGTTCTGACATGCGGACAGCGTTCATCAGGATTTGTTTTTTTGTTTCTTGCTTGAGTTCTCGTTCTGGAAGTCTGCATTATGTAATTTCACAAGTCAGACCCTTGTATTACTTACACCGGGAAAATGCCAAAACTACAAAAATAAAGGTCTCCTCTTGGAACCTCATGCCTCAGGGACAGCCACTGTCAACCAATCTTTTTGTCTTAACATGCACTTTTTTTTTTTTTAGGGTTTTATTTTTGAGAGAGAGAGGGAGGGAGAGGGAGAGCGCGAGCAAGTGGCGGAGGGACAGAGAGAGACAGACACACAAAATCCAACAGGCTCCAGGCTCTGAACTGTCAGCACAGAGCCCCACGTGGAGCTCGAACTCACAAGTGGTAAAATCATGACCTGAGCCAAAGTCAGATGCTTAATGGGCAGAGCCACCCAGGCGCCCCTTTGGCTCTTCATCAGCAAGGTAGGCTGGTTTTAAAAATTAAGCTCCATTATAAAGGAACTTTTTGGTTTTGAGCCATTCATGCAGTGAATGTGGTATAGTCTCCACACACAGAAACGCTCAACATAAAATAAGCACCTTGAGACTAGAATGCTATCCGATCGTATAGGTGCTCTCTCTGCTCAGCCTCATTTCTGCCACTCTGAAGGCTTTCAGAGCACACACTGTTCCTGGTCACTGAGATCCAGTCACTACGTCCAGGACACTCCTGCAAAAAGCCATCACGCAGATCACCTGTGCCCAGCCAGAAAGAGCTACTGAATATTTTGGTGAAAATATTCACCAAATATTTAGTGGGATATTTCAGACTGGGATATTTCAGAGACATCTCATTATCTAATAGTTACTAAATATATATGAATTTCTTAGGTAATTCAAAGTTCTTTCATAATATTCGCCAGTCTCTACCCAGGGATGCTTATTTGGATCTCTTCTATTTTGTCAGCTTTACTGAAAAGGAATTTCCTCTAACACAACTTCAGACAGCACTGGGAACTGCCTTAAGAAAGTATCAGCATCAGGGAGCCTGGGTGGCTCAGTCAGTTAAGCATCAGACTTCAGCTCAGGTCATGATCTCATGGTGCATGAGTTTAAGCCCCATGTCAGGCTCTGTGCTGACAGCTCAGAGCCTGGAGCCTGTTTCAGATTCTGTGTCCCTCTCTCTGCCCCTCCACTGCTTATGCTTTGTCTCTCTCTCAAAAATAAACAAATATTAAAAAAATTTTTAAAAAAGAAACTATCAGCTTATACACACACACACACACACACACACACACACACACACACGTATATATACATAAAGGAAAAGGAAAGGAAAATAACAGGAAGAGAAGTTGGAGCCCTCACACATTGGTGCTGGGATGTAAAATAGTACTGCCACCGTGGAAACAGTCTGGTGGTTCCTCCTAAAGCTATGATCCTGGAATTTCACTCCCAGGTATATACAGAATACCAAAGGGAAATGAAAACACGTGTCCATACAAAGCATATGGACACAAATGTCCATAACAGCATCATTCATAATACTGTATTGTTGAACATATATTATTCTTTTACTTATTTATTTGAGAGAGAGAGCGTGTGTGCATGCGCACACTCGAGGAAGGGAGGGAGGGAGGAACAAGCAAGGGAGGGGCAGAGAGAGAGAGGGACAGAGGATCTGAAGTGGGCTCTGTGCTGAGAGCAGAAAGACCAATGCAAGGTTCGAACTCACAAACCATGAGATCATGATTTGCACTGAGGTCGGACACTTAACCAACTGAGCCACCCAGGCGCCCTGAACATACACTGTTCTTAGTAGGCCAAAAGGCAGACACAACATAAACATTATCAACAGATGAATGAATAACCTATGGTTCATCCACATGACAGAACACGATTTGGCCATAGAAAGGAAGGAAATCCTGATACATGGGACCACATGGGTGAATCTCAAAATTCTTATGCTAAGTGGAAGAAGCCAGACACCAAAGATCACATATTGTAGGATCCAATTTATGTGAAAATGCAGAATAGGGGTGCCTGGGTGACTCTGGGTTAAGCGTCTGACTTCAGCTTAGGTCATGATCTCACGGTTCTTGGTTTCGAGCCCTGTGTCAGGCTCTGTGCTGACAGCTCAGAGCCTGGAGCCTGCTTCAGATTCTGTGTCTCCCTCTCTCTCTGCCCCTCCCCTGCTCACATCGTCTCTACCTCTCTCTCAAAAATAAATAAAAAATTGAAAAAAAAAAAAAAAAAAGAAAGAAAATGCAGAATATGTAAATCCACAGACACAGAAAGCAAATCGGTGGTGGGGCGCCTGGGTGGCTTAGTCGGTTAAGCGTCCGACTTTCGCTTGGGTCATGATCTCGCGGTTCGTGGGTTCGAGCCCCGCGTCGGGCTCTGTGCTGACTGCCAGCTCAGAGCCTGGAGCCTGTTTCAGAGTCTGTGACTCCCTCTCTCTCTGACCCTCCCCCTGCTCATGCTGTCTCTCTCTCTCTCCTAGAAATAAATAAAACATTAAAAAAAAAAAAAAAAAAAAGAAAGCAAATCGGTGGTTTCCAGGGGCTGAGAGGGGAGGGAAAATGGGGAGTAACTGTTCTCCTTTTGGGGCAAAGAAAACGTCTAGAAGTGATAGTGGCAGTGGTTACACAACAGGGTTACTAGATGCCACTAAACTACACTTTAAAATGGTTAAAATGGTAAATCTTATATTATGTGTATTTTACTAAAGAAAAAGAGGGGGGGATATACTAAGGGTAGACTCTTCCGGCAGCCAAGGAAGGGCCTGGCAACAGCTGGGTCAGTTCAGCAGTCTGAGCTCTGAGCCAATGACTCACCAGAAATGAGCTACTGCTCTCCCCGCCCGTCCTCCCTGACCCACCCACCTGTGCTCTTCAGCCATTTGCACACTCACTCACCCTCAGTGCAAACACCACATTAAAAAGAATCATGGTGGGAGCTTCCCTCTTCGGAGATGGGTCTGTTTTTGAGCCCTGCAGAAGAAACATAATGCTAATGAATGAGAGCTACCACGTCCCAAGAAATATCTTGTTTAGTGCTATTCTTCAGGCACAGGTAAAGGTTCCAGAATATATCCAACCCAGAGAAAAACAAAGCCCTGGGGTCTTTGAGAAGTGACCAGCATCTCTGTACAGGCAAGTGCTGGCAGCCTAGACAGTTCGAGACACGGCTGAGACCAGAGTGGGCAGGTCAGGGCCAGGACCCAGAGTGACAAGACTACCCCGGCCAATGGAAGTGAGCTGAGGTGTCCATAAGAGACAAGATGGGGAGAGGCGCAAGCAAGCGGGAGGCTCTCTGCCAAGATGCTCCGTCACTCAGGGGCATTTCCTGTGTCCACCTGGGTCCTCGCAGGCTGCCTCGGCCAGGTATGGCGACCACTCGGGATGGTTAAGAGACCGGACGATGCGCAGAGCCAGCACAGAGCACGCTGCTGCGCTGTCATGCAGCCAGCCCAAATCACAAACACCAAGGGGACACCAGTGCTGCCACCAGGGGGCACAGGAGTTGGGGGGGCACATCTCCCTGGGTCATCCTCAATGGGCTCTTCACCATCCCTGCTTGTCACTCTACTTCTGTAGGGTGTGACTCCTGACAGGCTGTCAAATCTCCCCTCTGTCACTCACAGGTCATCAGTGGGGACATCCTTCCATGGGCTTATTCATGGGAAAGATTTGAGGACTGCAATTTCTGGATCACATAAATGGAGCTAAACCTGATACTGTCGTATCAAAGGCCTGATTCTGATGAGTGTGAGGGACTGCCTGGCAGATTCTGGTGTGCAAAGGCCCTTGGGCAATCATGCACTGGATCTTGTTACAGCCCCTCAGTACTGTAACATGTCACTCATCACAGAACACATAGAGAGTTTAGCACAACAGTAAGAACTAAGCGACTGATCATATTGGCTATGGTATCACAGTAAGAAAGGATGCTTGTACCATGCTAGGAACACACATCTGAGATATAAAGAGGAAGGCCCTGTCAGGAGAGACCCTGCCCGCCCGGGGATGCCATACCTGCCCCAGGGCATGCTGTAGCAGTGTCGGGTGCCCAACAAACCGCACGTTATCAATCTTCAGTTCAAATTTTTGGCCACACATTTCAGACTTGGTTGCCAAAATTGTTGCCAGAATAACATCTGAAAACCTTAAAATGATGACAGGGTAGAGTGGAAATAAGTAAACAAAGCATCACAGCACCCCCCCCACCTGCCCTCAGAGGGGAAAGGTCTCAGGACCCGGCAGCGTTGTGCATGGAGGGATCTGCCCCCACTGCTGACCTGGAGATTTCTGTCAGTTTCCCTTCTGAAGCAATCCCCAAGATCAGGGACATAAAATCACCAGAATTACAAGGTAAGAGGCATGAGAAGCATAGGCTGAAGGCACATGCTGTCATTTCTCGGCATGCTCTATGAAATTCAGGAGAGAAACGAGTTGCAGTTTGCTTTTAAAGGGAGGACAACAGCTGGAGCCAGCACTACCCCGAGGAGCCGCTCATCGAGGCTCACAGACATGTTGGGGGGGTTCCTCCAACTGGCCCAGGTTCGCAGGGCTCCCGCCACAAGCCCCAGGGCCTCCCACCCCAGGTGTGGAAGGGCGAGGGGACAGCACTGACTGCAGGGTGTTAACCACCTTCCTCACAGCCCGGCTCTCTGGTTGTTCCCGCACCCGAGTCCCTATCAGGGCTGAAACTTCTAAGATGTGCGAACTATGCAGAACCAACGATATGACAGGAACGTGGGCACGCACGGGACCGGATGCCATGGACAGGTACGAACGGCTGCAGTGTGACAGCAGATCTGGATACGATCTCTGTAAAACTGCAGAGCTCACCCTTTTTCAAGATGCATCTGTACACTTCCATCTCCCCACTGGCAACCCTGCTCCTTCCTGCCTGAAGGGGTCCAGATAAGGGAAAGTCAGCACAGGGAGGAGAGTGCTGGGGGTGCAGCGAAGTCTTATCGCAGAGCCCAGGCTCCAGGGACCTGCGCCCTAGCGACAGTGATAGACGGTATCTGATCCAGAGCCAGGAGGGAGACAAGTCTCATGCTCATTTCTCCACCTGGAAAAAGCATCTCTAACATCCAGGTCAGAAGGGCACACTGTGTCGGGGGAGGTGGCTCCAGCTCCCCGCAGGGCACGCTCAGCCCCTGGGCAGGGACAACCCTAAGGTCCTGAAGTGGCCAATGAGGACAGACATGCCACGTGCATCTGGGGCGTTCCCAGAGGAGCTACAGTGACGTAGGGACCACACGGGATGTCTCTCTCCTGGAGGAAGTGCAGTGGGGGGAGGAGGCACCTTCCGAGTCCAAAAGGGAAGGTGGGCTCTGGGCTGCTGCTACAGTTCAGCTCTGAGGCAGCAAATGACTGTGACATAAAATGGTCTAGGAAGGGGGTCATCGCTTTAGCTCCTTAGGCCCAGCGGGCCTCCATGTCTAACGTTAGAGGCACAGCTTGGAACCAGCCTGGAGCAAGAACCTCGCTGCGGTCAACCAGCACACGGACAAAAGCAAGACGGGCAGTGCTGGGACTCTCTCCAAGCGTCTCCCCGGCAGGCAGGCCGAGCCTAGCGCTACGGGGGGGGGGGGGGGGGGGGGGGGGGGGGGGGGGGGGGGGGGGGGAGCTGGTCACTTGGCTTCCAGCCCTCCCCCAGGACCACACGGCCCTGCAGCGTCCACACAAACCAGATGCGAGGGGTGTGGTTGGAACAGGCTGCCCTGCCTCCTGCACCGTCAGGACTGCGGCCGGGCCTCCCGGAACCAGAGTTGTGAGACACGTTCTGGAGACGTGGGACCCACAGCTCAGGCCCTTGGCTGCCCGGTATGTGTTGCTCCTTCCCAGAAGTACTGCTCTCTGGAGTGAATAAACCAAAGACGGCAGGTTCCAGAGCACTAGACCAGAGGCACTATGCGCTTTCTTCAGAAAACTGTGAATGGCTTGCTGTGCCCCGGAACTCCCATCTGAGGGATGCAGTGATGGTGAGGGAAGGCTACAGGACGATAAAACCCTCACAGATACTTCTGCTCTCATAACTGATTCAGTGCCCACACTGCACACCCTATCTGAACAAACACTACCCCTCCACGGAAAGTGATAACGGATAGGAAAACAACTTCCTACCATTCCAGAGGGTTTGCTTTTTCTTGTGATACCCACAAATCTCCACTAAAAACCTCTGCTCTGTCATGAAGGGCCACAGACAGGCCACAGAGGACCAAAGACCACTAGTCCAGGAACCTAAGTTTGGCTGTGAGGGGAGTCCTGAGATTGGCTACTGCCACCCAGTTCACGTTTATAGATAATCCAAATCCAAAAGGGATCTTCCCAAGAGGCAAATAAAAAGCACTCCCCCCTCTAGGTTCAGAAGGGGCAGAACAGAGGGAGCTGAGTGGAGAGCCGTGTACCGCAGAGGCTGAAAGCCACACCGCCCTGACTGCCCTCGGAGGAGGCCTGCACGGGTGGGGGGGCGGGGGGGGGCGACAGGGCAGCATCGGCTGCTCTGCCTGTCTGGGCTGGTCTGGGCTGCACCAAGATCCACTCACTGCAGCCTAATATTACACAGTCATGGTTTCAAAAAATACTGGGGTGCCTTCTACTCTGTACTGTGTCTGCTGACCTAACATGCACAAAGTCAGAGTCTACCATGAGATTTACTGGGAAGGGGACAGAACTGATATAAGTAGCAAAGTAAAACAAAAACAAGTGACAATGTTTGTTTCCAAAAATAAAAGCACTTAAGATGAACCAGCCCAGCTGGAAGCGGGAAAACCTTCCAGTCCTGCTGGAATATTCAGGAGCAGGGCTTTTTCTCTGGCTCAGCAAAAAAAAAAAAAAAAAAAAAAAAGGGTAGGGGGAGGGAGAGGCACCACAGAAGGGAACTCAACTCTGTCCCCTCCTGTTTCGGGGGTCTCACAGATATTCCATGTACCTCCAACATCCAGGGGGCACGCCCCATCAAGGGGGCAGAGGGACCCACTTTATCCACACCTTCCCGGAGAAGTGCCATATAAACTCCACGGGAACATTTTTGCCTTCAAGGGGCACACAAAACAGCATCTGAGCCCCAAGCGTCACATCCACCACCCAGCCCCTGGGAGAGGCCTCCTATCCGCCTGAAAAATGAAGGCAAGGAGCAATGACCGAAGGCCTCTCTTGCGGGAGGCTGCCCAGGGAGAGGAGGGGCCCCGTTCCTGTTCGCCTGCCACCTGCATGGGACCCCTGGTGCCTGCCTGGGGGAGAGAAGTTCTGTGTGCACGCCTGGTCCCAGGAGTCTCCCTGGCACCAGCCAAACTTGCCATGACCTCCCAGGTAATATGGAAGAGCTAAGTAACTCCAGGTGGAGAAAGGGCAGGGGCACTCCTGGGGGGTCGGGCAGTGCGGTCCAAGCCAGAGCCTGTGTGCCTCGTTAGTCATTTTTCAACACCGAGGGCAATCAGGAGCTAAGCACAATTACAAGAAGAGAAGGCAGCAGGAATCAAGACAGGAAGGCGGGGGGGAGTCTCGGGCTTACCCTGCAACCAATCGCTCACCGCTTGGAGAACAGGGCTCGCTGGAATGGGAACAGGACCATCAAGACCAAACAAACACACTGACTTAAAAAATCATGAATAGTTACAAGGCTGTTTTATGACAACAAGCATTAAAGTCTAGCAAAAGTACCACCATAAGCATTAACTGCCGAGGGCAAGGCTAAGCAACTTACCGGACGAGAAAGAAGATACAGACACTTGCCAAGTTGAAAAGACTTACCACAGTTTTCTCACAAAAGCTCTAATTCCCACAGGTAAACAGAGCCTGGGCACAAGTGAATGCCCGTTTTTGGAAGCAAGAGTAAGGCTGGCAGACCTGGATCAGGGCCCAACGCCACACGTACTCACTGAATACCCCAGCACAAGCGCTTCATCTTCCTGATGAAAGCATCTCGCTAAGATGCAGTGAGATCCCCACAGGGAAAAGCCTTACGAAAACTGTAGGAGGCACTGAACATCGCAGCCCCACCTCTTGAGGTCCCAGGATCGTCTGCAGCCCCAAACTCAGGGTGCCTCTGCCCAGCACGGGCCGGCGGCCCCTTCGGCAGAGGAGAGGCTGTAGCAACTGTGCACGTGAGGGGGGAGACCTCTGCGCTATGAACTTGAGTGTTGTAGAGAGTATGTTTAGGAGTCCAGTCCCTCTGCAGAGGCCTGTGTTCTGGGACACGCCGGCAGCCCCGGCTGCAGACAGTAGGCCAGAGCCCAGAGTGGAGACGACACCAGAGGGACGAGAGCCAGCCACGGCCACCTTGCTGGGCCTGCTGCTCCCCGGAGCTCTCAATGAGAAACGCCAAAGACCCACACGAGAGAAACATACAACCAAGAGCCCCTTTTCTCAACAGCTCCCACACTCCGGCTCGTCAGTTTACATGGTATGAAAGGGCTAAGATGTCTGTGGACTTTCCCACAATCACCTAGAAAGTCAGGATCCCTACAAGCTCTGGTGCAACTCCTACAACCTTCATCTTTGACAGTCAAACAGGTCACAACGAAATCCCTCTACTTTCAAAAGAGAAGAACCACGTGGGGCTTCCAAGTGTCAGCAGTGCTCTAGCTCCACCCTGGGCTGTGGAGGTGACGTGTCAGGCCCCAGTGGCACGGGTTTTTTGTTTGTTTGTTTTTTTTTAATTTCTTTATCTTTGAGAGAGAAGAGAGAATGACCAGGGAAGGGGCAGAGAGAATCCCAAGCAGGCTCCACAGTCAGTACAGAGCCCGACGTGGGGCTCAATGCCACGAACTGTGAGATCATGACCTGAGCCAAAACCAGGAGTCGGACGGCTAACCGACTGAGCGGCCCAGGCGCCCCCCGGGGCAGCCCTCTAACATGTGTCCACATGCTTCAGCAGAAGCAAAGCTGTCAAGAGAGGCTGGTGGAGCCCCCAGTGCACCCGGAGACGGGACAGCTGTATGCTGTATGCACTCCAGCTCCCTGGCTGAGCTTCCCATCCAGCTGAGGGTGCGAACACGCCAAACAGCCAGACTCACTGCTTAGAGACAGGCAGGCACGCCTGCGGAGGGCAGCAGAGCCCCCGGATCCCACTGCCCCTCAGTGCCACCAGAGAATCAGAAGGCCTCACAGCTCCGAGGTCTGCCGGATGAGGTCTAAAGTAAAGTGCTGAGTGTTCCGAGATGGATCCAACCCTCTCCAGCTACCGGCTTCTCCTTCTGAGACAGTGCCCAGAACACTCCAAGTCGGGAGAGACCGTGCCTTTGTGACAGACTGCAGGCTTTCTCCAAGGGCCTCTCATGATGCTTTCTGCCCCGCACTGTGCGGGATGCATAATGCCATGACGCATGACCTCCCTGACCCCTAATTCTCGTCCAACAGAACCACTACAACTTTTCTATATTTGAATTTCAAACCTTAAAAGATAATGAACAATATCCATTTCCTTCTTCTCCTCCTACTGAAGTCTAAGGTTTTTTTTTTAACCTGACAATTAATTCTTATGCCCTGAAACACACCATCTTAATGATTCACCTTCTAAAACCAGCACGTGCTCTAAGCCAGCGCTGTCCAACAGAAGTTTCCAGTGGCGGAGATACTCTCAATCTGACCCATTCAGGACAGTCGCCACTAGGCGCACTCGAGACCTCAAAGGCAGCTCGTACAATGCAGGAACTGAAGTTCATTTCATTCCAATTTAAATGATAACTTTAATACTAGGCAGCACAGCTCTGCCTCCTCACTTCCCCAAGGCCGCGTACATCTTCCACCACACTCACACGCTACACAAGGGGCCTGCTAACACCGTTCAATCTAGCTGAACAATCTAGCTGAACACGGTTTTAATCTAGACAACATCGTTCTCCTGGTTTCAGAAGAAAAGCACCTTCGAGAAGACAATACAGGGGATACACAGAAAAGGCATGCTGCACCTTAACTGCACTGCTTAGGAAGATGTCTGACCATGACATGGTCCTCCGGACATCAGCCACTTTGGAAGCCAAGAGGACAAAACAAAAGCTGGGCGCCCAGAGGTATTAACCAGTATCTCTGAAACCACAGCGGGTGGGGAGTGCTAAAATCACCCAACAAAGTGATTCTTAAATTTAGTGACAGTGTGAGGAACCAGCCCTTCTTGGCAAACAAGCACATCTGTGGGTCCCTGATAGACCCACAATGCCTTACTCTCTTCCCGTGGTCTTTCCTCTTCTTTAGGCTAAATATTAAAATAATTCCCTAAAAAACATCCTCTCAGTCTTTATTACAGGCCTCTGAGAGTTAACGGTAGGGGTCAGGTACTGCCAGCCCAGCCTCTAGGGAGGACACACAGACGGCTCCAGCAGCGCTTTCTGGATCTTCAGCAGCCTGGGCCTCACGTCTAAGAAGCTCGGAGGGAGGAGGGAGAAGGGCAGGCCAGCCCTGCTCTACATCAATCCGTGCCACAGGCGGAGGACAAAATGCACCCACCGCACGTGAAGGAGCAAAGAGCTTTCTATGCACCTGTAGCAAACGAGAGTTTGTTCCAAGTGGCCAACCTCAGAGGACAAGATGACCACAGCCTTCTACATCAGGCAGAACACGGGAGGTCCAACAGCCCCCACACTGCCTGCCCTCTCCTGCTGGCCTCTCTTCCAAAGCTTGCTCCCCTCAGAGACGGTCACTGGCCATGCCAGGGTCCCCGTATGCCCCCCCAAAGAAGGGTAGAAACCACAGCTGCCTTGTCAAGAGACCCGAGGGAGACAGTACTAGCTCGCTCCATGGCAAAGGCCCAAGAAGGGACCTCAGCTCTTCTGCCATGGGACAGGGGAGCGGAGTCCTTTGCTTCATACAGGCCCCAGCTGTGTTCAGAGGCACTCAGGACAGGCAATGTATAATCCTCCCTCAGCTGGGCCTATAGTGCCAGTTACTAAGCCTTAAAATGAATGTAAAGCAGACGTGGTCATTTCCTACATCTGCCACCCGGACGGCACTTCCCAAGCAGAGCAAGGGGAACACACCCAGGAAGGACCGGGACCTGCCTTTCATCTATGCCCTAAAAGGGCAAGGGTCATATATCAGCACATGAACAGGCTGTGCTGCCCCCAAGCTCCTACATGTGACCTGTGGGCACATGCTTGAGAAGTCAAGTCTGAGGACAGCACTGGGGTCTGCTTCTCTCCATGTTCCTCTCCCAGTAGGTAACCGTGCTTGCTAGTTTCATCTGTTTTCCCGTCTCCTTGAGCAACCGAGCCGTCCACAGCTGGAGCACAGAGCAACTGCACTGCACACCCGAGACGGCAACACAGTCCCAGTTCTGCGCAAGTGGAACTCCCAGCAAATGGAATACAAGGACACCAGGTTTCTCACAGGAGATAACCTCTGGGTCAACAGGAGGTAGGGGCTTTGCCCAGGCCTAGGGACAAGACAGCCCCCTCATGGAGTGACTGTAAACCCTTACCTGGAATCACCATCCTGGTCGTCAGCATGGTCTCCAGTGCTGTTGACGGCATATCTGCTACGGGGCTTATCTGAGGGCAAAAAGGGGACAGTGGCTAAGAAGAGAGGGTCCACCCACGCAGGAGCTTTGTGGATACATTAAAACTGATGGCTGCTAAAACGTGGTATATATGCACACGATGGCCATAAAAAGAAATGGAGTTCTGATATGTGTTAAAACATGGATGAACTCAAAAACATTATGCTAAGTAAAAGAAATCAGACCCAAACGGACAAATACTACACTTATACAAAATACCTACAGCAGGCAAAACTCAAGAGACACAGAAAGTAGTTCAGAGATTACCAGAGGATAGGGCGCCTGGGTGGCTCAGTCAGCTGGGCGTCCGACTTCAGCTCAGGTCATGATCTCACAGCTTGTGGTTTCGAGCCCCGCATCGGGCTCTGTGCTGACAGCTCAGAGCCTGGAGCCTCTTTCAGATTCTGTATCTCCCTCTCTCTCTGACCCTCCCCTGCTCACGCTCTCTCTCTCTCTCTCTCTCTCTCTCCCTCTGTCTATCTCTCTCTCTCCCCTCTCTCAGGGGAAAAAAAAAAAAACATTAAAAATTTTAAAAAAATCTCAACAATAGCCAAAACATGGAAAGAGCCTAAGTGTCCATCCACTGACGAATGGATCAAGAAGATGTGGTTTATCTATACGACGGAATACTACATGGCAATGAGAAAAAATGAAATCTGGCCATGTGTAGCAACATGGATGGAACTTGAGGGAATTATGCTGAGCGAAATAAGTCAGGCAGAGAAGGACAAATAACATATGTTTGCACGTTTAGGAGGATTAGGAGGAACTTAACAGAGGACTGTGGGGGAGAAGAAGGGGGGAAATAGTGGGGGAGGGGGAGAGAGGCAAACCATGAGAGACTCTTGAATGCTGAGAACAAACTGAGGACTGATTGGAGTTGGGGGGAAGGGGGGTGATGGGCATGGAGGAGGGCACTTGTGGGGATGGGCACTGGGTGTTATATGGAAACTAACTTGACAATAAAATATTTGTAAAAAAAAAAAAAAAAAAAGAGAGAGAGAGAGAGATTACCAGAGGCTGAGGGCAGAGGAAAGTGAGTTATTGCTAAATAGTTACAGATTTCAGTTTGAGGTGATGAAAATTTCTGGAAATCGGCAGTGGTGAGAGCTGCACAACGCAGTGAATTAATCATGGTGAATGAAACTAATGTGACCAAATGGTAAACTTAAAAATGGTTAAAAAGGCAACTTTTATAATCTGGATATATGTTTTTAATTTATCATTCCATTTTTTAAGTGTTTATTTATTTTGAGAAAAAGAGAGAGGAAATGTAAGCAGGGGGAGGGGCAGAGAGAGACAGAGAGAGAACCCCAGGCAGGTTCTGTGCTATCAGCGAGAGCCAAATGTGGGGCTTGATCTCACGAACCTTGAGATCATGACCTGAGCCAAAATCAAGGCTGGATGCTTACCCAACTGAGTCACCCAGGTGCTCCATGTTAATATATTTTTTACCATAACAAAATTTTTTTTCAAAAGTTATGATTTCCAAGGAATTATTACACAGAAAATGTTTTTGCTACTACGTTTAATTAAAAAAGAAAAAAAGGATAACACACACACACACACCCTCTCAGTATTTGATGACACTAGGATGGAAAAAGCTTAGGCTAAAGAAAGAATTTTTATTTTTTCTTGTTTTTTTAATGTTTTATTTATTTTTCAGAGAGAGACAGAGACAGCATGAGCAGGGGAGGGTCAAAGAGAGAGGGAGACACAGAATCCGAAGCAGGCTCCAGGCTCTGAGCTGGCTGTCAGCCCAGAGCCTGACATGGGGCTCGAACCCACAAATCGTGAGATCATGACCTGAACTGAAGTCGGATGCTTAACCAACTGAGCCACCCAGGCGTCCCAAGAAATAATTTTTAAATGTCCATATACCAATATCCTTCACCTACCTTACCAGAGTAATAAGTTAAAAGAACTTGGGATGAACTTAAGAAGTTCGTTACAGGCGGGGCACCTGGGTGCCTCAGTGGGTTAAGCCTCTGACTTTGGCTCAGGTCATGATCTCCTGGTTTGTGAGTTGGAGCCCTGCGTCAGGCTCTGTGCTGACAGCTCAGAGCCTGGAGCCTGTTTCAGAGTCTGTGTCTCCCTCCCTCTTTCTCTGGCCCTTCCCTTCTCACACTGTCTGTCCTTCTTTCTCTCTCTCAAATAAAATGAACAGTAAAAAAAAAAAAATTTTTTTTAAGTTCATTAAGTCAGAGGCCCATGAGGAAATCAGAAATGCTAGCAAGGGAGACAAGAATGAAAAGAAAACATGTTATGCTCTCGAGTAGGGGCACTCAACACACAGATGTCATTTCTTCCCGGTTAACCTACACATTTGACATGACTCCCACAATGACACCAACGGTCTGGGAGGGGTCCCAGTATATTCAGTACTAATGTTCCCAGGTAACAGTAAGCAAGAACAGCCAGGGTAACGCTGAAAAAGAAAAATAATGACTAATCCTATATGAAAGTATAACACAGGGTAAAGTTACAGAAATTCATCAGAAACCCACATCACTGGGAAAGAGATGAAAGGTCAAAAATAAACAGGGAATTCAGTATGTGATAAAGGCCGCAGAACCAATAGTGCAGAAAGAGAAAAGTATGCCGGCTCTTGAACCAACCACTCCGCAGCCCTATGTTCCCACATCCTTCCCCGCCCATCACAGCATCTGCTTCGCAAGGCTCCTGGAGGCGCATGCACACAGAAGATGCCAGCTCCTACCAGGAGCGTCCAACTGATACCAAGATAAATACGTTTAAAACAAAAAGATAATAAATATGAGACAGGAAAACACGAAGGTCTCTTGTTTCTTTTTGTTAATCTCGGATAACAGAACGCCTTTCTAAATTTAACAACTTAGAAACTCCAAAAGAACAGACTGAAAACTTGACTCCGAAAACATCAAAATTCTATGCTACGAGAACCACACAGAAGCAAGCTGGCAAGAATGTATGGCTTTTGGTCACAGACAAAAGCCTGCTTTTACCCGAACTATATAAAGAGCCCCTTCAAATCTGTAAGGAAAAAATCAACCCAAGATGAAATTAGGCAAAGGTTATGAGTAAGTCATTCACTATGAAGAACATCCCAATGGCTCTGAAAAGAGGAAAACATGCTCACAGTCATGAGACCCACTATCAGATACTTCTCACCCATCCCACTAACAATGTAGAAAAACCTGATCTACTGAAGATAAATATGTTCATTATCCCCTGGATCCAACCATCCCACTTTGGGGAATTGACCTTATTTCTGGAAAATGATAATGTATACAGAGAAGACACTCACACTGTTTTACTAGCCAAAAGCTTATTGACAGAGAACTAAATGAATAAATATGGTGTGTTCATCCCATGATTCTGACCATTCTGAACCTAAATCCAAGATGTAAAGTGACTATGAAAACAACAGGGCAGAAAAGTGTGCATAGTGGATTCACTTCTGCTTAGAAAATACAATATGTAGGGGCACCTGGGGGGCTGAGTTGATTAAGGATCTGACTCCTGATGTCGACTCAGGTCATGATCTCATGGGAATGAGCTTGGGCCCTGCACCAGGCTCCAGGCTGACAGTGTAGAGCCTGCTTGGGATTCTTGCTCTCCCTCTCTCTCTGCCCCACCCTCTCCCCAAAATAAAATAATATAAACTTTAAAAAAAAATAAAATAAATTAAAATGTGTGGGGGCACCTGGCTGGCTAAGTCCAAAGAACATGGGCCTCTCAATCTCAGTGTCCTGAGTTCCCGTCCTGAGTTCCAGCCCAACATTCGGCTTAGAGAGTACTTAAGAAAGAAAAGAAAAGAAAAGAAAAGAAAAGAAAAGAAAAGAAAAGAAAAGAAAAGAAAAGGAAACAAAAGAAACGAAACGAAAAGAAAAGAAAGAAAAGAAAAACAAAGAAAATGTGTGTATATGCTTATATTTACACAGAAGGTTCTGGAAAAAAGCACACGAAAATGGTAACAGCAGCTGCCCTTATTGGGAGGAATGAGTGGCTAGGGATCAATGGTGGGAAAGAAGTTTATTTTCATCATCTATACTCTTCTGTACCTTGAAAACTGTACCATGTTAACAAATTTAAAAGTACATTTAAGAGCACTGTTATGTGGAAACTAATTTGACAATAAACTATTTGTAAAAAAAAAAAAAAAGTACATTTAAAACAATATAAATTGGGAACTGCACATTCGTGACAGTGAAAAACTGCAAGTAACCTAAATGTCTATTCTGTTCTTAGGTGCAGCTGTATGAGTGAGTGATCTCTTTATAAACTGGAAAGAGCTTCAAGGAAGATGCTTCGATGGAAAAAAGAGCGACTGCAGAACAATGTATTACGTGGGGGAAACTCCGCAAGACAATGCACTGTTTCCCCCGCATCCCCATCTGTGCAGAAGGGATAACCGGCAGAACCGGAAGTGGTTACCCCTGCGGTGGGGAAGCAGCAGGACTGGGGAGACGTCAGATGCACCTGTAATTTCGTGTTTGTTCCAAGCTGAATACACTCATACGATACTTTCGTATATTCTTAAAAGGCTGGAGACACGAATGTTAGCAATAGTGGCTTTGGCATGCTGAATTCGGAGTGATTTTTCTCTGCTTTTACTTTTCTGTACTTTTGAAATACTCTATAACGAGTAGGCACTGACCACGTGATCAGGAAAAGAAAACAGTAAACGACTTCTAGTTCAACGTGCCAGGCGGGGAGCGAAGGGAGCCGCCGCCACGCGCACGCCCGCGAGCGCCTGGCCCTCCGCCGGCGCTCACTTACTTGTCTGGGACGCCGGGTGCTCCTGGCTTCTCTGGAAGGGATACCTGAACAGCAGTTTATTGCCCCTGCTGCCCGAGCTCACCAGAATCACGCTGATGGGGCTGGTGCTGTCGCCCATCCTGCGGTGGGCGGAGGCGGGGTGCGGGCGCCGAGGAGCACGGGCCGGGAGGGGGAGGGGCCGGAGGGGCCCGGGGCGGAGGCGGGGTGCAGGCTCCGAGGAGCACGGGCCGGGACCGGGACGGAGGCCGAGGTGGGGGAGGGGCCAGAGGACCCGGGGCGGAGGCGGGGTGGAGGTTCCCAGGAGGACCGGCTGGGACCAAGTGGGGGTGCTTAAGGAGGAGGCTCCCAGGACGGGGCTTGACCAGGACGCGCCCAAAGTCGCAGAAATGCGGGGCGCCGGGAGCTCCCAAGCCTACGAACCGCCAGGCGCGTCTTCCGAAGCTCGCAAGGCCTCACAGTCAGGGCCAAGCGACAGCTCAAACGGCGCCTGCGCGCAGATGGGAGCTGAGTGCGCAGGCGCAGGCGACCTTAGCGCAGGCGCAAGGCCTTCTAGGGAAGCTGGGCGCACCCTGCAGGCCGCTTGTTTGTCCAGTAAGCAGAAGGGGTCCGCCCACCAGCGTGAATGGAAAAGTGGCTGGGGTGTGCTTTGGGGTTCAAGGCAGCTATATCAAAATGTTGCAGTCTTCTTTTTTTATGCTTATCTATTAATTTCGAGAGAGAGAGAGAGAGAGAGAGAGAGAGATCGCGTGAGGGGAAGAAGTGCAGAGGGAGAGAGAGAGAGAATCCCAGGCAGGCTCTGCTCCTCTCACCACAGGGAGACCACACCTAAGATGATAACAAGAATTGAGTGCTCAAGGCACTGAGCCACCCAGGCCCCCGAAATGTTGGTTTCTTCACTCTAACACTTGCTTTGGGCCGAAAGTTCAGACTTAAGACATATAAAGTACTAAAGTAAGAAAGTAAAAAAGTCTCTCACATGGATCATAGACCTAGATAACAGCTAACAGTATAAAACTCTTACAAAAAAACATAGGAGTAAACCCTCCTGTCCTTGGACTAGGCAAGGTTTCTTAGACAAGACACAAAATGCACAAATGACTAAAGAAAAAATCAATTGGACTTTTCAAAGTAAAAATGTTTATGCTTCAAAGGGCACCACCAAAGAAAGTAAAAAAAGCACACACAGAATGAGAGAAAATATTTGCAAATCATATAAGGGAATTGTATCCAGAATACTACAAACAAACAAACAAACAAACAAACAAACTCAACAATAAAGACAACCAATTGAAAAATGGGTGTAGAGGCACCTGGCTGGATCAGCAGGTAGTGTGTGACTCTTGATCTCAGAGTCCTGAGTTTGAGACCCATGTTGGGTGTAGATATTACTAAAATTAAATAAGCTTTAAAAAAAAAAAAAAGAAAGAAAAGAAAAATGAGCAAAAGATATGAAAGGACATTTCTCCAAAGAATACAGAAAAAGGCCAGTAAGCTAATGAAAAAAATGCTCAACATCATTACTCATTAGGGAAAGGCAAGTCAAAACCAAAAACAGGTACCACTTCACACCCACTAGGATGGCTATAATCAGAAAGACAAAAAAACAAGTGCTGGCTAGGATGAGGAATTAGAATCTTTGCATGCTGCTGATGAGAATGTAAAATGGCACTGCCGGGGTAGAAAACAGGAAGTTCCCCAAAGGGTTGAACACAGGGCTCCCGTATGACTGAACTAACTATTCCACTCCCAGATACACACTCAAGAGAAATGAAAACATGAGAATGCACAAGAACTTGCATGTTCATAGCAACATCATTCGTCGTTGCCCAAAACTGTAAACAACCCAAATGGCCACCAGCTGATGTGGGATAATCCATACAATGAAATAGTGGTCAGTCATAAAAAGGAATAAAGTACTGATATGTGAAAAAACCTTGAAAACACACAAGATGTATGACTGCATTTATATGAAATGTCCAGAGCAGGGATATCTATAGAGAAAGAACGTAAATAGTTTAGACATGGAGGACTTGGAGTGGATGGCTGGTAGGGTGTGGAGTTCCTTTTGGGGTGATGAAAACATTCTAAAATTGATGGTGGAGATGGTTGCACTCTCCTCTGAATATGCTATGACTGCACATCTCTCCCGCTCACGGTCTCTCTCTCTCTCTCTCTCCCCCCCTCACTCTCTCAAAAAAAAAGAAGGTTGGGGGGGGGGTGCTTTCTGAGCTCTCTCAGTTACCAGGAATGTCCCTGAAATGGAAATAAGGCCACAAAAGCAGGGGGTGAGGCTGAGGAAGGGGAGGGGAACCTGGTGTCTGGGGGAATGGCCGGCAGCGGTCATGGGGGCCTGACCACAGGGGCCCTGGGACTCTGCCCGGTACCCACATATGAGGTCTGTTGCAGGCCCCCTTCCTCAATTTCCCTAACCATGTTGCTGCCCCATTGGGCATCTTGTGACCCCAGAACTCGGGGGGAGGGCCCAGATTCGGAGGGGACTACCCTTCTTGCATCACCCCCTCAGGGCCTGCTTCCTGCTAGCAACTTTCACAAGAGCATTTGTTGTTTATTTTTCTGGCTACATAGTATCTTATTGTGCAATGAGCACTGGGATGCATGAATGGTAAAGGGAGATCACCAGGACCCAGGCCACAAGGTCCCAGATGCAGGCCTTGCAGGTAGCCATAGCAGGGCTCAGGTGCAAGGCTATCCAGAGCTTGACTGGAGAGAGCAGAGGTCCGAATCCCACACCACCCTCACTGGCAGCATCTCACATTGGTCTGCCTCATTGGGCTGTAACAGAAGTCAGAGCTCACTGTCACGTCCTGGACAGTCCAGCAGCGGGATGGACCGGAGGGTGGGCTGGCCCTGTCTGGGCCCCCCACCTGTAACAGGATTGGGAGCAGGAAGTCTCTAAATGTGGTCCTGCCTCACAGCCCTCACGGGTTCCTGGACAATGATGCGCCCAGGGCCAACCTTTGCTCGCATCCTCAGACTCTTCCCTGCTAAACTGAAACTCAAACTCAGCTCCGCTCCACTCCACTCAAACTCTTCCCTGCTAACACCCCACACCTCTATGTCCTCATTTTAAATTTAAATAACTTTGTTTACTAACCTAATTTTTGAAGACAACTAGATTCATGGAACCCAAAATTCCCTACCCTTCCACCCAACCTGAGTCCTCTCTGGGCAGGGCCGGGAGGCCTTATCAGTCCTGCCACTTGTTCTGGCCCCCGTGGAGCCGCCACTGTGTCAGAGGCCAGGCAGGGCTCACGGACCCTATCTCCAGCCAACCTTGACCCCTCCACCTTCTCGGCTGTAGTGCTCCTGCCCAGAAAGAATCACTCACTCATAATAGTAGCTACAATAACCTTGAATTCACACTGCCATGTCCTGAGGTCCTATGGTGACAGATTCCCTCCTAGCAGTGAGGTGGGGGCTATTCCTACCCATACCTGAGAGGTTGCAAATGTGGACCTGGGGTTTACAGGCTTAATGACCCTGCCCAGGGCCACCCAGGGGCTACTCTCAGGGAGGGGTCTGGGGACCCCATCGTGGCCTTCTGCTGAGTGACCAGGATCCTCTGAGCGCAGCCCCAACTACACAAGCTCTGAGTGAGTCCAGGGCTTGGAGTTCAGCCAGTTCCAGCAGGTCTCAGCATATTGGCGCGCCGACTACTATTTCATTGTATGGATTATCCCACAACAGCTGGTGGCCATTTGGGTTGTTTACAGTTTTGGGCAACGACGAATGATGTTGCTATGAACATGCAAGTTCTTGTGCATTCTCATGTTTTCATTTCTCTTGAGTGTGTATCTGGGAGTGGAATAGTTAGTTCAGTCATACGGGAGCCCTGTGTTCAACCCTTTGGGGAACTTCCTGTTTTCAACCCCGGCAGTGCCATTTTACATTCTCATCAGCAGCATGCAAAGATTCTAATTCCTCATCCTAGCCAGCACTTGTTTTTTTGTCTTTCTGATTATAGCCATCCTAGTGGGTGTGAAGTGGTACCTGTTTTTGGTTTTGACTTGCCTTTCCCTAATGAGTAATGATGTTGAGCATCTTTTCATATGCTCTTTTGTAGATCTTAGAGAAATGTCTATTGAAATCCTTTGCCCAGTTTTCAGTTAGTTATTTATCTCTTTGTCATTGAATTGCATGATTTTTTTTGAATGTTTTTTTTTTTATTTATTTCTAGGAGAGAGAGAGAGACAGCGTGAGCAGGGGAGGGTCAGAGAGAGAGGGAGTCACAGACTCTGAAACAGGCTCCAGGCTCTGAGCTGGCAGTCAGCACAGAGCCCGACGCGGGGCCCGAACCCACGAACCGCGAGACCATGACCCAAGCGAAAGTCGGACGCTTAACCGACTAAGCCACCCAGGCGCCCCTGAATTGCATGATTTTTAAAAATATTTTGGATCAGGGGCTGACAGTGTGGAGCCTGGTTGGGATTCTCTGTCTCTGTCTCTGTCTCTCTCTCTTCCCTCCTATGCTCTCTTTCTCTCTCAAAATAAGTAAACTTAAAAATAAATAAATAAAATCTTTTTTTTAAAAAAGACAACATAAAGCGACAGTAATCAAGATAGTGTGGTTTTAGTGAAGGATAGACACAGATCAGTGGAACAGAGTAGAGAGTCCAGTAATAGACCTGCAAAAATATGGCAAATGTATTTCTAACAAAGGAGTATGAGAAGCCAATCCAGTAGGGGAGTTACAGCCTTTTCAAAAAATGGTGTGGCAACAACTCCGAGGCAAAACAAAATAACGAAACTAAAAGAAACTAACCCAAACTAAGGTAAAACTACACGAAAATTATCCCAAAATGTATCACTGATCTAAATATAAAATATAAACTATTAACCTGTAGAAGAAATCATTGATGAAATCTTTGTGGCCTGGAATGAGACACAGTGCTCTCCAGAGTGGCACTACAAGCATGAATTAAAAAAGAAGAACTTGATAAATTGAACTTCATCAAAATTAAAACTTTTGCTCTACACATGACATTAGTGAGAGAATGAAGTGACAAGCTACTAACTAGGAGAAAATAAATGTGAGTCACACACCTGACAAAAGACTGCACCTACAATGTGTACAGAATGTATCTCTAAGCTCACCAGTAAGAAAAACAAAGAACTCAGTGTAAAATGGGCAAAAGACCAGAACAGGTATGTCACCAAGAAGACGTACTGATGGCAAAGAAGCACATGAAAAGACCCTCCATCAGGCAGAGAAGGACAAATACCATATGTCTGCACGTATAGGAGGATTAGGAAGAACTTAACGGAGGACCGTGGGGGAGAAGAAGGGGGGAAATGGTGGGGGAGAGGGAGAGAGGCAAACCATGAGACTCTTGAATGCTGAGAACAAACTGAGGACTGATGGGTGTGGGGGGGAAGGGGGGAGATGGGCATGGAGGAGGGCACTTTGGGGATGAGCACTGAGTGTTATGTGGAAAATA